AATATATTTTAATAAAACTGACACTGATTGTAGCATAGGTATTACATTATTTTTGCACATCATCACCATTCAGTTCAATACATTTGTCATCAGTGGGACGAGCTTTTGATGCCTGTGTCATACTAGCTTTGTTTGGGGGGAGGGCAAAGGTTTGTCCTGATCACTAGCTGCTTGGAGGAGAGAGAGTGCCCTATGGAGGCAGATGTACAGATTTTCCATTAGAAGTCAGTGTCAGTTCTCCCACCATCATCACCACCACCACTGCCAGCATATACAGCCGCCTGCCTTTGGACTGCGTGTCTTGTTGTGCAAAGCGTGTTTTAGCCAAGTCCCATGAAAAAGACACACAAACAAGAGGAAAAAGGAACAGAAAAACTTTATTCTTATCAACAGAGGCATAAACTTGCAATGTTGTATACAAAATCAAATTTATTTATTTATATATTTATTGTATTTGTATACTGCCTTTCTCAGCCTATCGGCGACTCAAGGCGGTTTCCAACAAAACAGTATATACAGTATCATAAAACAATTTTAAAACATTACAATTACATAAACCACAACAGCAATAAAAACAACATCATTGGCGTCTCCTTATTGTCGAGCATTGTCCAGTTCCATCGTCAATCGTCAATTTCCTATATCATTTATCCATATCCGTTACTCTGTGTTTGTGAATGCTTTCTCAAACAGCCAAGTTTTGACTTGCTTCCGAAACGTTAGGAGGGAGAGAGCAGATCTAATCTCTCTAGGGAGGGTGTTCCATAGCCGGGGAGCCACCACTGAGAAGGCCCTGTCTCTCATCCCCGTCAAACGTACCTGAGACGAAGGCGGAACCGAGAGCAGAGCTTCTCTGAACGATCTCAAGGTTCATAAGGGGAGATACGTTTGGACAGGTAAGTTGGGCCAGAACCGTTTAGGGCTTTAAAGGTTAAAACCAGCACTTTGAATTGTGCCCGGTAGCAAACTGGCAGCCAGTGGAGCTGGCGCAACAGGGGGGTTGTATGCTCCCTGAGGGTCGCTCCAGTTAGCAATCTGGCTGCTGTCTGCTGGACCAGCTGAAGCTTCCAGACAGTCTTCAAAGGCAACCCTACGTAGAGAGCATTGCAGTAGTCTATACGGGATGTAACGAGAGCGTGGACTACCATGGCCAAGTCAGACTTCCCAAGGAACGGGCGCAGCTGGTGCACAAGCTTTAATTGTGCAAATGCTCCCCTGGTCACCGCCAAACACTGCAACAAACTTATATAGTTCTTGTAAGTAACACAGAATAAGGCTTATTCATCTTCATTCAAATGAGAGAGCAAAACATAAACCTTGTGTAAATAACTATTCCACCATAGCAAAGAGCATCACTGTTAGAGCATAGCAGCATTACAGCATACTGCTTCTCCTCAGAGTAGCATATTGCTTCTCCAAACTGTATTCTAAAATCCATACAGTTATACCCCACCGGCTGTGGCTGAAAGATGCTGGCTGACCTACATTACCAGCTGTACATAATAATTAACATCATACCGTTTTTCTTTAACACACACTTGATCCTGCTATGACTTACTGTAACATGTCTGAGGTAGGCATAGATCCCAACTGGAAAGGATGCATTCTGCCGTGTGGATTCCAGTGTACTCCACCTACAACCGACTTCAGGGTCAAATCTGACAAGGCCCACATACGAGGACCATTCATGAAAGATTTTCCTTGAACCCCTTTCTGTGGACTGAGAGAAGTGAAACCTGGCCCAGATCTGAGTCCTTCTCTCCATGGGTGCCACCATCTAGGGACACACAGTTCTCCCATCTTTTGAAGCAGCGGTCAACACCTCACTTGTAGAAGTTGACAGGTTGCTCCAAAAGACACATTGTGACTTCAGAAATCTTGTCACCAGAAAAATGCTTGCCCTTCAAAAAGTAACAGGTTTTCTTCTCCAAAGAGGGAGAAAAGGATATGGTAATATTTGGATACATGAGGATAGAGAAATGTTTGTATGTGAAGGTGAATGATCAGTAAAAATGTAATCCCCCTTCCTTGGTTTGTTTGCTAGCCAAGGTAACTGTAAGTGGTTTGCGAATCCAATGTAGTTACAGACAATTTGCATGTCTAATGTCATTTTTTGGGTAAAAGTTTGGTAAAAGTGCTGATATACCCACTGACACTGAAAATTGCAATAAAAAGAACCTTTGTTTAAATTGTATTCATGACAGTGTTTGTCTTCCCGCTTGACCGTGGCAGAGGAAAATTATGTTCCAATTGTCTCAGGATATGTGGTGCTGCACAATATATAATAATAATAATAATAATAATAATAATAATAATAATAATAATAATAAATATCCTTTATTTATACCCCGCTAACATCTCTCGAAGGACTCGGTGCGGCTTACAAGGCCAAATACATCAGCAAAACAACAACATAACAAATACAACAATAAATAAACTCATAAAACAAAGCAATAAACATTAAACGAAAGCAATAAACATTAAACAATAACACCACGACGCAATTAAAAACTATGACCGGGCCAAATGTAATGATTAAATTTTTTTAAAAATGCTGGACATGACAGGTGAAATGGATGATTTTGGCGATAAGTGCAGTATGCAGACAATCTTAAATCTCTGGTAAAGTGCATTGGGACATGATGCTTGGAGTTTCCTATTCTGGGAAGGCACACTGGAACAACCACGTCTTCAAGCTCTTCCTAAAGACTGCCAATGTTGGGGCTTGTCTGATGTCCTTGGGGAGAGAGTGCCAGAGTCGAGGGGTCACCACCGAGAAGGCCCTGTCCCTCGTCCCCACCAATCACGCTTGCGATGCAGGTGGGATTGTGAGCAGGGCCTCTCCAGATGATCGAAGAGTTCATGTGGGTTCGTATGCAGAGATGTTTTCTCACCTCAGGCCCTGGCACATAGGGAAGTCATTCTTCCAGTACAGGAGGAGTGTGAGTTAGGAATGCATGATGGAGGAGTAAGGGACGGTGAAGAAGTCCATTCAACAGCAATAGGAGAATGTTAAACCTTGGGAAGTCTGACTTGGCCATGGTAGTCCACGCTATGGTTACATCCCGTATAGACTACTGCAACATGCTCTTTGTGGAGTTGCCTTTGAAGATGGTCCGGAAGCTTCAACTAAGACAACGAACAGGCTGCCAGGTTGCTAACAGGAACGTCACTCAGGGAGCATACAACCCCCTTGTTGCGCCAACTCCACTAGCTGCCGGTTTGCTACCAGGCCCAATTAAAAGTGATGGCTTTTGCCTTTAAAGCCCTAAACGGTTCTGGCCCAATTTACCCGTCTGAACGTATCTCCCCTTATGAAGCATCAAGAACTTTAAGATCGTCTGGGGCGGCCCTGCTCTCAGTCCTGCCTTTGTCACAAGTACATTTGCCGGGGACAAGAGACAGGGTCTTCTCAGTGGTGGCCCTTGGCTATGGAACGCCCTCCCTAGGGAGATCAGATCTGCTCCCTTACTCTTAAAGTTTCGTAGGCAAGTAAAAACATGGCTGTTTGAGCAAGCATTCACAAATGCAGAGTAGCTATTATAGAAAATTGAATGACTTGACAATGGAACTGGACAAAGCTTGATAATAAGGAGTACTTCAGTATACCATTATATTGTAATATTATTAGTAATATTACATGTAATATAAATATATAATTATAATATAATATTATTAGTAGTAATGTGATCTGGTCGCTACCACCTCACCCGCCTCATCGGAAACCTGTTACAAAACAGGAGATTCTTTGTTGAGTTCCAGGGCCAGAGAAGCAGATGGCGGAAACAGAAGAACGGCCTGCCTCAGGGGAGCGTGCTTGCTCCATCCATGTTCAACATTTACACAAATGACCAGCCACTGCCAGAAGGGACAGAGAGCTTCATCTATGCAGATGATCGTGCCATTATCGCTCAAGCAGGGAGCTTTAAGAAGGTTGAACAGAAGCTCTCTGGAGCTCTAGGTGCTCTTACTGCCTATTACAGGGAAAATCAGCTCATCCCTAATCCATCTAAAACACAGACATGTGCCTTTCATCTTAAGAACAGATAAGCATCCCGAGCTCTGAGGATGACCTGGGAAGGAATCTCACTGGAGCATTGCAGCACACCCAAATACCTGGGAGTCACTCTGGACCGTGCTCTGACCTACAAGAAGCACTGCCTGAACATCAAGCAAAAAGTGGGCGTTAGAAATAATATCATACGAAAACTGACTGGCACAACCTGGGGATCACAACCAGACACAGTGAAGACATCTGCCCTTGCGCTGTGCTACTCTGCTGCTGAGTATGCATGCCCAGTGTGGAACACATCTCACCACGCTAAAACAGTGGATGTGGCTCTTAATGAGACATGCCGCATTATCACGGGGTGTCTGCACCCTACATCACTGGAGAAACTACACTGTCTAGCCGGTATTGCACCACCTGACATCCGCCGGGAAGCAGCAGCCAAGGACCAAGGCAGTGACATCTCCAGCTTGTTTGGGTATCAGCCAGCACGTCAACGGCTTAAATCAAGAAGTAGTTTTCTAAGATCTACAGAGACACTCGCTGGAACACCTCAGCAAGTGAGAGTCCAAAAGTGGCAGGCTCAAACCCAGCACCTCAATCATGGATGATACCAGATGAGAGACTCCCCCCTGGGCACACAGAAGACTGGGCGACTTGGAAGGTGCTGAACAGACTGCGCTCTGGCACCACGAGATGCAGAGCCAACCTTCAGAAATGGGGCCACAAAGTGGAATCCACGACATGCGAGTGTGGAGAAGAGCAAACACTGACCACCTGCTGCAATGCACCTTGAGCCCTGCCACATGCACAAGGGAGGACCTCCTTGCGGCAACACCAGAAGCACTCCAAGGGGCCAGATACTGGTCAAAGGACATTTAATAGAATGCCAAGTTTGCAAACTTTGTGTTTTGTCTGTTTGTTTGTTTTGTTAAAAACGTAATACAAATGTTGCTCCTGACACGATACATAAATAAATAAAGTAGCATTACATTATAATATTATATATATGTCACATCACGGCTAATACTTCGCTAGCACAGTGATCAATCCTTAACCACCTCCAGGATTTTCAACCAGATAGTTTTTTCTCTGAACTAAGGACTAGATCAGCAGCAATAGGAACACAATATCAGGTTTAGATCTTCATATGTCTGCCTGCAGCTGTCACCAATCAGAACATATAAAATAAATGCAAGTGAAGAAACTGTAAATGATTATGGGGAGTACGGTGTCGTCGTCTTCCTTTCCCTTTCACCCTTCCTTGTCCCCTCTGTGTCCATCATTTTCTGTGCCTCAGCCACCCGAAGAGATGCAGATGCTGGTTCCGTAATGTCTGCCGTGACAGGGTTGTTGCTCGGGGAAATCTCTCCTTGGCTCACTTCTCTGAAATGCTCAGGAAGCGGTTGCTCATGGCAATCTGCACTAGTACTGGCCATGTCAAGGTCAGTCTGGCTGGGTGGGGGTATTCCTCCATGGAAAGGTCTTTTGGGTGGTGGACCACTTTTGTTACAGCAATTTGCACAATGTGTGCAACACTGCTTCTCCACTCGTGATTGGTCCAAAACATCACGTATCATTGTCTCGATTGCATTGAACCTCTCTTGGGACGCTCTCGTATCCTCCTCTAGGTAATGAAAAAGGCTAAGGAGTATCTGTCTGTTCTTGGAGGTGTCCTCACGCATGGCTTCGCGCTGCAGTTTGGCCTGCTCGTCAGCGTGCTGCATGATTGCTAAAGCAATATTTTCACCCCGCCTTCCTCTTTGTCTTCTGGTCCTTAGGTTCCGTAAATGTGTGCCAGGAGATGGTGCTGCCTTTGCTGGAGGGGACTCTCCTATAAATAAAGGAATGGGTACATATAAAATTCCTTCAATTACCTGCTCTTTATGTTATATACGAGGGGTATTTTTTAAGTAAGGTCCGTTTTGTTGTAGACACTAGTAGTTCGCGCGCATACCGCAACGAGCGCATGCGTCGTGTACCGGCATGCCTCGGGAACAACTGTGCTCAGTTTCCGCTCTGTAGCTAACCTGTACGGTTCTGTTCTGTGCTTTAAAAATGTTTAAGACTATCAACTCACCCTCCGCATGTGAGGTTCGCTCAGTGATACGGTTTTTGTCAGCAAGGAACCTGCCTGCTGCAGAAATTCATCGACAGATTTGTGAAGTGTACGGTGATACTGTTATGAGTGAAAACAAAGTGCGTAAGTAGGTACGACAATTCAAAGATGGCCGTGACAACGTCCATGATGAGGACCGCTTCGGTCTCTCTTCTTTGATTACAGACGATTTGGTGGCTTCAGTTGAAGCGAGGATTCGTGAGAACAGGCACTTCACAATAACAGGTCTCTCAAACGAATTTCCTGACATGTCGAGAGCAGTGCTTTACAACACTGTTTCTGAACACCTAAAGTTTAGGAAACTGTGCTCCCGTTGGGTCCCGAAACTCCTAACAGAGGACCACAAAAACCAAAGATTTGAGTGAACTCTTGGTTATCGGAGCAGGCGGCAAGTTTTTATGAAGAGGGTATTTTAAAATTGGTTCAGAGGTATGATAAGTGTTTGAACAAACTTGGCAACTATGTCGAAAAATAGAGTGAAGTATGTACTTTCTGAAAATAAATTTACTTTTTTGAAATAAACTTTCATTGTGTACTTATGTTCAAACGGACCTTACTTAAAAAATACCCTCGTATTACTGCTGAAATAACTTAAAGAGCAGCATTTTGTTAGAGAATTTGCTTTGTCCCAGTTCTTTAGTGCAGTACCCTTAGATCAGTGTTTCTCAACCTGGTGGTCAGGACCCCTGGAGGGGATCGCAAGGAGTTTTCAGAGGGGTTTTTAAAGACCATCAGAAAACATATTTCTGGTGGTCTCAGGAACCCCTTTGGCAGAGAATGCTGAAGATCTCTCCGCCTATCCTTCTCTTCCTTTTTGGAAACAGACAGTGAATCCTCCCACCAAAAGCCCTCCTCCGCTCTGATTGGCCGGCATCTCAGTCAAGGGGAGGGCTGTTTCTGAGACTCCAAGAGGGGAGGGGAGAGCAGGTGTGCTTGGCACATGGCAGCGTGGTGTGCATGTGTGGGTGAGGGAAAGTGCGTGAGGCTGGAGGGACCAGCCGTGAGCCGCACCAGGGAGTCCCTTCAAGTCATGGGGGTTATGTGTGGGAAGTTAAACTCGTGGGGTTCAGAGCGCTCTTTGATTGTAGGTGAACTATAAATCCCAGCAACTACAACTCCCAAATATCAAGGTCTATTTCCCCCAAACTCCACCAGTGTTCACATTTGGGCATACTGGGGCATATATGGAAAAATTGGATGATGAGACTGGATTTCGATCTTAACTATGACGCGAATGAGATGTTTTATTGATTTATATTAACTGTATGCTACTATTTTAATGGTTTTTAACTCTTTTGTGATGTTTTTCAGCATTGAATTTTGCTATTGTTAACCGCTCTGAGTCGCCCAAGGGCTGAGAAGAGCAGTATACAAATATAGTAAATAAATAAATAAATATTGAGGATTCATGCCAAGTTTGGTCCAGATCCAACATTGTTTGAGTCCACAGTGCTCTCTGGGCACAGGTGAACTACAACTCCAAAAATCAAGGTCAATGCCCACCAAACCCTTCCAGTATTTTCTGTTGGTCATGGGAGTTCTGTGTGGCAAGTTTGGTTTAATTCCATCATTGGTGGAGTTCAGAATGCTCTTTGATTGTAGGTGAACTATAAATCCCAGCAACTACAACTCCCAAATAACAACATCAATCCCCCCAACCCCGCCAGTATTCAAATTGGGGCGTATCAGGTATTTGTGCCCAATTTGGTCCAGTGAATGAAAATACATCCTGCATATCAGATATTTACATGACGATTCATAACAGGAGCAAACTGACAGTTATGAAGTAGCAACGAAAATAATGTTATGGTTGGGGGTCACCACATGTGGAATTGTAAGAAGGTTGAGAAACACTGCCTTAGACAAACTTAAAGAGGAATCAACTTACTTTCTTGTTCAGGTGACTGCTGGCTTTGGTTTGGGGTCTCTGGTTCTCCCTCACTTTCAGCTTTGGTTGTCATGGGCGTCACTGGAGGAGATCCCAGAAGGGCAGGGGGAGCGTGGACACTCACCGGTTCATAAACCTCTCCTTCTGGAACTTCTGCAATTATGATTAACTGTGATAAATAAAGTGTCGCATCAGCGAGATAACACACAACTGCACTTTTCATAATTACTTACCGAGGAGAAGTAATTTGGAATCTTCGTCATTGTCTTCCAGTTCTGTACATTAAGGAGACAAGAAGAAAAATCAGTTACAGCTGATGGATAAAGACGTACATGAGATGTACATTTTTTACAGCACAGGGACAGTATTACATCCAAAGTTCTATCATTGTCCTTTCCTGCTATAGATTCAAAGGACTTCATCACATTGAGGCAGGGAAGTCTCTGCCAGAGAAGAGCTCAGTCTTACTCAGTTTTGTAATGCAACTGATGTTTTCTCTACCTTCATCACACTGTTAAATGTCTCAGTTCATAGAATCATAGAATCAAAGAGTTGGAAGAGACCTCATGGGCCATCCAGTCCAACCCCCTGCCAAGAAGCAGGAATATTGCATTCAAATCACCCCTGACAGATGGACATCCAGCCTCTGTTTAAAAGCTTCTAAAGAAGGAGCTTCCACCACACTCCGGGGCAGAGAGTTCCACTGCTGATACGGTTTTTGTCAGCAAGGAACCTGCCTGCTGCAGAAATTCATCGACAGATTTGTGAAGTGTACGGTGATACTGTTATGAGTGAATTCAAAGTGCGTAAGTAGGTATGACAATTCAAAGATGGCCGTGACAACGTCCATGATGAGGACCGCTCCAGTCGCCCTTCTTTGATTACAGACAATTTGATTTGATCGCACACTCAAATCTTTGGTTTTTGTGGTCCTCTGTTAGGAGTTTCGGGACCCAACAGGAGCACAGTTTCCTAAACTTTAGGTGTTCAGAAACAATGTTGTAAAGCACTGATCTCAACACGTCAGGAAATTCGTTTGAGAGACCTGTTATTGTGAAGCGCCTGTTCTCACGAATCCTCGCTTCAACTGAAGCCACCAAATCGTCTGTAATCAAAGAAGGGCGACCGGAGCGGTCCTCATCATGGACGTTGTCACGGCCATCTTTGAATTGTCGTACCCACTTACGCACTTTGCTTTCACTCATAACAGTATCACCGTACACTTCACAAATCTGTCGATGAATTTCTGCAGCAGGCAGGTTCCTTGCTGACAAAAACCGTATCACTGAGCGAACCTCACATGCGGAGGGTGAGTTGATAGTCTTAAACATTTTTAAAGCACAGAACAGAACTACAGGTTAGCTACAGAGCGGAAACTGAGCACAGTTGTTCACGAGGCATGCCGGTACACGACGCACGCGCTCATTGCGGTATGCGCACAAATTATTAGTGCCTACAACAAAACGGACCTTACTTAAAAAATACCCCTCGTAGTTAAAGATATGGTGAGTTGAAATACTTTGAAAACGTTACACTAACACAACTGCTTGGAGATGGGACGGAGCTTGAGATACTTTAAGAAGAGCTCTCACTTTGCCTTGTGCGCATTATCTACAACAACGTAGGGATATTAGTGTAAGAAATACCTTCTACTGTAAAAAGTGAAGGACCAGTAGCTTGTGTATCCAGTATTGACTCCCGGGAACATGTCTCATCCAAAGTGGTTGCATCCAAATCTTGGCCCAGAGGGAGTTCCTCTCTTCGGACTGGATAACTTCTTGAGAGCCTGGGTGGGTCGGTGATTGCATCTCTTTTGAGAATGTTTTCTAGCTCAGTATAAAATGAGCATGTTTTTGGAGCATTTTCCGAGCATTTGTTATGCGCCTGTACCCTCTTGTACTCGAGCCTCATTGTCTTTGTTTTGTAGCGGCATTCCTCAGCAGTTCGACTGTGGCCCCTTTCCCGCATCTGTTTTGCTATTCCTTCAAACACATCTATATTTTTATGCACCGCTCTCAGCGCATCCTGCACCTCTTTCTCTCCCCAGAGATCAAGCAAATCTTTGATTTCATGGAACCGCCAGTGGATACCCTTTCCTTTCCCTTTCCCTTGTGATGCACGGGCTTTCTGTTCCATGACTGGTGGGTAAGATGAAATTCTCAACAGGACTATGGCAAGCGTGACTTGCACTTCTTCTTTGCCTGCCGTAATACCACACTACAAGTACTGCTTCTTCGCTTGTGGAACTGTCAATACGTTCCACACTGGATGTGCAGATGTTGTAGTGGTCTGTTGTATGATGTGTATCTGCAAAGGAAACAGAATATTTTATGGTACTGTTTAATAATAATAATAATAATAATAATAATCCTTTATTTGTACCTCGCTACCATCTCCCGAAGGACTCAGTGCGGCTTACACGAGGCCGAGCCCAAAATACAACAATAAAACAACAACAACAATAATACAGCAAAATAAAACAAAAAACAAGCAATAACAATAATGTTTAAAAATGTGTTCAGTAAAAGAAAATCTAAAAACAGTATTAATCTACAGCTGAAGAAGAGGGGGTAGTGGGGTAGGAGTTGTCTTTCAGAAAGTACTGGAAGGGTTTGGTAGAAATGACCTTGAGTTTAGGAGTTGTAGTTCACCTACATCCAAAGAGCACTGTGGACTCAAACAATGATAGATCTGGACCAGCCTTGGCACGAATACTTAGTATTGTACAAATGTAAACACTGGTGGAGTTGGGGGGAAATAGACCTTAGCATTTGGGAGTTGTAGTTGCTGGGTTTTATAGTTCACCTACAATCAAAGAGCATTCCGAACCCCATCAATGATAGAATTGGGCCAAACCTCCCACACAGGACCCCCATGACCAACAGAAAATTTATTTATTATTTATTTATTTGCAGTATTTGTATACTGCCTTTCTTAGCCTGTCAGCGACTCAAGGTAGTTTACAACAAATCAGTGTACATAATAAATTGTGCAGTTGTTCATCTGCTTCAGCAGCCAGCACCTTTCTTTTGGACCAAAGTTCTTGATTTGTTCCATCTGAAGAACATCCAGGCCAGCTGCTTTGCCATTAAAAATGGCAAAGCAGCTGGCCTGGATGATCTACGGATGGAACAAATCAAGAACTTTGGTCCAAAAGCAAGGTGCTGGCTGGTGAAGCGGATGAACAACTGCACTGCATCCTGTCAGATCCCCAAAATCTGGAGGAAAGCAAGAGTCATAGCCATCTTGAAGCCAGGCAAAGACTGCAATGATCCAAAACGCTATAGACCAATCTCCCTGTTGTGCCACCGTTACAAAGTTCTGGAGAGACTTATTTTGCATAGAATTAGGGAAAAAATAGACCCATGTCTGATTGCACAGCAAGCTGGCTTCAGGAAAAGCAAAAGCTGCACATCGCAAGTGCTGAACCTGACTCAGCACATAGAAGATGGGTTGGAAAGGCAGCAGATCACAGGAGCTGTCTTCATAGACCTGTCAGCGGCGTACTGTGAAAAAGATCTTGGAGTCCTCGTGGACAACAAGTTAAACATGAGCCAACAATGTGATGTGGCGGCAAAAAAAAAAGCCAATGGTTGAACAGAAGCTCTCCGGAGCTCTAGGTGCTCTTACTGCCTATTACAGGGAAAACCAGCTGATCCCTAATCCATCTAAAACACAGACATGTGCTTTTCATCTTAAGAACAGACAAGCATCCCGAGCTCTGAGATGACCTGGGAAGGAATCCCACTGGAGCATTGCAGCGCACCTAAATACCTGGGAGTCACTCTGGACCGTTCTCTGACCTACAAGAAGCACTGCCTGAACATAAAGCAAAAAGTAGGTGCTAGAAACAATATCATACGAAAGCTGACTTGCACAACCTGAGGATCACAACCAGACACAGTGAAGACATCTGCCCTTGCGCTTGGCTACTCTGCTGCTGAATACATATGCTCAGGTAGGAGCCCCCGGTGGCGCAGTGGGTTAAACCCCTGTGTCGGCAGGACTGAAGACCGACAGGTCGCAGGTTTGAATCCGGGGAGAGGCGGATGAGCTCCCTCTATCAGCTCCAGCTCCTCATGCGGGAACATGAGAGAAGTCTCCCACAATGTCAGGAGCGTCTTGAGAAACTGAAAGTCGCTTCTGGTGTGAGAGAATTGGCCGTCTGCAAGGATGTGGCCCAGGGGACGCCCGGATGATTTGATTTTTTTATCATCCATGTGGGAGGCTTCTCTCATGTCCCCGGATGGTAAAACATCAAACATCCAGGTGTCCCCTGGGCAACATCCTTGCAGACGACCAATTCTCTCACACCAGAAGCGACTTGCAGTTTCTCAAGTCGCTCTGACATGGAAAAAAAAGTAGGAGGATTTGCCGTGTGTTTCCAAAAAGGAAGAGAAGGAGAGACGGAGAGATCTTCAGCCTTCTGTGTCATGTGTTTTCTGATGGTCTTTGGCGACACCTCCGAAACCCCCCTCGCAACCCCCCCTCCCCAGGGGTCCCAACCTCCAGGTTGAGAAACACTGCATTAGAGATTTGGCAAAAAAATAAATAAATCAAGAGAACTGAGAAAAATCCATTTCCACACCATCTCCTGATACGTTTGAAAAGAATGCTAAAGACTCAAAGAATGCTGGACTCTACACTTTCACTAGGGATGTCATCACATTAAGGCAATGAAACGGATGAAAACGTTTGGCTGAGTAGAGCTCCATTTTCCTATGAAACGGAAGCAGGGCTTACCTTCATCACACTTCCATGCAACTCAGTATGGACTCCGCATTCTTTGGGGCTCCACCCACCATTCCTCCCCCTCCTCTATCAAATCCACCCGCTATACTAACGCGAGATCTGAGAAGTTTCTGAGCATGCTCGGTTTGTCCCTTTGGGATGCTGCCGAGAAGAGAGGAGGGAGGAGGGGACGAAGAAAGAAAGGGGGTTGCAAATATGTTCAAAAATTTTGGGAAAATGTATTTCAAGAAATAAGAAGAATCACCCAAATAGAGATAACAGAAACACTGGAGATAGCACTGCTGTCATTTATTGACAATGTTAAAATACCAAAAGAACTAAAAGAATTAATTGCCAATCTGGTAACAGCAGAAAGATTATTAATAGCTAAAAAATGGAAAGAAGGAGGGGAGTGCCAATTGGAAGAGTGGTATAGGGAGATTTGGGACATCGCAATAAACGATAAACTGACAGGAAACATTAAGGTTAAAAAAGGATTATAAATAAAAGATGATTTGGGGAAGATTTGGGGGAAATTGATAGAATATGTATATATAGAAGGTAAGGGGACCAAACCTGTAATAGAAACAACTGAGTTTTGGGAATAAGTATTGTAATTGGCTGGTTGGGGGTGAAGGGTTAGCACTGGGTGATTGGATATAATGAAGCAGAAGAATGAATTATTATAGGTATCAAGACATATATGTTCTGTACAATTGTCAATGGGAAGTGATAAGTATAAGAATGTTTAAATACGGAATATGTTAAAGCTACAATAAATAAAAAAATTAAAAAAGAAAGAAAGAAAGGGGGATTCGGTGTTTCTGTGGTCGTTCTGGCATTGGGGAAGGGGCCACTCATGAAAGATTTCCCCGGACCCCCTTCCTGTGGACTGAGAGCAATGAAACTTGGCCCCGTTCTGAGTCCTCCTCTCCATCGGTGCCACCTTGGGACACACAATTCTCCCATCGTATTGTCAAAGACTTTCTTGGCCGGACTCACTGGGTTGTTGTAATAATATAATCAATAATAAACTTTATTTATACCCTGCCACCATCTCCCCGATGGGGACTTGGAGCGGCTTACATGAGGCCAAGCCCAAACAACAAATTACAATAAAAACCGAAAACACAAACAATAAACAACAACATCATTATTACATAAAACGTGAATACATCTATATAAATAAAAATGAGAAGAGAAACGGAAGAAGACGTTTTCAAGAACCCCTTCCCCTCACCACCACCCCTCCTTGGATCCCTCTTTCCACAATCTTTCTTTCCCCCCTTCCCACCCCCCCCAAACCCCCTTACCCCCTCCACCTTTTCCTCCCTCTTCCCTTCCCCCTCCCCCATCCCCATCTCTACCTTGTTTTTAAATGCTGTTTATAGAAAATTTACTAATAAAAAATTATTTTTAAAAATGTAATGTTCGTTTGTGGGATTCACAGAACTCAAAAACCACTGGGCGAATTGACACCAAATTTGGACACAAGACACCTAACAGTCCAATTTATGTCCTCCACTCAAAAAAATTGATTTTGTCATTTGGGAATTGTCGTTGCTGGGATTTATCGTTTACCTACAATCAAAGAGCATTCTGAACTCCACCAATGATGGAATTGGGCCAAACTTAGCACACAGGGCTCCCATGACCAACAGAAAAAACTGGAAAGGTTTGGTGGACATTGACCTTGAGTTTGGGAATTATAGTTCACCCACATCCAGAGAGCACTGTGGACTCAAACAATGATGGATCTGGACCAAACTTGGCACGAATATTCCATATGCCCAAATATGAACACAGATGGAGTTTAAGGGAAATAGACCTTGACATTTGGGAGTTGTAGTTGCTGGGATTTATAGTTCACCTACAATCAAAGAGCATTCTGAACTCCACCAATGATGGAATTCAACCAAACATGGCATACAGGACTTCCATGACCAACAGAACACACTGGAAGGGTTTGGTGGGCATTCACCTTGAGTTTGGGAGTTGTAGTTCATCTACATCCAGAGAGCACTGTGGACTCAAACAATGATGGATCTGGACCAAACTTGACACAAAAATTCCATATGCCTAAATATGAACACAGATGGAGTTTGGAGGAAATAGACCTTGACATTTGGGATTTGTAGTTACTGGGATTTATAGTTCACTACAATTAAAGAGCATTCTGAAACCCACAAACGACAGAAATGGGGCAAACTTCCCACACAGAACCCCCATGACCAACAGAAAATACTTAAGGCCATCCAGTCCAACTCTCTTCACCAGGGCAAGAAAATGTAATCAGAGCCCTCCTGACAAAGAGCCATCCAGTCATAAATATAGATAGATAGATAGATAGATAGATAGATAGATAGATATTATTCTCTCTCACAGATATAGTATCATAGATTTGAAAGGGACTCCTAAAGAAGGACCATGATATGTTGCATATTCCAGAGTATAGCAAACCAGACACTCTCCACATCGACACTGACAAAGAAACAACAAGAAATACTGTTTACTCACAAGCATAAAGGAATTACATATATTAGAAACCAACACTTTCTCATTACTTTATTTTCCAGATCACCAGACTGGGCCACAGCAACGCGTGGCAGGGGACAGCTAGTAAATAATATTCTTTATTTATACCCTGCTGCCATCTCCCCAATGGGGACTCGGAGTGGCCTACATGAGGCCAAGCCCAAACAATAAATTACAACAGAGTAAAATCGAAAACACAAACCCAAAACGCAAACAATAAACAACAATATCATAATTACATAAAACATGTGAATACATAACAATAGGCACAATCATAATGGCAATGGGCGGGCTACATTCATTGACCTTGCAAAGACATTCGACACAGTGAATGAATCGCAGCGCTCTCTGGACCATCCTCCAAGAAATTGGGTGCCCAAACAAATTTGTGAATATCCTGTGACACCTTCGCCACATACATACAGGACAGGACAGAGTGAAAACTAGACATAAGACCTTTCCCCAGCAGAAGCAAATGAGCTCTCCAAGCTGGCTGTCCTATTTTGGGGAAATTTGGAGTTGATTCTGGCTTTGGAGAGGACTTCTATACCTTTAGTGGTGGCTGTAGAAGACCCAATTTCAGTAAGCATTCTTTAGGAAGAACTTGAAGATCTGGCTATTCCGATGTGCCTTTCCAGAATAGGGTAACCTCCAGCACTACGTCCCAGAAGCACTTTATTAGAGTTTAAGACTCTCTGCACATTGCACTTGCCCAGAATACCAACATATCACCTCTCACACCCAGCACTTTTTTAACCTGTACCCTTCATTGGCCCGGGCCTGGTTTTATTGTGTAATAGTGTAATGTTTTGGTTTTGTTATTGCTTATGTTTTTAATTTGCTTTGCGTTGTATTGTTATTGTCTGTTGTTGTGTTGGCCTTGGCCTTTGTAAGCTGCATCGAGTCCTTCGGGAGATGCTAGCAGGGTACAAATAAAGTTTAATAATAATTAATAATAATAATAAGCATCGCTTTTGAACCTGGTTGTGCAATAAATTGCTGAAACCCCATCTTCTATGCAACCTTTAAAGGAGTGTTTCTCAGCCTCGGGCTCTGGACCCTTGTGGGGTGTCAGAGAAGTCACCAAAGCCCATAACAAAACAGTATTTTCTGTTGGTCATGGAGGTTCTGTGTGGGAAGTTTGGCCCAATTCTATCGTTGGTGAGGTTCAGAATGCTCTTTGATTGAAGGTGAACTATAAATCCTACCAACTACAATTCCCAAATGCCAAGGTCTATTTTCCCCAAACTTTCAGAGGGTTTGCCAACATATATTTCTGATGGTCTTAGGGGCTCCTTTGGCCGAGAAGGCTGAAGATCTCTCCGCCTATCTTTCTCTTCCTTTTTGGAAACAGACAAGGAATCTTCCCACCAAAAGCCCTCCTCCACTCTAATTGGCTGGCCTCTCAGCCAAGGGGAGGGATGTTTCTGAGACTCCCAGTGGGGAGGGGAGAGCAGTCATGCTCAGTGCATGGCAGCGAGGAAGAGCGTGCAAAGCTGGAGGGAGGCTTGTCCCAGCAAGCCCCTTCAAGCCATGGGGGTTCTGTGTGGGAAGTTTGGCCCAATTCTATCGTTGGGGTTCAGAATGCTCTTTGATTGTAGGTGAACTATAAATCCCAGCAATTATGACTCCCAAATGTCAAGGTATATTTTCCCCAAACTCCACCAGTGTTCACATTTGGGCATATTGAGTATTCGTGTCAAGTTTGGTCCAGAGCCATCATAGTTTGAGTCCACAATAGGTGAACTACAACTCCAAAGTTCAAGGTCAATGTCCTCCAAACCCTTCCAGTATTTTCTGTTGGTCGTGGGAGTTCTGTGTGCCAAGTTTGGTTCAATTCCATCGTTGGTGGAGTTCAGAATGCTCTTTGATTGTAGGTGAACTATAAATTCCAGCAACTACGACTCCCAAATGTCAAAGTATATTTCCCCCAAACTCCACCAGTGTTCACATTTGGGCATATTGAGTATTGGTGTCAGGTTTGGTCCAGAGCCATCATTGTTTGAGTCCACAATAGATGAACTACAACTCCAAAGTTCAAGGTCAATGCACTCCAAACTCTTCCAGTATTTTCTGTTGGTCGTGGGAGTTCTGTGTGCTAAGTTTGGCCCAATTCCATCGTTGGTGGAGTTCAGAATGCTCTTTGATTGTAGGTGAACTATAAATCTCAGCAACTACAACTCCCCAATGACAAAATCAATCCCCCCAACCCCACCAGTATTCAAATTGTTCTGATTTTGTGCCAAATTTGGTCTAGTGAATGAAAATATATCCTGCATATCAGATATTTACATTACACTTCATAACAGTAGCAAAATTACAGTTGTGAAGTAGCAACAAAAATGTTATGGTTGGGTGTCACCACAACATAAGGAACTGGATTAAGGAGTTGCGGCATCGGAAGGTTGAGAAACACTGCTTTAAAGGTAGAGCCCTCTCCAATTTTCCACCTGCAATCCCAAAACCCATCCTGAGCTTCCTTGGTCTTCAGAGGAGGTTGGCTTGTGCTGTCCTATCTTTTTAAAGCCAGCCATGACTACAAGGGGCAGATGTGACTTCACAGTCAGTCAAGTAACAATGGGGAGAGGTGGCTGATGGGGCAAGCAGCAACCAAGAGGGCTGCAGGGGACCTGGAGGGAACCCTGGGCTTGTGCGGGGAAAGGGAAGAGGTGACTTGGGATGTTACGCTGTGCCAACAAGAAGAAAATAGTGATGGACGACCCCTGGTTTAAGACCCGCTGTGACATTAAGAGCCAGGGGCAGCCAAAGGTATGCAAGCGGGTGATGTCACGAATAACCTTTCAATAAATTTAAATCATAGTTTTTTTGTAATTGCAATTTTCCAGTGTGAGAGGGTATATTTATTATTATTATTATTATTATTATTATTATTATTATTATTATTTTAACTTTATTTGTACCCCGCTAGCATCTCCCAAGGGATTCGATGCGGCTTACAACAGGCCGAAGCCCAACACAACACAATACAACAATACAGTACATAGCAAATAAAACAGTTAAGCAAAAACAATAACAATAGCAGTACAACAAGACATTATTAAAAACTGAGCCGGCCGGAGTAGGGGTACAGGATTAAAAGTGCTGATGTGTCGGAGGGATATGGGATTATAATATAAGTGCGGTGTGCTGTGATCTTGGTTCTAACTAAAGTGCTTCTGGGATTTGGTACTGGGGTTCCTAGTCTGAAAAGGCACATCGGAACAGCCAGGTTTTCAAATTCTTTCTGAAGACTGCCAGTGTAGGGGCTTGTCTGAGGTCTTTCGGGAGGGCATTCCAGAGGCGGGGGGCCACCACAGAGAAGGCCCTGTCTCGTGTCCCCACCAAGCGCGCTTGTGACGCGGGCGGGATCATGAGCAGGGTCTCTCCAGATGACCGGAGTGAACGTGTGGGTTCGTAGACAACGATACGGTCACGCAGGTAGGGTAGTCCCAAACCGTTCAGGGCTTTGTAGGTAAGCACCTGCACCTTAAATTGGGCTCGGAAAATAAACGGCAGCCAGTGGAGCTCCTTAAACAGGAGGGTTGACCTCTCTCTGTAATGGGCCCCAGTTAACATCCTGGCTGCTGCCCGTTGGACCAATTGGAGTTTCCGAGCTGTTTTCAAGGGCAGCCCCACGTAGAGCGCATTGCAGTAATCCAGTATTTATTTGAAGCATTTATATCCCGCCCTTCTCACCCTGAAGGGGACTCAGGGTGAAGCTCAACATAAATACGGCAAATATTCAATGCCGGAATAAAAACAAACTATAATTATACACATTAAAATCAGTGGAATCCACTTTAAAACAAAATGGTTTAAAACCATCTCAAACCAGCCATACCGGATTATTACCTTCTTGCACGGCCCCAAAATCTTATTATTTATTTATTTATTTATTTCGCTTGTATACCGCTCTTCTCAGCCCTCAGGCGACTCAGAGCGGTTAACAACCAATTCAACAGTACAAAACAGATCATTAGTCATTTAAAACAGCAATATCAATTAATTAGCATCAAAACACCAATACAACAATACAACAAAATAACAATCCATCATGTCTCACCAATAGAATCAGCATCCACTCTCATTGTCCATTAATCCATATTCCAATAGTCAATCAATTGCACTGCTTAGTTGAAAGCCTGTTTGAAGAGCCAGGTCTTCACTCTCTTCCGGAATGCCAGATAGGAGGGGCCCGATCTGATGTCTGTAGGAAGAGCGTTCCACAGCCGAGGGGCCACTACTGAGAAGCCCCTGTCTCTCGTCCCCGCCAGGCGTGCTTGTGAGGCCGGCGGGACCGAGAGAAGGGCCTCCCCAGACGATCTTAACATCCTAACTGGTCCCACAGCCAAGTTTTTCCCATCTTTCTGAAGGACAGGAGGGAGGGGGCTGATCTAATCTCACCAGGAACGGAGTTCCATAGCCAGGGGGCAATCACTGAGAAGGCCCTCATATATATATATATATTATACACACACACACACACACACACACATACAGAGGCAACAATTTGATGCCCAAGAACATCATAAAACATTAATACATAGTATACAACCAAACAAAAGTAATAAAACACAAGCCATTTGCATCTCCTAATTAAAAACATTATCCATTTCGTTGTCAAGTCGTTCCAGGTTCCTATATCTGTGCTGACTTTGGCCTATAAAACCCTAAATGGCCCCGGCCCAGTTTACCTGTGCTATTGCATCTCCCCCTATGAAACACTGTGAATACTAAGATCCTCCAAGGAGACCTCTTTCTCGTCCCCACCAATCACACCTGTGACAGTGGTGGGACCGAGACAGTGGTGGGACCAAGGGCCTCCTTGGATGATGTTAGTATTCACAGTGGTTTATAGGGGGAGATGCGTTCGGACAGGTAAACTGGGCCAGGGCTATTTTATTTATTTATTTATTTATTTATTTATTTATTATTTGAACTTATATGCCGCCACTCCCCTGGGGCTCGGAGCGGCTTACAAGAATGGCTAGAATCTAACACAATTTAAAAACAATTTAAAACAATTTAAAAACAGCAATATCAAACATTAAAAGCCTGTCGAAACAAGTATGTCTTACATGCCCTGCGGAAGCTGATAAGTCCCGCAAGGCATGGACTTCAGGTGGCAGAGTATTCCAGAGCAATGGTGCCACTACTGTAAAGGCCCTGCGTCTCATTGCTGTTAGACGCAAGGTCTTGACACTGGGAATTTCCAATAGATCTTGGTCCTCAGAACGGAGGGATCTCTTAATAGGCCAAAGCCAGCACTTTGAATTGTGCCCAGTAGCAATCTGGCAGTCAGTGGAGCTAATGCAACATGGGAGTTGTGTGCTCCATGTATGCCGCCCCAGTTATTATTCTAGCTGCCTCTCGTTGGACTATTTGAAGCTTCTGAACAATCTTCAAAGGCAACCCCATGTTGAGTTGGCATTAAGAAGGTTGAGAGACACTGGACTAGATGGTCCTTGTGGTCTCTTCATGATTCTATGATTTTGCCTCTAGCCTTCCTTGTCTCCTCTTTCTTACATTCTTCCTTTTCCTCTCCTCTAGATTCATCCGCTTTAGACATGGCCCTGGGTCCTATCATCTTCTTTGTGGTGATGGCGCTGGTCTACCACCCCCTGATGGTCAGCGATGACACGGATCCTGCCACGTTGGGCCGGATCCAGCAGCACGAGGAATTGTTGAACAAGGAGATGGACTACTTGCAAGTAGAATTTGAGCAGAAGGCCTGGAGCTGGGTCCCGAAGCAGAAGCAGAAGCAGGAGAAATTTGTGAAGTCCGACCTGCCGGTGGAAGACGGGACCTGGGATGGTTGGCCTTACGTGGGCCTCATCATCCTTGTTGTCTTTGGCTGCTGCAGGCACACGATGGAAAAGGATACCCATTACGACTCCAGCACGGATGGCTCCAGCACGTCCACCACAGATGAATACGACTACGACACAGACATGGAGCCGGAAGTTGGCAAACCCAACCAGAAGAAGCTGGAGGCCTTCTATGACTGCTATATCGGACTGGAAAACGGCGACTTGAAGAACGTGTGCGATTTTGTGGAGACCTTCGTCAACGATTTGTTGGATGAAGGTCGGAAAACCCTTCCATACCAGAACACCCTTCCTCTGATGGAGAACTGCATCGGAGTGGGCAGCGCCTTTGAAGGGTGGCACGTACAACGGCTGTCAAAACCCTTCACTGTCCTGGTGCCCCTCCTGCCGCCCAAAGGCCATTCCTTCCAAATCGAAAGCAGTGATGCTGAGGGTGGACCCAGCAAACATGGCCACATTTTGGTGGAGATGGACTGCGTTTGCAAAAGGCAGCGGTTGCTGGGTGACGTGGTGTGCTTCCTCCACCACCCAGACCGGGAGCTGAGTGAAGAAGGCGCATTCCTCCTCCACATTTTGTGCACCAGTTCCCACTTGGATGTGGGGAAGACCATCCGCTGGTACCAGAATTTGGTGGTCAAGGCTTGGAGGAACCTCCGTGAGAGGTACACCCTCGACCTCACGCTCATGCCGTCGGCCACAACATGCCGGTTGAAGCTGGCCTTCCACTCTGGGCGTTCTGTTCTAGTGGACATCACTCTCGGTGTCCAGCAAGGAGACTCCTTGGTCTTCCTAGTCACCCACTGTGGAGACGCCAACCCTACCAAGGGCACCATTTGGCTGAAGACCTTCGCTGTTCAGGAGCTGCTCTTCTTTGAATGGTTTGGCCAACGGGCACCCGAATGGAGCTGTCACTTGAAGTGTCTCCAGATCCTGATGTATCTCAAGGGTTCTGGTAGTCTGTCCGGTAAGAACCCTGTCCTCACTGACTACCATTACAAGACTTGCTTGATGCACCTCTTGCTCCTGCGGCCGGTCTCCAACTGGAACCCTGAGAACCTGGCAACGAGGCTCCAAGACATCCTCTTGTTCTTGCACACGGCACTGCGGGAGAAATATCTCGAGCACTTCCTGATCGGGAACATCTCCTTGCCAATCCAGATCCCAATGCCACAAGTCCTCCGGAGTGCTGAGCCCCTCAATCTTTTTGATCACTTGGCGGCCAACAATGGTCTCCATGCCAAAGCCATAAAGGAAGCCACAGAGATCGTGGAACGGGTGAGGGCCCTCTACTCAAAGCAGGAAGAGTAGCTTGGGTCAGCTTCATTCCCAGAGTCCCATCGAGGAACCATAGAGCCCAATGGCGGGGAAAGTGGTTGATACTGCTTCCAATGGTTCTGAACAAACTTGAATTAGACACACAAGGGAGCGATGGTACCACTGAAGAGTGATCCAAATTCGGCTGTTTTCCTAAGTCATGCTTTACGGATAAGGCAGATAAAGGGTTTCAAATCAATGTCCTTGCAGCAGCTATGATTCTGTATTTTTATATACCCCAGTTCCTCACATATTTGTTCTATTAGACTTCAAATAAAGGCTGGACAAGCGGTGTTCTCAAATTTTATTTCAATGTGATTTGATTTATTATACACCATCTACTTTCCCAATTGAGGAGCCCCTGGTGGCACAGTGGGTTAAACCACTGAGCTGCTGAACTTGCTGACCATAAGGTTTGAATCTGGGGAGGAGGGTGAGCTCCCACTGTTAGCCCCAGCTTCTGCCAACCTAGCAGATTGAAAACAGGCAAATGTGAGTAGATCAATAGGTACCACTCGTTTACATTTACCTTTAACTCCCAAGGTCTGCTCTGGCAACTATAGGAAAAGCTGTAATTTGGGGTACATTTACACTGCAGAATTAATGTAGTTTGAAATCGCTTTGGCCCCCTCTAAACTGCCATATAATCCAGATGATCAAAGCAGATAATCCACATTATCTGCTTTGAACTGGATTATATTTATTTATTTATTTATTTATTTGCTACATTTATATACCGCCCCTCTCAGCCCGCAGATGACTCAGGGCGGTTTACAGTTAACATCAAAGCATAAGAATACAATAAAAACAATTAAAATAATATAAAATCAGAAGGTTTTAGGAAAAGAGACAAAGAGAGTTCCTGACGTCTGGAAAAGCACGGGTTTATTTCCAGCTGGGACTCTGGAGTGGAGCTGTGTCCAAAAACACTTAGAGTGCCTGATAAAGGCGTTGACTGCCTTTTTGTACACTTCAAATGCAGGCAAACATGCATCTACATACACTGACATCATTCTCTGCAGGAGACCCCGGTGGCGCAGTGGGTTAAACCCCTGTGCTGGCAGGACTGAAGACCAACAGGTCGCAGGTTCGAATCCGGAGAGAGGTGGATGAGCTCCCTCTATCAGCTCCAGCTCCTCATGCGGGGACATGAGAGAAGCCTCCCACAAGGATGATAAAACATCAAATCATCCGGGCATCCCCTGGGCAACGTCCTTGCAGACGGCCAATTCTCTCACACCAGAAGCAACTTGCAGTTTCTCAGGTCGCTCCCTGACACGACAAAAAAATAATAATTCTCTGCATCACTTTAGCAACACAGAAATATCAAATTCTATCTTCCAACATACAAAAGGCATGTCTCTGTATTTCTTTCTAAAGAGCAGCATACAGCTTACATCCTTCAATCAAGGGGCCTACTTTGACCTGTCATGAGGAAGAGATAGGCTCCTTACTTAGCTACAGCCTGGGCTCGGTGCCACTAGGATGGGCTTATTTCTCCCCCCTCCCCCTTTAATGTTCACCTCCCTCTTGCTGTGCCTGGACGCAGCTTGCTTGTCCTGTCACCTTGGATTTCTGATACAGAGAGAACTTGATTTTTCTATACATTTCAGTGCTTGTAAAGTACACACAATTTATACATAAATAAATATCTATATTTCTAATATCTCCCCATCAAATCTACACTGCCATATAATCTAGTTCAAAGCAGATGATCTGGAATGTCTATGTAGAAGTGTAGAAGTGGTCTCTTATAATCATAGTAACCCAGAACAGCACCTTGTTGGTCAGCCAATGGGGAAACTAGGAGTTCTTTGTCCAATGAGAAGTGAGGAGCACTTTCCGTCTAGCCCAGGTCTGGGCCAACATGGGCCCTCCACCGGGTAGGCGGTTAGGAATGGTGGGAGTTGAAGCCCAAAACACCTGGAGGGCTCAAGTTGGCCCAGGCTTGGCCCTGCCAATGGGGAAGCGAGGAGTGCTTGACTCTTCACCCTTAGGCGATCCCTCATTGGACGAGTAGGATAGTCTTCCATGATCATTATTCTTGTGGATCCGTAGGTGACTGTGGAGCCCTATTCTTGATCTGCATCTTCTCCCGCAGTGAGGGCATTGGTTTCCAGGTGGAAGGTGGTCTCGGTCGGGGTTGGCTTGACACGCCCTTCCTCCTGGCACGTTTCTCTCTTTCACCCTCCATTCGTGCCTCTTCAAATTCTGCAGCACTGCTGGCCACAGCTGACCTCCAGCTGGAGCGCTCAAGGGCCAGGGCTTCCCAGTTCTCAGTGTCTATGCCAGAGATTTTAAGGTTGGCTTTGAGCCCATCTTTAAATCTCTTCACCCAACTGGGAAGCGATTACCACTTTGTTGGTGTAGGTTTTTTCGGGCTGTAAGAACACTTTTCCTCTGGGTGGATCTTCGTCTTTACTCTCGTGGCTTGTTTTCGATCTTGCAGCTCTTCTGATGTCTGAGGTGGAGTCTCCATTGGCCTGTAGAGCCCAGTTGAGGTGGTTCGGTTCATCTTGAAGGAGGTGGTTAGGAGGTTGCCTCACCACCAGCTGCTTTCAGTGGGACAATGAATTCTACAAACAGAAAGATGGAGTAGCTATGTGGAGCCCCCTCAGCGCGGTCATAGCTAATTTCTACATGGAACACTTTGAAAAACAAGCCCTGGAGACAACAACAAAAAAGCCCACTATATGGTTCAGATATGTGGGTGACACTTTCACCATTTGGAGCCATGAAGAAGAAGAACTAAACAGGTTCCTGGACCATCTTAACAGCATCCACCCAAACATCCAATTCACCATGGAAAAGGAAGACTGCCTTTTCTAGATGTCCTAGTCATCCGTAAACCAGATCAACAATTGGGTCACACCGTTTACAGAAAACCCACACACACAGATAGATATCTACATAAAAACTCCAACCATCACCCAAGTCAAAAAAGAAGCACAATTAAAGCCTTGGCAGACCGTGCAAAAAGAATCTGCGAACCCCACCTCCTCCAAGATGAACTGAACCACCTCAACTGGGCTCTCCAGGCCAATGGATACTCCACCTCAGACATCAGAAGAGCTGCAAGACCAAGAACAAGCCAGGAGAGTAAAGACGAAGATCCACCCTTGATGTTCTTGCCATACATCAAGGGAACCACTGACTGAATAGGGAAGCTGATGAGGAAACACAATATACAAACAATCTACAGACCCACCAAGAAAATCCAACAAATGCTACGTTCAGCAAAGGACAAGAGGGATCCTCTCACCTCTGCAGGAGTCTACCGTATACCATGCAGCTGTGGACAAGTCTACATAGGGACCACCAAACGCAGCAGCATTGCCCAAACACGAATCAAGGAACATCAAAGGCACTGCAGACTACTTCAACCAGAGAAGTCAGCCATAGCAGAGCACCTGATGAACCAGCCTGGACACAGCATATTATTTGAGAACACAGAAATGCTGGACCACACCAACAACCACCATGTCAGACTACACAGAGAAGCCATTGAAATCCACAAGCATGTGGACAATTTCAACAGAAAGGAAGAGACCATGAAAATGAACAAAATCTGGCTACCAGTATTAAAAAACTCTAAAAATTACAACAGCAAAACAGCAGAGAGGAAACAAACAAGGACATCTAATCACCTCTCAACAAAAGATTGCTCCAGGCACTGCCAGGCAATCAAATGCTAATCAAGGTGGTCAGTTGAAACATTCACACCTAGCTACAGCAGAGAAGAGCTCTTTGCCCCACCCTGGTCATTCCACAGATATATAAACCCATTTTCCTATTTCCAACAGACCTCACTACCTCTGAGGATGCTTGCCATAGATGCAGGCGAAACGTCAGGAGAAATGCCTCTAGAACATGGCCATATAGCCCGAAAAAACAACAACAACCCACACATAGGAAATAGTTGTGTTGTGGTTCCCACCTAGCTCCAGCAGACAAGAGTCCTTTGTCCCACCCTGGTCATTCCACAGATATATACACCCACTTTCCTAGTTCCAACAGACCTCACTACCTCTGAGGATGCTTGCCATAGATGTAGGCGAAACGTCAGGAGAAAATGCCTCTAGAACATGGCCATATAGCCCGAAAAAACCTACAACAACTCAGTGATTCCGGCCATGAAAGCCTTTGACAATACATTTTGCATCTTCAAATTCTGCAGCACTGCTGGTCACAGCTGACATCCAGCTGGAGCATCCAAAGGCCAGGGTTTCCCAGATCTCAGTGTCTATGCCAGAGATTTTAAGGTTGGCTTTGAGCCCATCTTTCAATCTCTTCACCCAACTGGGAAGCGATTACCACTTTGTTCAATGAGGAGCGAATACCGCTGAGCTGTTAATCCAATGGGTAATGAGATGAGCGTTTTGTCCAATGAGAAGCGTGGAGCGTTTTACGTCCAGCCAATGGGGAAGCGAGGAGGGCTGGAGTCTTCACCCAATGGGGAGGAGAGGAGCGCTCTGTCCAATGAGAAGCGCTTTACGTCGAGCCAATGAGTAACGAATAGCGGGCCCCAGGCAGGCCACGCCCACCGGACGCCAGTGGAGAAGGCCACCGAGGGGAGGGAACAAAGCGGGCGTCGCTCTTCATTGGACAAAGCGCTATGCGCTTTGTCCAATGAAGAGCGACGCCCGCTTTGTTCCCTCCCCTCGGTGGCCTTCTCCCTTGGCGTGCGGTGGGCGTGGCCTGCCTGGGGCCCAGGGCCTTCGCGGGCGCCGCCTCCCCGCGCGAGAGGGCTCCGGGGCGCGTGCAGAGGGCTGCCAAATGCGGAAGGCCGGGGCGGGGTCGATGGCCGGGGGCGGGGCGGGCGCCGTGGCGGAGGTGGGGGCGGTGCTGGGCGGGCAGGGCTGGCCCTTGTCCTCGGAGGGCGGCGGGTACGACTCGGCCCCGCTGGAGCCCCCCGAGAAGGCCCGCCTCCGCAGGAACACCACCTACATCGTCCTCGCCGTGCTCCTCAACGAGAAGGTGGGTGCGGCAGACCAAGTCCTCCCCCTCCTAGTGCCAGAAAGGGGAGGACTGCCACTCCCATCATCCCCACTTCCCAATCATTAGGCTGATGGGCCTCCTAGTGCCAGAAAGGGGAGGACTGCCACTCCCATCACTCCCACTTCAAAGTCATCAAGCTGATGGGCCTCCTAGTAGCAAAAAGGGGAGGACTGCCACTCCCATCATCCCCCACTTCCCAGTCATTAGGCTGATGGGCCTCCTAGTGCCAGAAAGGGGGGGACTGCCACTCCCATCACCCCCACTTCCCAGTCATCAGGCTGATGGGCCCCCTAGTGCTAGAAAGGGGAGGACTGCCACTCCCATCATCCCCCACTTCCCAGTCATCAGGCTGATGGGCCTCCTAGTAGCAGAAAGGGGAGGACTACCACTCCCATCACCCCCACTTCCCAGTCATCAGGCTGATGGGACCCCTAGTGCCAGAAAGGGGAGGACTACCACTCCCATCACCCCCACTTCCCAGTCATCAGGCTGATGGGCCTCCTAGTGCCAGAAAGGGGAGGACTACCACTCCCATCACCCCCACTTCCCAGTCATCAGGCTGATGGGCCTCCTAGTGCTAGAAAGGGGAGGACTGCCACTCCCATCACCCCCACTTCCCAGTCATCAGGCTGATGGGACCCCTAGTGCCAGAAAGGGGAGGACTACCACTCCCATCACCCCCACTTCCCAGTCATCAGGCTGATGGGCCTCCTAGTGCCAGAAAGGGGAGGACTACCACTCCCATCACCCCCACTTCCCAGTCATCAGGCTGATGGGCCTCCTAGTGCCAGAAAGGGGAGGACTACCACTCCATCACCCCCCACTTCAAAGTCATCAGGCTGATGGGCCTCCTAGTAGCAGAAAGGGGAGGACTGCCACTCCCATTACCCCCCACATCAAAGTAATCAAGCTGATGGGCCTCCTAGTGCCAGAAAGGGAAAGACTACCACTCCCATCACCCCCCACTTTCCAGTCATCAGGCTGATGGGCCTCCTAGTGCCACTCCCATAACCCCCCACTTCCCAGTCATCAGGCTGATGGGACCCCTAGTGCCAGAAAGGGGAGGACTACCACTCCATCACCCCCCACTTCAAAGTCATCAGGCTGATGGGCCTCCTAGTGCCAGAAAGGGGAGGACTGCCACTCCCATCACTCCCACTTCAAAGTCATCAAGCTGATGGGCCTCCTAGTAGCAGAAAGGGGAGGACTGCCACTCCCATCATCCCCCACTTCCCAGTCATTAGGCTGATGGGCCTCCTAGTACCAGAAAGGGGAGGACTGCCACTCCCATCACCCCCACTTCCCAGTCATCAGGCTGATGGGCCTCCTAGTGCTAAAAAGGGGAGGACTGCCACTCCCATCATCCCCCACTTCCCAGTCATCAGGCTGATGGGCCTCCTAGTGCTAGAAAGGGGAGGACTGCCACTCCCATCACCCCCACTTCCCAGTCATCAGGCTGATGGGCCTCCTAGTGCTAGAAAGGGGAGGACTGCCACTCCCATTACCCCCCACATCAAAGTAATCAAGCTGATGGGCCTCCTAGTGCCAGAAAGGGAAAGACTACCACTCCCATCACCCCCCACTTTCCAGTCATCAGGCTGATGAGCCTCCTAGTGCCACTCCCATAACCCCCCACTTCCCAGTCATCAGGCTGATGGGACCCCTAGTGCCAGAAAGGGGAGGACTACCACTCCATCACCCCCCACTTCAAAGTCATCAGGCTGATGGGCCTCCTAGTGCCAGAAAGGGGAGGACTGCCACTCCCATCATCCCCATTTCCCTATAATCAGAAAGCCCCCCTCTGATTATTGGGAAGCCACTTTCCACCAGTGGGCCTGGGATGATGGGAGTTGTAGTGCTCCCCTTTCTGGCACTTCAGGGCCCATAATCTCCCCTTCTTTCTCTCCTTACTCTCCTAAGAAGCTACTTTTAGGCGAGAGAGGAAGGAGGGGGTGGATGCTGAGAGTTGTAGTCCCTCCCCTGAAAGGAAGAACGTTTCTTTTGGATCCAGAGGAAGATGAGCCCTATAGTGCCAGAAAGGAGAGGACTACAACTCCCATCATCCCAGTGTGTGGGTGGGCAGACAATGATGGGAGTTTTAGCCCCCCTCTAAAATGGACTGGCACTCTCCTTACTCTCCTGGGAAGCTACTTTGGGCAATGGGGAAGGAGGGGATGGATACTGGAAGTTGTAGTCCCTCCCTTGAAAAGAAGCACTCCCATAGGAAGGATTTCCATTGGGGATCCAGGGGATGATGTTCCCTGCAGTGCCGGAAAGGGGAGGACTGCCACTCCCATCATCCCCCATTTCCCACCGATATGGGAAAGGGGGCTCTCTCCAGATTCTTGGGAAACTACTTCCCATCTCTTTGGAAGGTGGCTGATGGGAATTGTAGTCCCCCTCCAAAGGGAGCTCTGGTGGGGAGGCGTTGACTGTGTTGGAAAGGGGATGCTGGGCCTTGCAGTGGAAGAAAAGAGGCCTTCTCTCTTGGAATTGATGCTGCTTTGTATCTCACTCAAGACCTAAAAGTGAGATATGATGTTGATGATAGGCTTAAGGGGGATTATGGGTACTGCAGTGTATTAAGAGGGCTTCCTCTTACTTGAGTCGGGAGGAGAGGTAGGCAAAAATAAAATTATTATCCATATAAATAAAAATGTAATGTTCGTTTGTGAGATTAACAGAACTCAAAAACCACTGGACGAATTGACACCAAATTTGGACACAAGACACCTAACAACCCAGTATATGTCCTTCACTCAAAAAAAATGATTTTGTCATTTGGGAGTTGTAGTTTGCTGGGATTTATAGTTCACCTACAATCAAAGAGCATTCTGAACCCCACCAACGATGGAATTGAACCAAACCTGGCACACAGTTCTCCCATGATCAACAGAAAACACTACAAGAGTTTGGTGGGCATTGACTTTGAGTTTGGGAGTTGTAGTTCACCTACATCGAGATATCACTGTGGACACAAACAATGATGGATCTGGACCAAACTCTACACGAATACTCAATATGCCCAAATGTGAACACTGGTGGAGTTTGGGGCAAATAGAATCTTGACATTTGGGAGTTGCAATTGCTGGGATTTATAGTTCACCTACAATCACAGAGAATTCTGAACCCCACAAATGATGGAAATGGGCTAAACCTCCCACACAGAACCCGCATGTGGGCCACAGCAATGCGTGGCAGGGACGGCTAGTTATTAATAATAATAGGAACCTACTTACCATGCTGATTGGTGGGGAAAATTATTATTGTTATTAGGAAACTACTTGTCATGCTGATTGATGGGGAAACATTATTATTATTATTATTATTATTATTATTATTAGATTGGCCCCCTCCCTCCTGACCTTCTGTAAGAAAGTAAAAATGTGGCTCTTTGATCAAGCCTTGGGAGAACCGTGTAACAGACAGATATAGAATTATGTGTAAGGACTACTGGAACGACCCGGATTATGATTATGAACAGCATGATGTAACTGTGGTAATATTGGTTTAATTGTTTTTAAATGATTTTGATGTATTTATAATCCTACTAGCCGTCCCCTGCCACGCATTGCTGTGGCCCACATGGGGGTTCTGTGTGGAAGGTTTGGCCCAATTCTGTCATGGTGGGGTTCAGAATGCTCTGTGATTGTAGGTGAACTATAAATCCCAGCAACTACAACTCCCAAATGTCAAGATTCTATTTTCTTCAAACTCCACCAGTGTTCACATTTGGGCATATTGAGTATTCGTGTAGAGTTTGGTCCAGATCCATCATTGTTTGAGTCCACAGTGATCTCTGGATGTAGGTGAACTACAACTCCCAAACTCAAAGTCAATGCCTACCAAACTCTTGTAGTGTTTTCTATTGATCATGGGAGTTCTGTGTCCCAAGATTGGTCAATTCCATCATTGGTGGAGTTCAGAATGCTCTTTGATTGTAGGTGAACTATAAATCCCAGCAACTACAACTCCCAAATGACAAAATCAATTTTTTTGAGTGAAGGACATACATTGAGTTGTTAGGTGTATTGTGTCCAAATTTGGTGTCATTTTGTCCAGTGGTTTTTGAGTACTGTTAATCCCACAAATGAACATTACATTTTATTTATATAGATTTTAAATGTTTATTTTAATTTTACATTGTTTTAATGGCACCGAGTAGTTGTCTATGTTGTTACGCTTCTTTGAGTCCCCTTCAGAGTTGAGAAAGGCAGCGTAGAAATGTCGCGAATAAGCAACTTGCCATGCTGATTGGTGAGGGAATTTATTACTATTACTACTATTGTTGTTGTTGTTGTTAGGAAGCTCCTTGCCATCCTGTTTGGTGAAGGAATGCTGGGCCTCCCAGTCCAAATGCAAGCCCTCCCAAACGCTGGCTTCCTGTCTGTTGAAGAGGAATGGGTCAGTTGGTTCTTGTGGGTTTTTTCGGGCTATATGGCCATGTTCTAGAGGCATTTTTCCTGACGTTTCGCCTGCATCTATAGCAATGAGGATGCTTGCCATAGATGCAGGCCAAATGTCAGGAGAAATGCCTCTAGAACATGACCCTATAGCCCGAAAAAAACCATAAGAAACTTGTGATTCCAACCATGAAAGCCTTCAACAAAATGGGTTAGTTGTCTACTTTGGAGGCTGAGAGTGACCCCTACTGACCCTCACCTTTCTTTCTTTCTTTGCAGAGCGAGGTGCTGGTGATGCAGGAGGCCAAGCGGGAGTGCTATGGGGCCTGGTATCTGCCGGCGGGGCGCATGGAGCCCCGGGAGACCATTGTGGGCGCCATGCGCCGGGAGGTGCAGGAGGAGACCGGACTCCAGTGCCAGCCAGTCACGCTGCTGGCTGTTGAGGAGCGTGGTCCCGGCTGGATCCGCTTCGTCTTCCTGGCCCAGCCCACTGGTAAGGGGTCAAGGGGCCTCCTTCCACTGCACTGTCCATTAGACTCCATAGGGATCAAGGGCCAGGAGCGATAGGCATTGCAATGCAGAACCCAACCCTGGAACGTACACAGCACCCGTGCACATCCCAGATTCATCCATCTACCTGATCCATCCATTTCAAGAGGGATCTAAAAACCTGGTTTTTCCGATGTGCTTTTTGGAGAGTAGCCATATTATCATACACAGTTGCTCCCCCTCAACGGTTTTTGTCCCCAGAGTATATTCCCCACCTGTATGAAGGTCTATATTTATGACACCGTTCCTTTACGAGTTTCTCCCCAATGAACAATCTGCTCCATCCCTATCTCATCCTGATTTTAGTATTTTTTATTATCTTAGTTTTTGTCTTGCACATGCAGCCCGCTCATTGTGACGCCTTAGTCACTTCCAGATTGGACTACTGTAATGCGCTCTACGTGGGGCTGCCCTTGAAAACGGCCCGCTAATTTCAATTGGTCCAATGGGCAGGCCAGGTTGTTAACTGGTGCTCCTTACAGGGAGAGGTCAACCCTCCTGTTCAAGGAGCTCCATTGGCTGCTGTTCATTTTCCGGTCCCAATTCAAGGTGCAGGTGCTTACCTACAAAGCCCTAAACGGTTTGGGACCCGCCTACCTGCGTGACCGCATCTCTGTACGAACCCACACGATCTCTTCGTTCATCTGGAGAGGCCCTGCTCACGATCCCACCTGCATCGCAAGCGCGATTGGTGGGGACGAGGGATAGGGCTTTCTCGTGGTGGCCCCTCGACTCTGGAACTCTCTCCCTAAGGACATCAGGCAGGCCCCGTCGCTAGCAATCTTTAGGAGGAGCTTGAAAACATGGTTGTTCCAATGTGCCTTCCCAGAATAGGAAACTCCTAGCATTATGTCCCAGCGCACTTTATCAGAGATCCAGGATATCTGCATGCCCATCCCCCTCCAAACACTCCACCTGGTCATGCCCAGCACTTTTAATTTTAATTATTACATTTGGCCCTGCCATTGTTTTTAATTGCGTCATTGTGTGTTGTTAATGTTTTTTGAGTTATTTTGCTGTTGTTGCTGTTGTTTTTACTATTGTATTTGGGCTCAGCCTCTTGTAAGCCGCACTGAGTCCTTCGGGAGATGGTAACGGGGTACAAATAAAGGTTTATTATTATTATTATTATTATTATTATTATTATTACTATTATTATTATGTTATTTTATTTTATTTTACTGTGTATGATTTTGCTTTATCGTCTTTGTACTCATATGTTGTATGTATTTTACTGTGTTGTTATTGTGTTTTGGTTTTACTTTATTGTAATATGCTGTTGGGCTTGGCCTCATGTAAGCCGCCCCAAGTCCCCATTGGGGAGATGGTGGCGGGGTATTAAATAAAGATTATTATTATTATTATTATTATTATTATTATTATTATTATTACCTAGCCCCTTTGACCAACAAAATGACAACACAACTATGATGTATTTTGTGGATTTGATATGTTTTGTAGGATCCAAGAATTGGGTCCACAAAAAGCCAAATTTTCCAAAATCCAGTGATCAAAGGGACAGAAAGTGAGGTGAAACCTCCTGAACAGGGGCACAGACAGGGACGTTCATCCTTCTCTTGGTCTGGACAATAGACATTTTTTTAATCTCCTGAAGACAACACTAGTTTTGGCCCACTGACTAACATTCTTCGGCCTACTCACTCTCCTCAGGACGACACTAGCTTTGGCCCATTGACTCTAACAAGCTTCGGCCTACTCACTCTCTTCAAGACGACACTAGCTTTGGCCCACTGACTCTAACAAGTTCGGCCTACTCACTCTCCTCAGGACGACACTAGCTTTGGCCCACTGACTCTAACAGGCTTTGGCCTACTCACTCTCCTCAAGACGACACTAGCTTTGGCCCACTGACTACAGGCTTCAGCCTACTCACTCTCCTCAGGACGACACTAGCTTTGGCCCATTGACTCTAACAGGCTTTGGCCTACTCACTCTCTTCAAGACGACACTAGCTTTGGCCCACTGACTATAACAGGCTTCAGCCTACTCACTCTCCTCAGGACGACACTAGCTTTGGCCCACTGACTCTAACAGGCTTTGGCCTACTCACTCTCCTCAGGACGACACTAGCTTTGGCCCAGACATAGGTTTGTCTCACACTCCTCAGAACAACACCAGCTTTGGACCACTGACTCTAACAGGCTTCGGCCTACTCACTCTCCTCAGGACAACACTAGCTTTGGCCCACTGACTCTTAACAGGCTTCGGCCTACTCACTCTCCTCAGGACGACACTAGCTTTGGCCCACTGACTCTAACAGGCTTCGGCCTACTCACTCTCCTCAGGACGACACTAGCTTTGGCCCACTGACTAACAGGCTTCGGCCTACTCACTCTCCTCAGGACGACACTAGCTTTGGCCCACTGACTCTAACAGGCTTCGGCCTACTCACTCTCCTCAGGACGACACTAGCTTTGGCCCACTGACTCTTACAGGCTTCGGCCTACTCACTCTCCTCAAGACAACACTAGCTTTGGCCCACTGACTAACAAGCTTTGGCCTACTCACTCTCCTCAGAGAGACACCCGCTTTGGCCCACTGACTTTAACAGGCTTCAGCCTAACTCTTTCAGTGCTTGATTCACTTTTTAAATAAAAAATATCCAGTTAATATTTAATATTTCTGACACTTGTCTGAACTTAGAAGATGTGGAGGGTCCGGCTTGTGGTCCCCCAAGACTGCTAGATCTCTTTCTGAAGGTCTGCTTCCAGCTTGGGTGCCACGTGTTGGAATTCAACCCCAACTGCTCAAGCCCTCAATGAGGAGCGGTTCGTTAGCATTAGAATAGTCTGAGGGTTTCACTTCCCCCAGGTCTCCTGTATGACAGTTGGGAATGTACCTTTCTTCTCTCTCCTGTTTCTGCTCTCATTCTGATTAGTTAATACTTTTCTACTGCAAGCCTTTTTGACTCTGCCTTCTGCCTTCTTACACTTTAGTCTGGAGAGTATGTGCTGTGTGCTTTGAGATCTCTTTCTGCTTGTGTGTCAGGAGAGATGGAGTGATTGAGCTTTTCTCTCTCTTGAAACTCAGAAGAGATGGGTGTTGGAGTAGTTCAGACCCAGTCCTTGATTTTTAAGAAATGCAGTTATTTATTATTGTATGGTGGCCCCTCGGCTGTGGAACGCCCTTCCCTTGGACATTCGATCAGCCCCTTCGTTAATGGTATTTCGAAGAAAACTAAAAACCTGGCTGTTTGAACAGGCGTTCGGATAAACAGTGCAATTGTACACGATGAATATAGGATACGGAATTATGGATGACGAATTGGATCATGATTCTAGTTACGAGACGCYAATGTGTTGGTATTGATGMGTTATTACCCTGTATATTATGTTGTTTAATGGTTTTAAATTTTGTATGCCTGTTGGACTGACTTTTTGCTCTTGTTGTGAACCGCGTTGAGTCGCCTACGGGCTGAGAAACGGCGYTATACAAGCAAAGTAAATAAATAAATAAACCTTTTCTGMTTTTTTTAAAAGTTTGGATTCTGCATGTTTGCCTCCTAAGCAAACATGCAGACGGCACTTCACACYCTGCTTGCTAATGGGCTGATGCTCAACTTTTGTATCCTGTTTGTGTTTGGATACTCTGCTGTATATTTTAGGGTAGTTTTCCCTAACAGTCTGTGCCACAAAAACAACAGAGTTCTTGGAGTAGAACTACTACTTTCAAAGTAAGTGTCACTTTCAGCAGTTGATGGTGGTTAGAATACAGGAGGCTTGGCAGGACCATGACATGTAGGATGGTGGTGCTTCAGAAGGTATAGAAGAGATTTATCTTCCACCTAGTTCTAAAAGGCAGAGTAATATAGGAAACGGAATTATGGAAGACAAATTGGATCACGATTCTAGTTACGAGACGTTAATGTGTTGTTATTGATGTGTCATTTTGTATATTATGCTGTTAATGGTTTTTAAATTTTGTATGCTGTTGGATTGACTTTTGCTCTTGTTGTAAACCGCATTGAGTTGCCTACAAGGCTGAGAAATTGCGGTATACAAGCAAAGTAAATAAATAAATAAATAAATAAAATAATCTGTAGGTAAGAACTTACAGGCTGTAGCAATTAAGGACAGAGGTCTGCATGAGAGAATGCAGCTGTGATCAACTGCATAAAAAGAACTGAGCAGAGACTGCTTTTGGAGAAATGTATCTGCCATACTTGGCTGTGGATTGTGGCGATGTTTCCCCCAGTTGTGGATTATGGTATCCAGACGTGTATCTCATGAATTCTTATAAGTCGAAGGCTTTCATGGCTGGAATCACTCAGTACTTGTGGGTTTTTTCGGGCTATATGGCCATGTCCTAGAGGCATTTCTCCTGACGTTTCGCCTGCATCTATGGCAAGCTCTGAGGAAGCTTGCCATAGATGCAGGCGAAACGTCAGGAGAAATGCCTCTAGAACATGGCCATATAGCCCGAAAAAACCCACAAGAACTGAATTCTTATAAGCCTTGTACCTTGTTGAACCTTGAACCAAGAAGACTATTGTGTTGGTGAACCTTGTTGTTCAACTTTTGTATCTTGTTTGTGTTTGGATGCCACCTGCCCTGTCAGTGTGCCCTTTCCCTGCAGAAGCATAGCGCCTTATCTTTCCCCCTGCTGATGCTCATTTGTCCCTTTGTCATTGCAGGTGGGACACTGAAGACACTGCAGGAGGCAGATGGGGAGTCCCTGCAGGCCCAGTGGTGGGACCGCAAGACACCAGCTCTGAAGTTGAGGGCGAGGGACATCCTGCCGCTGATGGAGCTGGCTCTGCAATACAAGGCCAGCCCAGGCCACCCTCCGGTGCTACCAACTGAGTTGCCCTGCCCCTGGGTGGGCCAGCGCCTCCTCCTGGTCTTTGCTGGCAGCGGAGGGGAGCTGTGGGTGCTGCTAGCTGTTGCTGGAGGCACTCCGCACCTCCCGGTGGCAGCCAGTGGGCTCTCCCCCTCAGAGTTGGGCGAGCGGCTGTTGGTGGGGGTCCACCGCCTGCTGCGGCGCTGCCTGCCCCCACCTACCCAGGCCTCCGCCCGCGTCCGGGGCCTGCTGGGAGTCCAGCACCTGGGCAAAGAGCCCGGTCAGAGCGACGGGGTCTGCTTCAACGTGGCTGCCACCCTGGAGGAGGCCCCTGGGCGGCCCCCCAAGCCCAGCCCCCCGACCCTGCGCAGCCCGGACTTTGCCTGGTGGAAGGTGGAGGACGGGGCATTGCGGAGCAGGATCCTCCAGCGGCTCAGCCAGGACTCCTTCGTCCCCGTCTGCAGTTAGGCGCCAAGCCTTGCCTGCCTTCCTTCCTTCCTTCCTTTCATTCCTGCGAACCCCGGATGTCCCGAGACGCAATTAAGCAAGTAAGCAGGAGCCCTCCACCAAGCGACTGCAAGCAAAGCATCCTGGGGAGAAACTCCCTAATTCCCTCCCTTCCCTCTCTCTTTTCCTTCCCAGCCAGGTGAGAATGTCCCCCCCGCGCAAAGCAGGACACTCAACTCCCACCATAGAAACCCCAGGAACACTCCTTTCGCATGAAGCCAATCACAACAACGGAGGGTTTGTTTCTGCCGGAACCTTTGGAACTGCCTGACCCTCACCCTCTTTGGACCTTCTTTTCCGAAAAGCAGGCAGAACTGCCCCCATGTCTAACCCACCCCTCCTTCCTTCCCTTCCTGGCACACAGCACCCCTTTCTCCAAGGAGACGGCTCCCACAGGGAAGCCCAGAAAGGCCCCTGAGGTCCAGGACTGCGGCTGGACATTATAGACCTCCCACTTGGCTTTCTTGCCACAATTCCATTTGGTAACAAATAAAAAAGGGGCCGTTTCCCCCCGTTTTCCCTGTGCTGTTCTCTCTCTCTTTGTACAAAAACGTGCAGTCTCCTTAGTCTCCATCACTGATTCTTTAGTTCAGTGTCGTGGTTAGGAAAAGTTTGGGAACTAGGAACATTTCCTGGATGCCACCTAGTGGCTGTTTTAGGCATTTACACAATGGTGTTACAAGGGGCGTTCATTAAAGATTTCCCCTGACCCACTTCTAATGATCACAGGATGCTGAAACTGCCCATGTGTAATGATATAAGTCTCTATAGGTTACATGCCAATGTACAAATCAGAACTGATAACAGTCTTGATTGTACAGGTGCGGAAGTGGTGTGAGGTTTGAGAATGGACCCAGTGGAATCCAGAGCAGTCCTCCAGTTCCTTTCCTTGAAAGGCCGCACACCAAATGAGACAGTTGATGAGATGAAAGAGGTTTCTGCTGAGGATTCTCCAGCATAGGATGGAGTCAAGAACTGGCAGTGCCAATTCTAAAGTGGTTGGACTGTGGTGCAAACTACTCCAATTCCAGGGTGACCCCACTCTGCTACTGATGAACACACCATCCAGCAAGTAGAGGTCGCCATTTTGGAAAATTTGCCACCTAGCCCAAAATGTTACGGTGAGTGTGGAGTCCATGGAAAAAACCACCCAAGACCATCTTTCCATGCATAAGGTATCTGCTTGCTCCCCCCCCCCCCCCCCAGGTTGCTCACACCTTTCCAGAAGCAGGAACAAATTGAATGCTCTCAGGCTCTCTTGACAATGATGTGCCATGGAAACCAGGAGGACTTTGTCAACAGACTGATCACACAGGAGGAAAGCTGGGTCCATCACTCTGATCCTGAGCCTCAAGTCCAGTTGATGCAATGGAAGCATCCTGATTCACCGCCTCCAAAGAAGACACATGCCCAACTCAGCAGGAAGGTCATGCTCACAGTATTTTGGGACCAGCAAGGAGTAGTCTTGTTGGATTCCCTAGCAAAGGATACCATGATCACTGGAGCAGAATAGGTTTCACTGCTGTGAACATTCTGGGAGGCCATGCAAACCAAGAGACAATGTGTCATGCTCACCAAAGGTGCCTGCCTTCAGCAAGACAATACCCCAGCTCACAACTGTCCTGTTGCCCAAATGGAAGAAGCATGCTTCCATGGCTTTGAAATTCTCCCGCATCCCCTATTCACCCGATCTCGCACCATCGGACTTCCACCTCTTTCCAACAGTGAATTTTGAAGGGCAAGCATTTCTCCGGAGAGGACTCTGATTTCTGAAGTCACAACATGGCTTTTGGAGCAAACTGTTGACTTCTACAAGCGAGGAGTTTACAGTTGCTTCAAAAGAGAGGAGAAGTGTGTGTCCCTAGGTGGCACCCATGGAGAGAAGAAGGACTCAGAACGGGGCTGAGTTTCATTGCTCTCAGTCCACAGGAAGTGGGTCAGAGGAAATCTTCAATGAATGCCCTCGTAGTACGAACACCGTGAAATGTTTGCAGCAAATCCTTCAGCTGTGCTTCAAAAGGGAAACCAACCTGTTTATCAAGCCCTGCAAATGCTGGTTTGTTATCAGTAAATGGTTGTATACCTTGTATATACCCAGGGTCGTGGAAAACTTTCTTGGGTCAAAAGAGGTTCTGAGTGGGAAAGTTTAAGAAGCCCTGGTCTAGATGAACCCAGGTGCTCCTTTATGCCTTACACTTCAGCAAAAGACAACAGAGCCAGTTATGCAGAGGTCCCTGCAAGGGGCTCTCAGCCTCCAACAGCAACAGATCCAGGGCTCCAGCATGTCCAGCACAGGCTTGGGTTTTATTTAGGCACACCTGAGAAGTAGGTTGCCCGCCTGGCTGGCTTTATAAAGATTGCAGGCCCAAAGCAGCCAGAGACACATTTGGGTCTGGATCTCCTGCTGTTGGGACAAGGGCCTGTGCAAAGCGTCTGCCACACTCCTCGACTCACCACAGGTGTCTCATCTCAAGTGCTGTACCTTGTTCAAAGGGTCTTACTGCCAAAAAAAAAAAAAAAACCAGCCTGCAGATGACTTTCTTGGAAGGTAAGATTTAAAAACCGCAAACGTATATCACTTTTCCTGAGTAGGTCTGATTTGAAGAATGAGCAAGATCAAAATCCCATCACTGGATCCCAGGGAGGGGAAACCTACCGCATTTATAGAAATTAAGTCCTGTCTTATGGGGTTCCCACAGATCCAGTGGAACTGCTCTAGCTTGGAAGCAATGGATTGAGGCCTAACTGTGCAAAAAGGAGCAAGAGTCCAGAAACCTAACCAGGTAGAACTGCAACCTGGGGCTGGTTGAGAAGTCTTTAGTTCTGCCCGCGACTGAGGCACCGGTGTCTGTAGTCCGTGTGGGAGAGGCACTGGAGGCCCCACAAGCAAAGGCCCAGTGGTTAGAGAGGCCTCCTCCATCGGCAAATTGCGACAGAGACTTTGCCAGCAGCCAGCATCATTCAAGATAAAACCAGTCTATCTTTTTTGCAAGAGGAAAATCCGCAGCAGAGCCAGAAAAGGAGAACCTGGGCCACTCTGAGATGTGCACAAGTGGGCCCCAAACTCTCCTCTTTGGGGCAAAGGAGGGCTCAGCTGGTTGAGAGGCACAATGTTGACCTTAGAAGGAATCAGGAGTCTGCAAGTGCCCTGTGGTTCCTCCTCTGAACATGCAGGCCTCCTTGGGTCAGCCTTTTGGCTTCCTATCCCTAGTCTCCTTCGACTTGTTTTAGCCATTGTCTAGTCCACAATCCCAGGCAATAAGGAGCCCCTGATCCTGCCAAAAATGTCCGGAGCTGTAGCCTATCTCTCTCAGTCCTTAGAGAGAGTTGGGCTAGTGGTCCGCTGGCTGACCCATCCTGGGCAGCTGATGGGCATCTGGGTCCATTCTGGGTCTGGGAGCATCAGGCAGGTCCCTCCTCCGTCACTGACTTGACAAAGACAATTGCAGCCAGCTCCCGGCAGAATTCCTCTAGGATGACCACCCCTTCAAACAGCATTTGGTGGGCAATCCTGCAAGGCACAAAACAGGTGGGCTTAGGCCTCTTCCTCATTATGCAGTCCCCCCTCCCGTCACAAATATTAAAAGTTAACTAAGCATTTTTAATTACAAAAATGTGAGTCAAGCACTGAAAGGTTTAAATGGATGTAATGATTCCGCAAATGCTGTTCAATATAAGCAGGTGTGCCTGTAGCTAAGTCTCTGTCAGTCTGAGGTAGCCCTCAGTATTAGCAGATAATTGTCTTTTAGAGGTCTCTGTGGAAGAAGGGCCTCAGTGTGTTAGCAGGCCTCAATATGACTAGGCCTCAGTGTTAGTTTGCCTCAGTATGTGAGAGGCGTCATTCTGAGAGAGCCTTCAGTGTGAAGAGGCCTCAGTGGGGGAAGGGCCTCACCTGTTATTAGGCCTCAGTGTTACTTTGCCTCCGTCTGTGAAAGGCCTCAGTAGGAGACAAGCCTCAGTGAGAAGTTGGCTTCAGTGTGAGTAGACCTCAGTGTGAGTAAGCCTCAGTGTGTTAATGTTGCCCTGTGTAAAAAAAAAACTACTGTGTGATGCTCGTGTATAACTACATGAGAAAGAAGCCCAGCATGGAAACAACAAACTTTATTTGTGTTATGGAAACCTTGTTATTGTAAATAGTACAACCGTACTATTTTACTACAAAGAAAACCCCCCCTATGGAAGAGATATCATTGGTCTGTGTGTTTTTGTTCTTTTTTTATCACTTTTGTCTCCTGGTGCTGGGTCACGCTGCTGTTAATAAATTGCTGTACATTTCTGGGGAGGGTATTTTGTTAATAAGCCCACTTGCCCAACACCCCCACCCCCAAAGCAAGTGCCCCAATGGGTTCAGTGGGTAAATGCAGGGTAAAGATATGGGGTTTCCATGGACACACCACCCAAATTGGTTACAGGGGACCTCAATGATCAAAGCTAAGTCCCAGTTGCACCTAGAGCTTTATTTCCCCCATGGACTTCCCACACTCACCGGGTGTCTTCAGAAACCAACCCCATCAGCTGCCTCCGGACCTGCAGCAAATGGGTAGGGAAGTCTGGGATGCGTTGGGTCCGCTGCATCAGGTCCCCAATCACCTGGGAGGAGAGACAGCAATGGGGCAGGTGTGGGCTTGGCTCAAAAACAGCAGGACAGTGGGGAGTGAGGGTCAGGACCTCCCCGCCATGGCTTTTTTTTCTCCCCAAAGTGACCTCTCAGCATCGAAGGCAGGCCACTTACCCTGATCAGGACTGAGAAGAGAGTCCGGCAACCGGGAGCCAGAGGGAGGTAGGGGTCCAGCAAGTACTCATGGAGGTGTGGATGGGGGAAAAGGGCCAGGCGGGAGAGCACCGAGGTCACCTGCAGGTTCACGGCATAGGGCTATGGGGAAGGAGAAGAGGACAGTGAAGGAGTGGGAGAGGGAGGGAAGGGAGCAGAATGTGGCAGGAGTGTGTATGTATATGTGTGTGTTCACAACCTGCAGGCATGCACCTGGCGTTGAGATTCAACCCCATTCTGCCCAAGTCTCAAGTCCTCAACAAAGAGAAGTTAGCATTAGTCTATACTCTGGTTTCTTTTCAGATCGTATAAATCTTTCACCTTTGATTTGATTTCAGAATAGTCTCTAAGGGTTTTCCTTCCCCCATGTCTCCTGAATGACAGTTGGGAATGTATCCAATTTCTTTGTTGGGCTTGGCCTCATGTAAGTTGCCCTGAGTACCCTTGGGGAGATGGTGGCGGGGTATAAATAAAGTTGTTATTATTATTATTATTATTATTATTATTATTATTCTGACAGAAAAGCACAGTATGTCACAGCAAACGAAATCTATATGCTGGATTTCGTATCACAAAATCACAAGTCGAACACTTCCCAAGCGTCTAGGACTGTGTGATGTATTTTCGAATGATGCGCGCAGATCCAAGTAAGGTGGCCTTTTGCAGTTGACAAATCGTGATTTTGTCGATGTTTATTGTTTCCAAATGCCGGGTGAGATCTTTTGTCATGGGACTTAGTGCGCCAATGACCACAGGGACCACCTGTACTGGTTTATGCTAGAGTTTTTGCAGTTCGATTTTGAGGTCTTGATAGCGGCTGAGTTTTTCCTGTTGTTTTTCCTCAATGCAGCTGTCACCTGGAATGGCGACATCAATAATCCAGACTTTTTTCTTTTCCACAATCGTGATGTCTGGTGTATTGTGTTCCAAAACTTTGTCACTATTTATTTATTTATTTATTTATTTATTTATTTATTTATAGTATTTATTTACAGTATGTATATTCCACCCTTCTCACCCCGCAGGGGACTCAGGGCGGATTACAGTGTACACATATATGGCAAACATTCAATGCCAATTTGACATATATACAGACATACACAGAGGTTATTTAACTTTTTCTGGCTGCCAGGGGAGCTGTCGCTTTCATCGTCCATCTGCGACACTGATGAAGTACTTCCGCATTCCCCGCATGCTTTTGCTGGAGTGCTTTTGCTGGAGTCTTTTTTATGGCCTCATAAATTAGTTAATTTAGCCTCCCCACACAAGGTGGTAGCTAATTTTCCTACTTGACAGATACAACTGTCATTCAGGTTGCAAAGATCGACAACAGGCTACACAATTGGTTGGAAGCCCAGTCCAACCTGGGCTGGCTTTGAACTCATGACCTTTTGGTCAGAGTGATCTTAATGCAGCTGACACTCAGCCAGCTGCGCCACAATCCAGGTATTATTCTCTCTGTTTCTGCTCTCTTTCTGATTGGATGTTTAAAATTGATACTTTTATACTGCGAGCCTTTTTGAATCTGCCTTCTGCCTTCTTACACTATTGTATGGAGAGTATGTGCTGTGTGCTTTGAGATTTCTCTCTGCTTGTGTGTCAGGAGTAATTTGAGTTTTTCCCTCTCTTGAAAACTTAAAAGGGATGGTTGTTAGAGTAGCTCAGACCCAATTCTTGATTATTAAGAAATGCAGTTGTTTCTTATTATTGTAAATAAAGATTTTGTGATTTTTTAAAAAAGATTGGACTGCATGTTTGCCACCCAAGCTCTGAATTCTTTACAGCCACATAATGCCAGAGTGAAGACAGAGGGGAGCAGAAGACATTTCCATCTTGTCTTTACTAATAATATAATATAGTATATTGTATATGCATATAATATTTATAATATTAGAATGTAATACAATATAATACTAGTAATAATAATACAATATTATAATTATATATTTACATTGCATGTAATATTACTAATAATATTACAATATAATGGTATAGTGCAATATAGTAATATATAATACTGATATTGTACTATGCTAATAATTTAACATATTGTATGAAAATATATCGTGTAAGCCACTCGGAGTCCCCTTCAGGATGAGAAGGGCGGCATATAAATGCCGTAAATAAATAAAAATAAATAAATGGTCTGCTCGCTAATGAGCTGATGCTCAACTTTTGTACCCTGTTTATGTTTTTGGATGCTCTGCTATATTTAGGATAGTTTTCCCTAACAAAAAGGGTTACGGGCCCAGCCTACATGCCCAGACTGTGTGCTAAAAGAAGTAGCTTGAAAGAAAAATAGGAAGGCTGGAAAGAGCACAGAGGCTTCTTTAAAAAGGTTTTAAAAGTTTTTGGATATGGGCGCAATTTTTTTTAATGATACAAAGAATGTAAAGGAGACAAGAGTTTTTTTCTGAATTTTCCAAAACTTGCAGAAAATTGGTTTAATTTATTTGAATTGGAAGAAGAGATTGGAGCTACTTCTGGATTCAAAGCAAACCAAGGTCTATTAACAAGATCCACCCCAAGCTGATGATGATGAGCATGAAGAGTAGACAGAAATCAACAGATGGGTGAGAGCCTTAATTGCAAATTCCTTATCTGAGGAGACTTTTGAATATGTTAAGAATGATACAACGGTTAAAACTGTGGTTCTTAACCTGTGGGCCTCAAGGACAAAAATCTGGTCTGCGAGCCTCCTCCCTATTTAAATTTTTTTTTATTGTATTTATTTTACTTCTGCTCTTTTTGCACCGCCTGCCATTCCTTCCCTGTTGCTGACTATGGCATATCTTCTGTATCAGAAACTAGAGCTGATGTGGTCTATCTAATGCAATTTTCTGAATCAGCACCCCAAACCGAATCTAAACTTGCCCAAAAACTGATTTGTAACCCTTTTGGTACTAATGTTGGAGAGTGGTCCCTCGTCAAAAATAGGTGGGGAACCACTGGGGTAAAGCCACACTTGCCCATCTGGAGAAAATCCACAGCAGGGATTTTTTTGATGAAAGCATGTTGATGCATCACAAGCTGTTTACAGCTAAGCACCGGGACTGTGGTGCAGCTGGCTAGGAGTCAGCTGCATAAAGATCACTACTGACCAAAAGGTCATGTATTCGAAGCCAGCCTGGGTTGGAGAGAGCTTCCGACCAATTTGTGTAGCTTGTTGTCGACCTTTGCAACCTGAAAGACAGTTGCATCTGTCAAGTAGGAAATTTAGGAACCACTTAAGAGGGGAGGCTAATTTAACTAATTTATGACACTGTAAAAATCTCCAACAAGCATGCAAAGAATGAGGAAGTACTTCATCAGTGTCACAAGTGGACAGTGAAGCAACAGCTCCCTTGGTGGCCAGAATCCCCTCATGAAAAAAGAGGTGGAATGTTAAATAGCCTCTGTCTATATGTTGTGTGTCTATGGCATTGAAAGTTTGCCATGTATATGTACATTGTAATCTGCCCTGAGCCCCCTGCAGGGTGAGAAGGGAGGAATATAAATACTGTAAATAAATAAATAAATAAATATGGGCTCTGAAGAAAGTCTGGATGATTTTCTACAACATGTGAGGTCTTTTAATAGAAGAATTAAAATCGATAGGTGAGAATATAAATGAGAAGATGGGAATACCCATAATATTTGGAGGAATTCACAAAAGTTATGAGGATTCTGTGTTAATTCTGAAAACTCATACAGAAGAAAACCCTCTCACTTTGGACAATGAAATTCCACACCTAAAAGCAGAATCTATTGAAAGAAAGAGGGGAAAAATCTTTACCTTCTGAAAATAAAACAGCTCTAAAGACAACAGTGAAAAAAAATTAAAATTAAAATAAGATTTGTCATTTTTATGAGAAACCTGGTTACACTAGGAAAAAATGTTAGCTTGACAAGAACAAAGGCCATTCTCCTAGCAAGAACAAAGATTTAATGCCTAAAATAAATGGAAATTCCCATAGACCAGGCCACTAAATCAGATGCCAAGTCAATTTACAAAGGGGAAGATGTCCCATTTGGCATGATGGAACTGTACAGACTCTAATCCAGAGTTTGCAAAGCTTCCCTAACACCTGGCAGATGGGTGGAGTGTGTCTAGTGGGAGATCTGGAAAGCTTCCCTTCTCCCATTAGGATCTATCTGATCACACTAGGCACAGGAATCAACCAGGTATACAATGTGGGGAGGGATAGGAATGGGGTGTTTCCTCTCCTCCTTTGATGCTGCCAGTCTCAGGCCCCAAATCCTGAGTAAAGACAGGAGAGATCCCACAGCCTTTCCTCTCTCCCTTGCCCTGGGTGAACTAAGGCCAAAGCCAAGCCCTCTCTGGCCCTCACTCACTTGGTCCAGGATCCGTGCCAGGCGGTCCAGGAGCACCTTCAGGAAGTGGCCTTCGTGGAAGCAGGACTCTTCGGGGCAGCTCTCCAGGGGCCGAGGGACCCGGGGCCAGTTCCATCGGGCAGCATTCACAGAGCATTCCTTAAACTGATGAGAGAGAAAGAGGATGGATCATATGTAATGAAGAGCTAGGAAGTCGGTCTTCTTCCAAGTCGTAGCTGGATGGACCTCCTCTCATCAAGTGCACATGGTTTCCTGCTTCAAAGGGTTAGGGAGCAACCCAAGGAGCATGGAAAGAGTAAGTCTGACTTGGCCAGGGTGGTCCACGCCTTGGTTACATCCAGACTGGATTACTGCAACATGCTCTATGTGGGGCTGCCCTTGAAGACAGCCCAGAAATGTCAACTAGTACAACAGCGCAATAGCCAGGCTCGTAACTGGAGCAAACTATAGGGAGCGCACAACGCCCCTACTAAAACAGCTTCACTGGCTGCCGATAAATTGCCGAGCCAAATTCAAGGTGCAAGTTATTACCTATAAAGCCCTAAACGGGTTTCACCAGGCCTTTAAAAACGACTAGTCACAAGTCCCAGGCCCCAGGTCATCCGTTAAAACCCACTATCCCAGTCCTCTGTCATCTCGGGGTACTTCCCCTGGCCCAGACCTTCTCTATAGTTCTTTAATAGGCCCTGGAAATGAGTAGCCCCAGGCCCCAGTATGGCCACTATTGGGACAGCTTTTTGCACTTTCCCCATGTCCCCGGCCCCATTTTTCTCTGCACTAGCCTTGACCCAGCCCTCTCAAACAATCTATGCCCTTTTCAAAATTTTGGTTCCTGGTAGCTTATTTTATAAGAATAATAATAAAACGTTATTTGTACCCCGCTACCATCTCTCCAAGGGACTCAGTGCGGCTTACATGAGGCCAAGCCCGCAGTATATCAATAAAACGAAGGCAATAACAAAATAATCAATACAAAACAGTAAAATAAATCTCAACAAAAATAAACAATAAAAATAACAATAACATACAAGCATTTAAAAACCTATGACCGGGCCAAAAGTAATCATTTAAAATTAAAAAAAAAATGCTGGGCATGAACAAGGTAGGGTATAACTAGGATAGGGTTTTCAAAGAAAGATGAGGGCACGCAGGCAATCTTAAATCAATGTTAATATTAAAGTGCATATTGCTAAGAGTTTTCCTTATTCTGGGAAGACACACTGGAACAACCAGATTTTCAGACTCCTTCTAAAGACTGCCAGCGTTGGGGCATGTCTGATGTCCTTAGGGAGTGAATTCCAGAGTCGAGGGGCCACCACCGAGAAGGCCCTCCCTCCTCCCCACCAATCACGCCCATGAAGGAGGTGGGAGTGCGAGCAGGGCCTCTCCATTTTGCATGAAAGAACAGTGCTGAAATTGGTTTTAATGTATACGTTTGTGTTAATAATTTTGTGCCTGTTTTTTGATTACTCTGTATGTTTTCTGTGTTATTTTGCCTACGTGGAAACCACCCTGAGTCCCCTAGGAGAGATAGAATCATAGAATCAAAGAGTTGGAAGAGACCTCATGGGCCATCCAGTCCAACCCCCTGCCAAGAAGCAGGAATATTGCATTCCAATCACCCCTGACAGATGGCCATCCAGCCTCTGTTTAAAAGCTTCCAAAGGAGCCTCCACCACACTCCAGGGCAGAGAGTTCCACTGCTGAATGGCTCTCACAGTCAGGAAGTTCTTCCTCATGTTCAGATGGAATGTCCTTTCTTGTAGTTTGAAGCCATTGTTCCGCGTCCTAGTCTCCAGGGAAGCAGAAAACAAGCTTGCTCCCTCCTCCCTGTGGCTTCCTCTCACATATTTATACATGGCTATCATATCTCCTCTCAGCCTTCTCTTCTTCAGACTAAACATGCCCAGCTCCTCAAGCCGCTCCTCATAGGGCTTGTTCTCCAGACCCTTGATCATTTTAGTCGCCCTCCTCTGGACACATTCCAGCTTGTCAATATCTCTCTTCAATTGTGGTGCCCAGAATTGGACACAATATTCCAGGTGTGGTCTAACCAAAGCGGAATAGAGCGCTATATAAATAAAGCTATATATTATTATTATTATTATTTTTATTATTATACTACTACTACTACTACTATTATTATTATTATTATAAGGGGGTATTGCCAAGATGGGAGCAGGGGACTCACCAGCAAACTGGCATCATGGACATAGGTGTCATATCCCGCCTCCTCCAGGTAAGTAGAGGTCTTTGCCTCACTAGGAACCAGGCAAAGGAAGCTAAAAGGGAAAAGGAGGGAGAAGTGGCAGGAGAGGAGACAAAAAGGGAAAAGGCAAGGGGAGAATCAGAGACGGCTCTATAGTGAGCAGAGGATGCAGAAAGGCCTCTCACGCCCCTTTGCAATAGTCTGGCCTAGCCAAGGAATGGCTCAGCATGCGAGAGTACTATCTGGAGGATATAAATATAAAACATAAAAAGAAAGAAAACCCCTTCTGGCCCACCTGCTGACCACCTCCTTGACGTCTCTACGCTCCCCAGGCTGCGTCCTCGGCTTTGGAGCAGGAACAGGTGCTGGCTTGGCCTTTGCAGAGGCTCGGAAACTGGTACTTGGCAGGCCGTCCATGAAGTAGGGGTCTTCCTCCAGGTCTCTGCTGGGACAGTGATAAAACATCAAGCACCTTGGGCTGTTTAGCATTGAAGATTTCTGATCAGTATAAAAAATATTAAGGAAACAGTATTATGAAAGAGCAAACTACAGACCACCTGCTGCAATGCACCCTGAGCCCTGCCACATGCACCATGGAGGACCTCCTTGCGGCAACACCAGAGGCACTCCAAGTGGCCAGCTACTGGTCAAAGACATTTAATCAACTACCAAGATTGCAAACTTTGTGTTTTGTTTGCTTGTTAAAAATGCAACACAACTGTTTGGCTTACTTCTGACACGATAAATTAATTGGACCAATGGAAACTTATCAAGCTCCCACTGAAATTCAATGGGTCTAACTACAGCCAGGACACAAAATCGTATGTAAGCCGGCATTTGTTTCCAGCTTGTTGCTGAAAGAGGAGCCCCGCAATGGTGCCTTGGAGCCCCCCACCGTTTGGCCCCCTTCCCCTGCCCTTCCTGCCACTTACAGCCCATCCTCGCAGGGTGGCTCTGGCTCCCGGGCGACGTGCTCTTCCTGCCCAGGGAGGCTCCGCAGGACGTATCCACGCCCCTCCAGGCTGCCCAGCACCAGAGTCTGCAGTACGTGGGGCTCCGGGAGACGGAGGAGCTCCTCAAACAGCCGCAAGGTGCCCAGGCTGATCTGCAGGGAAAAGAGAGGAGGGAAGGTAGGTAAGTGGGTGAACTGGAATGGACCTAATGTCGTCCTAATGCAAGTGAGTAGGCCTAAGCCTGTTAGAGTGAGTAGGCCAAAGCTAGTGTCGTTCTGAGGAGAGTGAGGAGGCCAAAGCCTATTGGAGTCAGTGGGCCACAGCTAGTGTCATCTTGAGGAGTGTGAGTAGGCCGAAGCATGTTAGTAGGCCAAAGCTAGTGTCGTTCTGAGGAGAGTGAGTAGGCCAAAGCCTGTTAAGAGTCAGTGGGCCAAAGCTAGTGTCGTTCTGAGGAGAGTGAGGAGGCCAAAGCCTATTGGAGTCAGTGGGCCACAGCTAGTGTCATCTTGAGGAGTGTGAGTAGGCTGAAGCATGTTAGTAGGCCAAAGCTAGTGTCGTCCTGAGGAGTGTGAGTAGGCTGAAGCCTATTAGAGTCAGTGGGCCAAAGCTAGTGTCGTCTTGAGGAGAGTGAGTAGGCCGAAGCCTGTTAAGAGTCAGTGGGCCAAAGCTAGTGTCGTTCTGAGGAGAGTGAATAGGCCAAAGCCTGTTAAGAGTCAGTGGGCCAAAGCTAGTGTCGTTCTGAGGAGAGTGAGTAGGCCAAAGCCTGTTAGAGTCAGTGGGCCAAAGCTAGTGTCGTTCTGAGGAGAGTGAGTAGGCCAAAGCCTGAGAGTCAGTGGGCCAAAGCTACTGTCGTTCTAACGCGAGTGAGTAGGCCGAAGCCTGTTAAAGTCAGTGGGCCAAAGCTAGAATCGTTCTGAGGAGAGTGAGTAGGCCGAAGCCTGTTAGAGTCAGTGGGCCAAAGCTAGTGTCGTCTTGAGGAGAGTGAGTAGGCCGAAGCCTATTAGAGTCAGTGGGCCAAAGCTAGTGTCATCTTGAGGAGAGTGAGTAGGCCGAAGCCTGTTAGAGTCAGTGGGCCAAAGCTAGTGTCGTCTTGAGGAGAGTGAGTAGGCCGAAGCCTGTTAGAGTCAGTAGGCCAAAGTTAGTGTCGTCCTGAGGAGAGTGAGTAGGCCGAAGCCTGTTATAGTTGGTGGGACAAAGCTATTGTCGTCCTGAGGGGAGTGAATAGGCTGAAGCCTCTTAGAGTCAGTGCGCCAAAGCTAGTGTCGTCTCTGTGTGAGAGAAGCCTCATGTGAGAAAGCTCCAGTGTGAAGACTGCTGTGTGCAAAGCTATGTTTTTGTTTGTTTGTGTTATGGAAGCCTTGTTCTTGTAAATAGTGCAACCATATTGTTTTACTACAAAGAAAAGCCTCTTATGGAAGATACAACATTGGCCAGTGTGCTTTTGTTCTTTTTATCACTTTGGACTGCTGGTACTGGGTCATGCTGCTGCTGCTAAGTTACTCTATTGAACATTTATGAGGAGGGTCTTTTGTTATGAAGCCCACGCGCCCAACACAGGGTCCCACTCAGGATCACAGCTGAGGGGGACGTCACTGTTTAGATAAAGCCCTCCCAGGGGTCACCTCATCAGACAGGTGGTTGCAACGCTCTATCAGCTGGGAGCGCAGGAGAGGCTGGTGCTGCTGCTGATGCTCCAGGTCTTCCGCTCCGGCCGGTCCCCCCTCGGTCCCCAGAAGGAAGACGGTCAGTTCCCGGAGGAGGGCAGGGGCCCGGATCTGCCTCACCAGGAGGGTCAGGAGAGCCGTGGCTAGAAGGAGGCCGCGCTCATCCCTGTGGTGGGAAACCAAACCAAATGAGAGGAGCTGCTTTGGGGGAGAGCTCTGAGCTGCTCCCACCCAGCAGCAAGGCTATACTCAATGCACTCACATCTGCAGGAGCTGGGGCTGTAGCCGCCCCACAAAGAACTTCTGTGCCATGGCTTCCCTCACGGCATCTGCAACCACCTGGGAAGAAACAACCACTGTGACACCGTCAAAGCAGAAACAAAAGCCAACCTTTACGCACACAACAGCCTGCTGAAGACACCTGTTGAAGCACAGTGCTCCTATATCTCTAGTCTTTTTATTTCCCAATCAGAAACTAGAAACAAGGAGATTTAAAATACAATAGTTTGATTCTGCAGAAGAACTAAATGAGCAAAAATAGAGCACCACACGTGAGAGCTGTTCAGCAGTGGAACTCTCTGTCCTGGAGTGTGGTGGAGGCTCTTTAAACATAGGCTGGATGGCATTCCGGTGGGAGTGCTTTCAATGTGATTTCCCTGCTTTTTGGCAGGGGGTTGGACTGGATGACCCACAAGGTCTCTTCCAACTCAAGGATTCTATGATTCAATGACTGTCCTGCATCATGGGTTTTACACATTGATGCCAACATGCAGACACATAATCAAACCTCCTTTTCCCCTCTTCCCTGTCTGTATTTTCTTCTCTCAGCTTTATCCTTCACTTTCAGTGTCTCTGTGGCTCTGTCCTTTCAACAATCTCGTTGTGGAAAACATTTCCTGCACAATATTCCCCTCCTCCCATCTCTCTCAAGTCAATTTGATCTTTTTCACACTCTGGGCCTGGCAATGCTTGCTTGTCTGTCTGTCTGTCTGTCTGTCTGTCAGTCAATCAATCAATCAATCATATATACCTGAAGATAATGGGCAGTGGAGCCTGGAGGCCACTGCTTGCAATATATGATCTATTTCTTTCCCCCTCCCTAAACAGTGTGTTTTCTTTTCTGCTTCTGTTCTGCTTCTCCTCCCAGGATGGAATGTTTTGAAAAGGGAAAGGAGGAGGAGAGAAGCCCTTGCAAGTCAGGAAGATCTATTCATCTTATCTAAGCATTTCCCCCTGAAATATTCGTTAATCTCTCCTACAGATATATTGGCATTTCCCCCTACAAGCCTTTGCAATCCCTATGTACCTATATATTATCTGTATCTATCTATACACATTAATTTCTCCTCATATGTTTGCAGGTCTTTGCAAATCCTATACACATATAGATATCTAGAGATTTCCATATACCTTTATATTTTTATCTATATGCATATATTACTTTTATATATGAATTTTCTCCTCACATGTTTGCAAGTCTCTGCAAATTCTATATATATAGATAATATATAGAGGCACCTATATATCTATACATTATCTGTATCTATCAATACACATTAATTTTATATATGAATTTTCCCCTCATATTTTTGCAAGTCTTTGCAAATCCTATATAGATATAATTATGTATATATAGTGTTTTGGTATGGCTGTACCAGGAGCTCCAATTTTATTTGTTTTGTATTAAATGTCTGCTTACAGTCCAAGGTTCCTGGGGTTCTGCAGATAGGTGACTTCCTTTGGTTGCAGTCATAGGGCAAATCACCTGTCCATCATCGTTAAGTTTTGGTTCCACCCCTTGTTCAGGGCAATCGGGAAGGGAAGGGAGCCATTTTTTAGTTAGTCTCAGCAAGGAAAGCTAATGTACAGGAAGTGTGCAAGCTTCCCCTGTACAAAAGCTTCAACCCTTAAGACTTTCCGGGGGGAAACAGTCTTAAGAGCATCAAGACTTTCCGGGATAAAACAGTCTTAAGAGTCTCCAAAGATTTCCAGGAAAACAGCCCTAAAGACTAAAGATCTCCAGCTGGAGAACATCTAAGCCTTTACTGGTAGGTCCACTTGGTGCTTTGAGACGCAGTTCGACCCGGTAGCGGAGCCCACATCAGTAAGGGTTAGATTACAGTCAGCCTGGGAGAAGTTAAAAAGGGGATTTTCCATTTAAAGTAAAGAAGAAGTTATTGAAGACAGTTGCCTGTCCTTCGTGGGCAAGATTAGGAAGTCACCAGTTGCATAAAGCCTGGAAGCATTTGTTTAGCTTTATTGAAGACAAGAGAAGTTTCTGTTTGATTGTTCATTAATAAAAGACTTTGTTATACTTCACAAGCCATCTAAAGGTCATTTGTGGTGGAAAACCTCTGAGAACTTCTCCTTGGGCCCCCTGACTTCCCGCTAGGCAAAGGTTGCACGTCCTGTTCTAAAGGAAATTCTTTACAGGCCCAGCGCGCGACAGAACATATAGAGTAACCTGTGGTTCTCAACCTGTGAGTCGCGCCCCAGCAGTGGGCCATGAGAATGAAAATCCGATCTGAAAATGACCTTCCTCTTTATTTATTTATTTAATTTCTGCTCCTTTCCTCAGAGCTGACCAGCCCTGCCCCTTTTGGTACTAATTTTGGAGAGTGGTCCCTGGTCAAAAAGGTCCCCGTTCAAGTGGGCCCTGGTCAAAAAAAGGTTTGGAACCATTGATACAGAGAGATGTCTAGATAGATATATGAATATAGATATATAATATGCAGGGGTGAAATGCACACACACATTTATATAGACATGTCTAGATAGATATGAATATAGATACATAGGGCTTGCAAATATTGCAGGAGGGAAATATACATATATAGAGAGAGGATTTGCAAACGTTTCAAGGGGAAGTGCATATGTGAAATTAGTATAGATAATTATAGATCTATATCTAGTTTTGCATTGTTTATATAGGCACTGAATGTTTGCCTGTTATTATGTTGGAATCCGGCCTGAATCCCCATGGGGAGATCGGGCGAGGTAAAAGTTCTATTATTATTATTATTATTATTATTATTATTATTATTATTATTATTATGATGTTATTGTTGATACCATATTGTATTCGTTGACCCTCCTTTTCCACTTTACAGAGCGAATTTATTGTTTTTCTTTGAAATATGGTAAACATTTAAAAACATTTAACCTACTCAATTAATGTAATTTTATTGGTATCTATGTTTATTTTGAAATTGACCTGTAGCTGCTGCATTTCCCACCCTTGGCTTATACTTGAGTCAATATGTTTTCCCAGTTTTTTGTGGCGTATATTCGGGTCGGCTTATACGCAAGTATATACGGTATCTATCTATCTCTCTATCTATTCCAAATTCCTTTACTCTTCACTCCTTTTTGCTTCCTCCTCCCCTCTCTTTACCCCATTCTGAACTTCTTCTTTGCTGTAAAATTCACTTTGCATTTCCTGGCCCCAACACACTTTCCCAATGACAATGAGGAAGCAATGCTGGGAGGTTGGTGGGACACATCTTACCAGGTGGGCCTCCTTCACCAGGCAATCGCAGAGGTCCAACCAGGCAAGGAAAGCCTCGAGATCCGTCTGTCCAGGGAATGCATTCCCCTCCTCAGTGGAGCTGCTCTGGCGCCTGGAAGGGGATCAGGAGGAGAGAGTTATGCCTCTGCAACTGAATGCAGGTCAGCCATTGGTCTGCTGGGAAAGGGGGCAGCAAACCCCCTTCAAGGAAGTTCTCTAATTTTCCACATAGTCTTATGTACAAGTCAATTGAAGGCAGATTTGGGGGCCAAAAACATGGATTTTCCTACAGCTTGTGGATGTTGAGGGTCATTCCTCAGAGAGGATGAAGCACTAATCCCAAATCGAGAGGCCAGCCTCCTCTAGCATTTCTTGGGCCAGGCATTCAGAAGAGCAGCAGAAAGAGACAAGGGAGCCAGGACTTTCTTTAGGTTCTCTGAGATGGATTACGCTCTCGCCTTTTACCACTATACTCAGCGTTTCCTTTTTTATAAGTTAGGGCTGCCTGGTGGTGCAGCGGGTTAAATCGCTGAGCTGCTGAACTTGCTGACCGAAAGGTCAGCGGTTCGAATCCAGGGAATGGGGTGAGCTCCCGCTGTTAGGCCCAGCTTCTGCCAAATTAGCAGTTCGAAAACATGCAAATGTGAGGATTGACTGATTTTCTATCCCACTTTTCTCCCAGATCGGGTCTCAAAGTGGCGAACAACATGTAAACAAAAACATTACACAGCGCAAAACATAATAACCAAACCACAACATCTATATTAAAATGTAATGTTCGTTTGTGGGATTAACAGAACTCAAAAACCACTGGACGACTTGGCACCAAATTTGGACAGTGCACACCTAACAACCCAATGTATGTCCTTCACTCAATTTTTTTTTAAATTTTGTCATTTAGGAGTTGTAGTTGCTGGGATTAATAGTTCATCTACAACCAAAAAGCATTCTGAACCCCACCAACACCGGAATTGAACCAAACTTGGCACACAGTTCTCCCATGACCAACAGAAAATACTGGAAGGGTTTGGTGGGCAGTGTCCTTTGGTTTTGGAGTTGTAGTTCACCAACATCCAGAGAGCACTGTGGGCTCAAACGATAGATCTGGACCAAACTCTACACGAATATTCAATATGCCCAAATATGAACACTGGTGGAGTTTGGGGAAAATAGAATCTTGACATTTGGGAGTTGTAGTTGCTGGGATTTGTAGTTCACCTACAATCACAGAGCATTCTGAACCCCACCAACGATAGAATTGGCCCAAATCTTCCACACAGAACCCCCATGACCACCAGAGTGGGCCACAGCAACGCGTAGCAGGGGACGGCTAGTATCTAATAAAAATTATAAAACCTGTGACACATGTAATAAATAACTAGCAAAGATAGTTTAAACATTCAGAATGTTTTAACCCCATCTAATATCAATTTCTTTAGACCAGTGGATCAATAGGTATTGCTTCTGTGGGAAGGTAAAATACTTAAACTAATTCACAGAGAAATCAACACAGATTTTTTTGACGAACATTTCTAGATTTATACATGAATATATACGGTATTTGCTGCAGTTCCTTCCTTTTCTAGCAGCCCAAGAAGAGCAAACCTTCAGCTCAACAGTTGTAATGTGCCAGTTGTTGAATAAAAGCACAAAAGTTAAAACATTCACAGAAAGAAGTATCATATTTGAATCGCGTTTTGAAAGCAGTACTGTATTGCTTTCATTTTAAGACACACTTTGTTCCCTATATGAACATACCTAAAACGGGGCGCATCTTAGAACTGCAGCCAGATCTTATTTGTTGGTAGTGTTGCACTGTAATTAGGGTGCGCCTTACAGTCAATGGTGTCTTACAACTAAAGAAACATGGGCAATTATAAAGGGCACCATGGGCAAGTCTGTTTGCAAGGGTAAAATCTGACCTAAAGGTATAAGTGCCACTCCCCCTACCTCCAGATGACTGGCTGAAAGGGGGCGATGTCGGCAGGGCTGAGGGTGTCTGGGAGGGTGCTGTGGAGAGCAAGGAGGTGGTCAGTCACGAGGGCGCCGAGCCTGCCATCCCGCGTCAAGGCCAGGGCAGCTGTCGGATGGTCAGCACCGGAGAGCATCAGCAAGTTCTCCTGGGCTTTCAGGGCAATCCTCCTCTTCTGCAAGGCAAGGAGGAAGAAGTCACATCCTGGCTGCCACCTCTTTGGGTGCCTCCCTCCTTTCCTTCCTTGGATAAAGGTAATGCAAAGTGAGAGGAGAGAAGCAAGGAGGAAAACAAGATATGTCAGAAATATTAAAAATTAACTAGGCCTTTGTAATTGCAAAAATGTGAGTCAAGCACTGAAAGGGTTAAATGGATGTAATGACTCAGCAAAGGCTGCAGTTCTATATGAGCAGGTAAGCCTGTAGTAGCCGTTCGTCTGAGGTAAACCTCAGTGGGAGAAAAGCCTCAGTCTGTGAGGGAAGCCACTGTGTGAGATAGACCTCACAGTGTGAGGTAGGCTATGGTCTATGAGAAGGCCAAGTGTGAGAAGGCCTGGTGTGAGAAGCTTCGGTGAGAGAAGCCTCAGGTTAAGGGCCTCATGTTTAATGCTGTGTGTAGAAAGCTCCAGTGAAGCTCCAGTATAAGTTGGTTGTGAGAGGAGGCTCTGTGAGAGTGAAGCTGCTTATCTGCATGAGAAAGAAGCCCAGCATGGAAGCGAAGAAGGAAGTATAAAGGGCTTCATTTGTGTTATGGAAACCTTGTTCTTGAAAATATTTACTACAAAAAAGGCCTCCATAAGGAAGAGATAACATTAGTCTATGTGTTTTTGTTCTTTTCATCATCTTGGGCTACTGGTGCTGGGTCAAGCTGTGGCTAATAGGGTACTCTGCTGTACATTTATGAGGAAGGTCTTTTGTTAATAAGCCTACTAGCCCAACAGGTATGTACTCAGTCCTTTCCAAACTGGTAAGATACAGCGATCTGCCTCTGGCCCATCTTACAATCCTAGAATTCGAAGAGACCCCAAGGGCCATCCAGTCCAATCCCCTTCTGCCAAGTAGGAAGAATAATAAACTTTATTTATACCCCGCCACCATCTTCCGAAGAGGACCCGGGCACAATCAAATCCCTCCCAATAGATGGCCATCCAGCCTCTGCTTAAAAGAACCACGGCTCCTACCTGGCTCTTGCACAAGCTGAGCAGAGAGGCCACAAGGTTCTGGGCAAAGGAGGAAGGCTCTGTTGGGGGTGCCCCGCTTGCCCCTTTCTTTGGAGAATGAGGCAAGGGGCCACCAGAGCCCAAGTCTGGTTCAGTTGCTGATTGTTGGAGATGTAACGGTTCAGCTACACCGTTGTCCTTGGAAGCAAATGGAGAAAGAAGACACAGTACACATTATTATCCCCCAAAGCTTGTTGGACAGCAGGAATTCAGATCTGCTGAACGAAACAAAATCAAATTGAATCCTGACACTCAAAAGAGACTTATTTGGGTCAAGTCGCTCCTCACCTCCAGAACGCAAGGGAGCAGGGAAGGATCCTGGCGGATCTTGGCACACAGCACAGCCACCAATTGCATGGCTTCTTTCTCTGGATCAGGGCCCAGGGTGTCACTCCCAAGCTGAAGGAGCCTCTGCAGAACCAGAGAAAAGGAGAAACAGCTTGAGGAGCCCCCCAAGAGGGCCTGGAACCAGAGTCCTGTTTCAAACTCCCTGAAGGTTCACAGTCAAGTTACAGAGGTGGCCTAAGGTTCAAAAGAGTGCCTCTGTTTTGCCTTCTTTTGCAAAGGCAGGCCAGGAAAACCCCATCAGGCCTCACCTGGACAGGTCTGTGCACGTTGAGGTAGTGCAGCAAAGGGCACTGCATCTGTCCCAGGAGGCGGCTGAAGAAAAGGAGCACCTGAGCCCTCATCCCAGGAGGATACTAGGCAGGAACAAGGACACAAGAGAAAGGGGCAACATGAGTAAGGGGTTTTCACACTGCACCAGAACACTACTGTGCAAAAGGACTCTTTTACTGGCTTTTACTGGATTTGGGAGATTCTGCGTTAGCCACAGTAACAATAGCCTCTGAGTATCAGGTGGGGAAAAGACAGCTCCAGGCAAAAGACAAAAAAAAAAATGCAAGCCAGGACAAAGTGGTTCAAAACATGCCACAGACAGCTCCCAGCAGGAAGTGGAGTTTAAATATTTACCAGACTAAACCTGTTTACTAAGGAACAGGTCTGACGGATTTCAGCCGGACTTGTTGTCATTGTATTCTGATGGGACTCTCTACAGTTAGCTTGCCCCCAGATCACATGACTTTTGGGGCCTTCTGTAAAACAAGACCTCTGAAAAGTAGAAAAGCTGAGACACCATAAACAGCACAGGGCTCTCCCTTGACTTTGCTGTTAACTGAGCTGGATAAGCATGGATTTTAAATGTGTCCTTTGTTTTATCTCTATTTTGTGTATTTTAATATATATACTAGCTGTCCCCTGCCACGCACTGCTGTGGCCCAGTCTGTGTATATGTGTTTTGTGTGGGCATATGTGTGTATATATCTTTGTGTATATGTGTATATAGTGTGTTTACGTGTATATGTGTGTGTTTGCATATGTATGCGTGTATATATAAAATGGTATAATTATTGTTTTTGCTTTTTAAGTCTCTTCTGCTGTGTTTTTCAGTGTTTTTATGAGTGATGGTCACTCATTGGCCTGATAAGTGTATTGTGTCCAAATTTGGTGTCAATCCGTCCAGTGGTTTTTGAGTTGTGTTAATCCCACAAACGAACATTACATATCTATCTATCTATCTATCTATCTATCTATCTATCTATCTATCTAATTGAAATTTGTTTTACTATGTAGCTTTTATAGAAATATATTTTAATATGTGTGTCTGTAGTGTTTTTGCAATACTTATGTGTTTTAATTATTCTGTAACCCCAGAGGTCCTCACTACCTCTGAGGATGCTTGCCATAGACGCAGGTGAAACGTCAGGAGAAAAATTGCCTCCAGAACATGGCCATATAGACCGGAAAACCTACAACAACCTATTATTAGTATTATTATTATTGATCCAAACCATGGGGCTGTGGGTCAGGGAATTGGGGGGGGGGGCTACCTCTGCTCTGCCCAGGGTACCCAGGGTCTCCAGGACTTTGTGCTGTAGTAGGAACTCCAGGCACGGCCCAGTCTCCCCGGCGGATGCCTGCTGTTTCTCCTCAAAGACCAGGATGTCCAGCATCTGCTTCAGGTGCCAGGGGATGTCCGTCTCTCTGGCTGGCTTGCTTTCGTCTGGAGGGAACACATGGGAGCTGTCGCACAAAAGGACCTCCTTCCCATCCCTCCTTTGTCAATACTGGCCATTACACGGCTTCAACATCAGCATTCATGCCTATCATACCCTTTTCTCCAATGACCTCATTGAGGCAGACTTAAGCCCATAAGCACTGCCATATTGTCTTGTTTCTGAATCCAGATGATTTGCTTTGCACTGGATTATATTAAATTATTTATTTACCATACTAGCTGTCCACTGCCACATGTTGCTATGGCCCAGTCTGTGTATATGTCTTTTATGTGTGTATGTGTGTGTTTGCGTGTATATATATATGTGGTTCTGTGCATGCATGGTGATGTAAGTTTTGTTTTTTGGCTTTTTAAGTGTCTTCTGCTGTGTTTTTATGAATGATGGTCACTTGTTGGCCAGATAGGTGTATTGTGTCCAAATTTGGTGTCAATTCGTCCAGTGGTTTTTGAGTTATGTTTATCCCACAAACTAACATTACATTTTTATTGATATAGGCTAGCTGTCCCCTGCCATGCATTGGCCCAGTCTGTGTATATGTGCTTTGTGTATTCATATGTGTGTGTATATATTTGTGTATATGTGTATATATGTGTGTCTGCGTGTATATATATGTGGTTTTGCACATGCGTTGTAATGTTTGTTTGTTTTTTGCTTTTTAAGTCTCTTCCACTGTGTTTTCCAGTGTTTTTATAAGTGTTGGTCACTTTGGACCAAATGCTCCTTGGGGTCCCTTCCAAATGCTATCTATGGCTGGATGGCCATCTGTCAGGGGTGCCTTGATTGTGCTTTGGACCAAATGTTCCTTGGGGTCCCTTCCAAATTTATGACTCTCTCTCTCACACACACATACACACACAATATCTGTCTTTCTATGTGATCTATGGCTGGATGGCCATCTGTCAGGGGTGCCTTGATTGTGCTTTGGACCCTTCCAAAGTTATGATTGCATCTATCACACAAACACAATATCTGTCTTTCTATGCTATCTATGGCTGGATGGCCATCTGTCGGGGTTGCTTTGATTGTGCTTTGGACCCGATGCCCCTTGGAGTCCTTTCCAAAGTTATGATTGCATCTATCACACACACACACACACAATATCTGTCTTTCTATGCTATCTATGGCTGGATGGCCATCTGTCAGTAGTGCTTTGATTGTGTTTTGGACCCAATGCTTCTTGGGGTCCCTTCCAAAGTTATGACTGCATCTATCACACACACACACATACACACACACTATCTGTCTTTCTATACTATCTATGGCTGGGTGGCCATCTGTCGGGAGTGCTTTGATTGTACTTTGGACCCGATGCTCCTTGGGATCTCTTCTAAAGTTATGATTGCATCTATCACACACAAATATCTGTCTTTCTATGCTATCTATGGCTGGATGGCCATCTGTTGGGGCTGCTTTCGGCTTGATGCTCCTTGGGATCCCTTCCAAAGTTATGATTGCATCTATCACACACACACACAATATCTGTCTTTCTATGCTATCTATGGCTGGATGGCCATCTGTCGGGGGTGCTTTGATTGTACTTTGGACCCGATGCTCCTCGGGATCCCTTCCAAAGTTATGATTACATCTATCACACACACACATACACACACATCTGTCTTTCTATGYTATCTATGGCTGGATGGCCATCTGTTGGGGATGCTTTGATTGCACTTTGGACCTGATGCTCCTTGGGATCCCTTCCAAAGTTATGATTGCATCTATCACACACACACACACACACAATATCTTTCTTTCTATGCTATCTATGGCTGGATGGCCATCTGTCAGGAGTGCTTTGATTGTACTTTGGACCCAATGCCCCTTGGAGTCCCTTCCAAAGTTATGATTGCATCTATCACACACACACACACACACACACACACACACACAATATCTGTCTTTCTATGCTATCTATGGCTGGATGGCCATCTGTTGGGGATGCTTTGATTGTGCTTTGGCCCCAATGCTCCTTGGGGTCCCTTCCATAGTTATGATTGCATCTATCACACATACACACACACAATACCTGTCTTTCTAGGCTATCTATGGCTGGATRGCCATCTGTTGGGRATGCTTTGATTGTGCTTTGGACCCGATGCTCCTTGGGATCCCTTCCAAAGTTATGATTGCATCTATTACACACACACAATATCTGTCTTTCTATGCAATCTAYGGCTGGATGGCCATCTGTCGGGGGTGCTTTGATTGTGCTTTGGAYGCGATGCTCCTTGGGATCCCWTCCAAAGTTATGATTGCATCTATCACACACACACACACATACAATATCTGTCTTTCTATGCTATATATGGCTGGATGGCCATCTGTCGGGGGTGCTTTGATTGTGCTTTGGACGCGATGCCCCTTGGAGTCCCTTCCAAAGTTATGATTGCATCTATCACACATGCACAATATCTTTCTATGCAATCTATGGCTGGGTGACCATCGGTCGGGGCTGCTTTGATTGTGCTTTGGACGCGATGCTCCTTGGGATCCCTTCCAAAGTTATGATTGCATCTAGCACACACAAACACACACAATATCTGTCTTTCTATGCAATCTATGGCTGGATGGCCATCTGTTGGGAGTGCTTTGATTGTACTTTGGACCCGATGCCCCTTGGAGTCCCTTACAAAGTTATGATTGCATCTAGCACACACAAACACACACAATATCTGTCTTTCTATGCAATCTATGGCTGGATGGCCATCTGTCGGGGGTGCTTCGATTGTACTTTGGACCCGATGCTCCTTGGGATCCCTTCCAAAGTTATGATTGCATTTATCACACACAAACACACACAATATCTGTCTTTCTATGCAATCTATGGCTGGATGGCCATCTGTTACGGGTGCTTTGATTGTGCTTTGGACGCAATGCTCCTTGGGATCCCTTCCAAAGTTATGATTGCATATAGCACTCACACACACAAACACACACACACAATATCTGTCTTTCTATGCAATCTATGGCTGGATGGCCATCTGTTGGGGATGTTTTGATTGTGTTTTGGATCAAATGCTCCTTGGGGTCCCTTCCAAAGTTATGACTCTTGGACTAGATGACTTTTGGGGTTCCCTTCCAACTCTAGGTTCCTATGAGCGGCCTTACCTGTGGCCTCCAGGTAGTAGTGGGTGAGGCCCTTCCAGTGCTGGGTGAAGGCGGCGGCGAGGTCCAGGGGAGCCTCCTCCTGCGGGACAGAAGCAGAGGGTGAGGCCTTCTCCCTTCCTCCTCCCTCCCCTTTTCCCTTCCTCCCTCCATGCCTCCGCGCCACGGTCCTTACCGCTTCCACCGCCCGCTGCAGCAGGGCTCCCAGGCGGCCCAGCAGAGCCATGGCAGAGAAGTTATCCAACAGATCTCGAAGAAGTCGGTGGGCGTTGGGACCCTGCGGAGAGGGGAGGAAGGAGCCACAGCCCCGTTGCCACGCCCACCAGGCCGCGTCCGGCATTCCGATAGGCTTCTCCTCATTTCATTCAGATCGTCCACCAATGGAAAGGTAATTGGAGTTAGATGTCACCACTCTGCACCTTCAACTGAGCTGGAAGAAGAACGAGTAGGCATTAGGACCCAGTGGAGCGGGGAGGAAGGCTCCCCTGCCCCGCTGTCCCGCCCACCTGGAAGTGTCCAGCATTTCGATAGGGTCCTCTCCGCACGTCACTCAGGTCTCCCACCAATAGAAGCAAAGGGTTTTGAATGTCATCACTCCGCGCCCCCCGTTGTCTTGTCAAGGCTTTGGTTGGCTTCGGTGACGCAAAAAGAGCGCGCGGGTTGTGTTTGCCCTCTGTGGAGGCTTCAGACATGGCCTTGGTAGCAGGAAGGCCGCTCTTGACGGCGGGACGGGGCTGCTGCGCCTTGAGAGCGGTGAGCGGGGCGGAGGGGGGGCCTGAGGCTTCATGGCTTCCTCTGGGCAAGGTTCTAGAGCAGTGGTTCCCAACCTTTTTTGGGAAATAGATAATGTGCCAAGACAATCCAATTGTGTTTAATATGTTTCAAAGTAATACACATGAATGTATTGTTGAACGCTTTCATGACTGGAATCACTGGGTTGTTGAGAGTTTTCCGGGCTATAGGGCCATGTTCCAGAAGCATTCTCTCCTGACGTTTCGCCCACATCTATGGCAGGCATCCTCAGAGGTTGTGAGGCCTGTTGGAAACTAGAAGACAATGGATTCCCACCAATACAAAAAACACAAATCCACTAAAAGTTGTGGTACATAAATGACAATGGTCGATATTGCCTAACAGTTTGTATATTGCAATATTCAACAAACGACAAAATTAAATGGTATAGGCATAACCCAGTATATAATGAACAACAACCAGTTGTTTACAAAGATTTCACTCTACGTGGGGTTGCCTTTGAAGACAGTCCGGAAGCTCCAGTTAGTCCAACGGGCGGCAGCCATGTTTTTAACAGGAGCTGATCGCAGGGAGCATACAACTCCCTTGCTGAACCAGCTCCACTGGCTGCCGATATGCTACCGGGCTCAATTCAAAGTGCTGGCGTTGGCCTTTAAAGCCCTAAACGGTTCTGGCCCAACTTATCTATCCGAACGTATCTCAGCCATAACAGACAATCCATGGTCTCTGTACGTAAACTCTCACAAGGGTTTTTTCACTTGATCGTCATTGCACGCGATTACGTGTATCTCATAACGCGCTGATTGACTACGTGACACACGTCAGGACCAACCATATTACAGGGAGTACTAAGCCTCGTAGCGGATTTACCTGTGCATCTACTATCCCACACATACCAGCTAATACATGTTCAGCTTCTCTGCTGATATGTTGACACTGAAGTTATGTTGGGGTGGAGGGGTGGGCAGGTCTCTCCTGCTCTCCCATTCTTTCCACCCCGCTAATCTCAAGGCAGTAATTTTTTAGGTTTTATTTGTAATTTTTTGTTAACTATAGGTGGAATTGCAAAATTGTTTAGAAAAGTCTGGAACAGTGAAAGTGTGCAAGGTGAAAGTTACAAGATTATATGGAAGTATAATATAGAGGTACGATCAGCCTCGTCGCTGATGGTGTTTAGGAAGAGACTCAAAACATGGTTATTCAAACAAGCATTCGGCTAATCTGTGGCAATTAAATCGAATCTTGGTGACTATGGACAGGAAATATGGACAACGAACTCTGGATTGTGATTTTAACTTGAGATATATGGGATTATTATTGGTGGCCCAATAATTTGTTATTGTATTTGTATATGTTTTTTAAACTGAGATTGTTTTTAAAATGCTGTAAACCGCAATTGAGTCGCCGTTCTAGGCTGAGAAATTAGCGGTATACAAGTGTACAAAATAAAAATAAATAAATGTGGGTGAAACGTCAAGAGAGAATGCTTCTGGAACATGGCCAGATAGCTCAGAAAACTGACAACAACCCAATAAATATGAATACAATAAGAATAAAAACACAATCTGCAGCCATTACCACCTTAGGCTATTATTATTAATCTTGTTATTATATTTATACTCCATGTTTCTATCTTGATTGAGACCGAAAGTGGCTGAAGAGCCTTAAAAATAATGCTGTTTAAAACCTACAAAATAAAATTATTAAAACAGAATTAAATGTTCAGTTCTTAAAACATGTTAAAGCCATATTAAGTGAGTAAAAATGGTCAAAATGATCTAAGCTCTTGCTGGCATTTCAGCACTGAGGAACTACAAGGCCAGCATTGGTTTGAGCCTTGGGCTGTAACTCTGAAGACCAAGGTTTGGGTCTCTGCTCAGCCATGGAAATCTCATTCACCCAAAATTCCTTGTTTCATATGATGCTCATAGGGAGAATGCTGAACCTAAATTGACATTTGTTTGACCTACTGCATTGTTTTTTAAAAATTACTAGGCCAAGTTCCACGCGAGTTCATGCAAGAGCCTTCGCTATGGCTGGCTGGCATATATGCTGGGCGAGAGGACTACTCGGAGGTTTAACGAAAACAGCAAAGTCTTCACGGTGGATGGCAACCTGCGCTCCGGCAAGGGCCAACTGGCAAAGCGAATAGCAGAGAAATTGGGTGCGTCCTGGTGAACAACTTCCAGTGTCCAAGGGTGCAGCCACACTGTAGGATTAATACAGCTTAACAGCACTTGGAACTTCCATGGCTGAGTGCACTAGAATCTTGGGAGTTGTGGTTTTACAAGGTCTGTAGCCTTCTCTACCAAGGAGTGCCTTACTAAATTACAACTCTCAAGATTATATAGTAGTGAGCCATGGCAGCAAAAGTAGTGTCAAACTGCATTAATTCTACAGTACAGATGTTTTGTTGTTCATTTGATCAGTCGTTTCCGACTCTTTGTGACCTCATGGACCAGCCCACGCCAGAGCTCCTTGCCGGCCGTCACCACCCCCAGCTCCTTCAAGGTCAATCCAGTCACTTCAAGGATGCCATCCATCCATCTTGCCCTTGGTCGGCCCCTCTTCCTTTTTCCTTCCATTTTCCCCAGCATCATTGTCTTCTCTAAGTTTTCCTTTCTTCTCATGATGTGGCCAAAGTACTTCATCTTGGCCTCTACTATCCTTCCCTCCAATGAGCAGTCAGGCTTTATTTCCTGAAGTATGGACTGGTTGGATCTTCTCGCTGTCCAAGGCCCTCTCAGAACTTTCCTCCAACACCACAGTTCAAAAGCATCTCTCTTCCTTCGCTCAGCCTTCTCTATCGTACAGCTCTCATATCTGTAGGTGACTGTGGGGAATACCATTGCTTTAAGTATGCAGATCTTTCTTGCCAGTGTGATGTCTCTATTCTTTACTATTTTATCAAGATTGGTCATTGCTCTCCTCCCAAGAAGTAAGCGTCTCCTGCTTTCCTGGCTGCAGTCTGCAGCTGCAGTCATCTTTGCACCTAGAAATACAAAGTCTGTCACTGCTTCCATGTTTTCTCCCTCTATTTCCCAGTTGTTAATAATTCTTGTTGCCATAATCTTGTTTTTTTTATGTTCAACTGCTACCCAGATTTTGCGCTTTCTTCTTTCACCTTGATTAGAAGGCTCCTCAGCTCCTCCTCACTTTTTGGCCACCAAAGTGGTGTCATCTGCATATCTAAGGTTGTTAATGTTTCTTCCAGCAATTTCCACCCCAGCCTTGCATTCCTCAAGCCCCGCACATCGCATGATGTGTTCTGCATACAAGTTGAATAGGTTGGGTGAGAGTATACAACCCTGCCGTACGCCTTTCCCAATCTTGAACCAGTCTGTTCCTCCATGGTCAGTTCTGACTGTTGCTACTTAGTCCTTATACAGATTCCTCAGGAGAGAGATAAAGTGCTCTGGTTTGCCCTTACCACTTGCCACAATTTATTATGATCCACACAGTCAAAGGCTTTAGAATAGTCATTAAAACAGAAATAGATGTTTTTCTGAAACTCCCTGCCTTTCTCCATTATCCAGCATCGGGATATTGGCAAGTTGGTCTCTCGTTCCTCTGCCTTTTCTAAACCCAGCTTGTGCCTCTGGCAGCTCTCTCTCCATGTCTTGCTGGAGTCTTCCTTGCAGGATTTTGAGCATTACCTTACTGGCATGAGAAATAAGGGCCACTATACGGAAGTTTGAGCAGTCCTTAGCATTTCCCTTTTTTGGTATGGGGATATAAGTTGATTTATTCCAGTCTGATGGCCATTCTTGTGTTTTCCATATTTGCTGGCATATGGCATGCATCACCATGACAGCATCATCTTTCAAGATTTTGAACAGTTCAGCTGGGATCCCGTCGTCTCCTGCTGCCTTGTTATTAGCAATGCTTCTTACAGTATAGATGTACCCACCCTTTTTTTGTGCTGAATATCAAGTACTATGACCTAATTTGAAGCGCATTTGATTATTTTGGCCAATGCATGTTAGGCAACATATCAAGAACAGAATCCCTGTCACAGCTTTTGAGTCCTTCTTTTCCACTCTTCTTGTGTGAGAAAGATTGGTCTTCATTCCCTGCCTTATTGTAGCTTTGGCTTTGAGTTTGGAAGAGCACTGTGCTTCTTCTGTTGTTAACATTTGGCTGTGGTGCTGGCCGGGAGTCTGAAACATCTGTCCAGTTGGAAAAGCCCGTGTTACAGCAGTAATGGTTACAACCAACAATTTGAACAATTGCCTTGAAACTTCTTGATGCCTAGATTATTGGGGGTTAACTTCTCTAAATTAGTCCTGATTTTTAATCCCATAAACATCTCAGGCTTTTTTCATGTTTAATGTTGATCTGTTCTGAACCATTAGAAGCCAAAACATATAGTCAACAGTGGTGATTCTGAATAAATGGATGGGGTGAGCTCCTGTTGTTAGCCCCAGCTTCTGCCAACCTAGTAGTTCGAAAACATGCAATGTGAGTAGATCAGTAGGTACCACTTCTGCGGGAAGGTAATGGCATTCCATGTAGTCATGCCGGCCACATGACCTTGGAGGTGTGTACAGACCATGCCAGCTCTACAGCTTAGAAATGGAGGTGAGCACCACCCCCCAGAGTTGGACACAACTGGACTTAATGTCAAGGGGAAATCTTTACCTTTAAATTTATGAAAACCCTATAGGCAGAGAAGAGCATTTAATATGTCCTCTTCACTATTCCATGTTTATTTATTTATTTTTTCAAATTCTGCTGCTTTTTGTGTTAGAGACAATATTTTTAAAATGGGAAAACAGCAGAAAGGTCCAGTTATTTATGAAAGGCTGGTCTGGAATGGGATAAAATCAAAGGTTGCTGCATAGATGCCACAGAGCCATTTCATATCCCGAGGGCAGGGGATTGTTGTTCATTTTCTTGTAAAGTACAGTGTAAAAAAGTAAACTCATAACAATGATTGTAATCCCACAAACACAAACTTCACTTGAGCATCGGCGTCAGCATTCCTTTTTCCAAATTTGACCTCTTCCAGGTATGCGATATTTTCCTGAAGCAGATATTCATTATCTGGACAAGATCACCGGAGATGGAAAGATATTGGATCCCAAATACAGCGGCAGTTGCAGCCTGGAGACATTCTACAACGATCCTAAGCATCCAGATGGGAACTCCTACCGGCTTCAGACCTGGCTGTACAGCTGCCGCCTCTTGCAATATGCAGATGCTCTGGAACACCTTCTGGCTACTGGTATATACTTTTGTTTAGATAAAATACTATCAGAAAAATTTAAAAAATAACTACGTATTTTTTCATTACAAAAATGTGAGTCAAGCACTGAAAGGGTGAAATGGATGCAATGACTCAGCAAAAGCTACAGTTCTATATAAGCAGGTGTGGCTGTAGCTTAGTAGACCACTGTGTTAGTTTGCCCCAGTTGGAGAAAGGTCTTGGTATGTGAGAAGGCCTCACTGTGAGGTACGCCTTAGTCTATGAGAAGGCTGAGTGTGAGAAGCCTCAGGTTGAAGTTCTCATGTGTAAAGCTACTGCGTGAAGCTCCTGTGTAACCTCAGTGTGAGAGGAAGCTCTGTGAGAGCAAAGCTGTTTATCTGCACGAGAAAGAAGCCCAGCATGGAAGCAAAGAAGGAAGTATAAAGAACTTTATTTGTGTTGTGGAAACCTTGTAAATAGTGCAACAATATTATTTTGCTATAAAGAAAAGCCTCCTTTGGAAGAGATAACATTGTTCTTTGTGTTTTTGTTCTTTTTATCACTTTGAAATGTAATGTAATGTAATATAATTGACTGGTTACCCTGACACGACAAATAAATAAAAATTACTTTGGGCTACTGGTACTGGGTCACACTGCTGTTGATAAGTTACTCTGCTGTAAATTTTGGGGAGGATGTTTTGTTAATAAGCCTACTCACCCAACAAATACATGTCTAGAGAAACAGACACATAACAGAGAAGCCTCTGGTACACAGGATAAACACACCAAAAGGGAATGAAATCTAGTTACTTGAAAACAGGAATTGGATATTTTTTTTTTGATATAATATTTATTAATAGTTTCGCAAAAGAGTATATACAAGGGTATAAAATAACATAACAAAGTTTCAAAAAAAGAACAAATTAAAAAGAACCCCAACCATCAGTCATCCGTCCATTCTCTATCACACATGAATACATCTACCAACTCCCACTAAAAAAGGAAAAAGAAGAATAAAGAAAAAAATGCTTGAAAAATTGTGACTTCCGTTCTTCTTCCAAGGAATGGGAAATTATTGTACTGGAAGTCCCACCAGTTCCTTCATCATTGTAGCCCATGGTGATGAAGTGCTTAATGGTGTTTACCCTTCTCTCTTGAGAGAGAGAGATTTTAGTGGTAAAAATTGATGGTGAGACGTCCTCTGGGGAATCTATGTTAGATTGCAATTATTGGCTTCTGTAGACTCAATTTTCAGGCCAGAATCACAGGAGCTGAGATTTCATCCATTTCATTTACAGGCTAACACCGTGAAAAAGTTATATATGGTCACAGAATTCCCTAATATGAAACTAACAAATAACTGAACAATACTAGTCAAAGACTTGGAAGAAGAAGGAGAAAATTGTTGGACGAATAGGCTTATTAACAAAAGACCCTCCTCATGAATGTACAACAGAGTAACTTAGCAGCGGCAGCAGCAGCATGACCCAGCACCAGTAGCCAAAAGTGATAAAAGAACAAAAACACACAGATAATAAATAATAATAATAAATCTTTATTTGTACCCCACTACCATCTCCCGAAGGACTCGGTGCAGCTTACAAGAGGCCGAGCCCAACAATAAAACAATAAAAACAATACAACAATAAAAACAACAGCAACAACAATGCAAAAACTCAAAAAACAAAGCAATAACATTAACAACACCCAATGACGCAATTAAAAACAATGGCCGGGCCAAATGTTAATAATTAAAAATTAAAAATGCAGGGCATGGCAAGGTGGGGAGTTTGGAGGGGGATGGGCATGCAGATATCCAGAATCTCTGGAAAAGTGCGTTGGGACATAATGCTAGGAGTTTCCTTATTCTGGAAAGGCACACTGGAACAACCATGTCTTCAAGCTCCTCCTAAAGATTGCTAGCAACGGGGCCTGCCTGATGTCCTTAGGGAGAGAGTTCCAGAGTCGAGGGGCCACCACCGAGAAGGCCCTATCCCTCGTTCCCACCAATCGCGTTTGCGATGCCGGTGGGATCGTAAGCAGGGCCTCTCCAGATGAACGAAGAGATTGTGTGGGTTCGTACACAGAGATCAATGTTATCTGTTCCATAGGAGCAAAATATATATAGCAAAATTTATAGCAAAATATATGGTTGCACTATTTACAAGAACAAGGTTTCCAAAACGCAAATAAAGTTCTTTATACTTCCGTCTTTGCTTCCACACTAGGCTATTTTCTCATGCAGATGGACAGCTTTGCTCTCTGAGTTTCTTCTCACACTGAACTTACACAGGAGCTTCACACAGTAGCCTTTTACACACAGCAGCCTTCAACCTGGGGCTTCTCTCACTGAAGCTTCTCACACACCAGGCCTACTAACACTGAGGCCTTCCTCCCACTGAGGCCTTCTCACACTGAGACAAACTAACACTGAGGCCTACTAATATTGAGGCCTACTAACACACTGAGGTCCTTCTCCAACAGAGACCTTTCACAGACTGTTGGCAAACTGAAACTGAGGCCTTCTCACACTAAAGCCTTTTCACAGACAGGGCTGCTAAACTACAGGCACACCTGCTTATATTGAACTGAAGCTTTTGCGGAGTCCTTGCATCCATCTAACCCTTTCGGTGCTTGACTCATGTTTTGCAATTACAAAGACCTAGCTGATTTTCAATATTTCTGACAAAAATAAATCTCTAAAAGTGTCGATGAATTACCACTTTGAATGAGAAGATCTGCCTTTTCTGTCTTTCCTTGCTCGATCTAGATCACTAGGCTTAGCACAGGGATGGTGCCCTACATTTTCATACTCTAATCTTCAGCTGATGCAGATTCATTTATTTCCATCTCTTAGTGTCAGTTGTGTTCTTAATTTATCCAAGCAAAGCTATAAATACGTTCAGGAGAAAATCCCTTCTTGTGCTTTTTGGTTATACTCTTAGTTTCTGAGCCCTGTCTTTGAGGAATTAAAGAAAAGGCACACTTTAAAGCCTGGCTAAACTCATTTTATGATGGAGCTGTGCTAGTTTATTCATGTTGAAGAGTTTCTGACAGTGATCCCTTGTTCATTTCCAGGGCAAGGCGTCGTCCTGGAACGCTCTCCCTTCAGCGACTACGTGTTTGTGGAAGCCATGCTTAAGCAAGGCTACATTCACAAAAGATGTAAGTCATCTTCCGTCAGAAAGGCTGTGGAGCAGGTGGAAAACAGAAGTCATAAGCCTATGTCACCAATTGGATTCTGGTCCAGTGTTAGGTGCCTTAAATATTGCCAGTGTGTGTGTGTTATTGTTGTTTCTTAATAGAGTTAACCATTGCAACTGGCGGTTCTTTCTGTATAAAGTTTTGCTCTGATTCTTATTCTTGCTAACAGATGGGATGAAATTCATGGTTCACCTTTCTGCTTCGGCTTTGGGAATAGGGGAGTTTAGAGCCTTGTTTGGGGGGTAGAGCTGGAGTCCCCGGCCCAGTCTTGAGTGAAACTGAGATGGGTTGTTGTGAGTTTTCCAGGCTGTATGGCCGTGTTCCAGAAGCATTCTCTCCTGACGTTTCACCCACATCTCAGGTTGTGAGGATTGTTGAAGGCTTTCATGGCCAGAATCACTGGGTTGTTGCAGGTTTTTTCGGGCTATATGGCCATGCCTGGCCGCTGTGATGGTCTGGATGAGGGTGAGCAAATTGAAGTTGAATCCAGACAAGACAGAGGTTCTCCTGGTCAGTTGCAAGGCCGAACAGGGTATAGGGTCGCAACCTGTGCTGGATGGGGTCACACTCCCCATGAAGGCACAGGTTCACAGCTTGGGAGTTCTCCTGGATTCATCACTGAGCCGGGAATCCCAGGTTGCAGCAGTGGCCAGGGGAGCGTTCTCACAATTAAAACTTGTGTGCCAGCTGCGCCTGTACCTTGAGAAGTCAGACTTGGCCACAGTGGTCCACACTCTTGTTACATCTAGACTAGACTACTGCAGCACACTTTATGTGGGGTTGCCTTTGAAGACTGCGCGGAAACTTCAAATAGTCCAACGAGAGGCAACCAGGGTAATAACTGGGGTGGCATACAGGGAGCACACAACTCCCATGTTACATCAGATCCCCTGGCTGCCTGCTACCGGGCACAATTCAAAGTGCTGGCTTTGGTCCATAAAGCCCTAAATGGCCCTGGCCCAGTTTACCTGTTCAAACACGTCTCCCTTTACAAACCACTGTGAAGACTAAGATCTTCTGGGGAGGCCCTGCTCTCGGTCCTGCCACCCATCACAGGCATGTTTGGCGGGGACGAGAGACAGGGCCTTCTCGGTGATTGCTCCCCGGCTATAGAACACCATTCCTGGTGAGATCAGGTCAGCCTCCTCCCTCCTGTCCTTTAGAAGGATGGTAAAAACTTGGCTGTGGGACCAAGCTTTCAGGACAGGGCAATGAAGCGGCAATGGGAAAGATGACAGGGCCAATTGGATTTGATGCAGAGGGCTAGGATGGTTTTAAATGGTGTTATTTTAAATGGTGTATTTTAATATTTTGATAAATGTTTTTTAATGTTTATGTATTGTATCCAGACATAAACATTAAAAAACATAAAACATTAACATTACATAAACATTAAAAAACATAAACATAAGACATAAACATTAAAAAACATTTAAAAACATATGTATTGTATCCAGGGAGCCCCCGGTGGCGCAGTGGGTTAAAGCACTGAGCTGCTGAGCTTGTTGATCGAAAGGTCGCAGGTTCGATTCCGGGGAGCGGCGTGAGCTTCCGCTGTCAGCCCTAGCTTCTGCCAACCTAGCAGATCGAAAACATGCAAATGTGATCAGCGGGAAGGTAACGACGCTCCATGCAGTCATGCCGGCCACATGACCTTGGAGGTGTCTACGGACAATGCTGGCTCTTCGGCTTAGAAATGGAGATGAGCACCACACCCCAGAGTCAGACATGACTGGACTTAATGTCAGGGGACTACCTTTACCTTTATTGTATCCAGATATTGAATGTTTGTCGTGTATATTCTGTGCTCCACTCTGAGTCCCCTTTGGGGTGAGAACGGCGGAATATAAATGTTTTAAATAAATAAATAATAAATGTTCTAGAGGCATTCTCTCCTTGGGCTGAGTCCTTGATGTAGTGTGTAGTGAGCCCAATATGGCTTTGTAACTGTGCAGCAAGAAATTTTGCTAAGTCGTACATGGGAGATCCAATGGCACTCACAATGGGTCTGAGTGGGGTAGGAGAGAATGCCTCTAGAACATGGCCATATAGCCCGAAAAAACCTACAACAACCCAGTTGTGAGGATTGTTGGAAACTAGGCAAGTGGGATTTATATATCTGTGGAATGTTTGGGGTGGGAGAAAGAACTCTTGTCTGTTTGAGGCAGGTGTGAATGTTGCAATTGGCCGCCTGATTAGCATTTAATGGCCTTGGAGCTTCAAAGCTTGGCTGAATGCTTCCTGAGGGGAATCTTTTGTTGGCGGGTGTTTGCTGACCTTGATTGATTCTTGTCTGGAATTCCCCTTTTTTAGTGTTGTTCTTTATTTATTGTCCTGATTCTATAATTTTTTAATACTGGGGACCAAATTTTGTTCATTTCCATGGCTTCCTCCTTTCTGTTGAAATTGTCCACCTGCTTCTTGTAGATTTCAATGGCTTCTCTGTGTAGTTGGATATGGTGGATGTGAGAGTAGTCCAGCATTTCTGTGTTCTCAAATAATACGCTGTGTCCAGGTTAGTTCATCAAGTGTTCTGCTATGGCTGACTTCTCTGGTTGGATTAGTCTGCAATGCCTTTTGTGTTACTTGATTCGTATCTGGGCAATGCTGAGTTTGGTAGTCCTAATGTAGAACTTATGCACAGCTGGAGTCTATTATATACCATGAAGTGTTCTTGCCATACATCAAGGGAACCACTTACCGCATAGGGAAGCTGAGGAAGAAACACAACCTACACACTATCTATAGACCCACCAAGAAAATCCAACAAATGCTCCATTCAGCAAAGGACAAGAGGGATCTTCTCACCTCAGCATGAGTCTCCCGTATAACATGCAGCTGTGGACAAGAAGTCTCCATAGGGACCCCCAAACATAGCAGTGTTGCCCAGGCATGAATCGAGGGATAGCACTGCAGACGAAGTCACCCTGAGAAGTCAGCCATAGCAGAGCACCTGATGAACCGACCTGGACACAGCATATTATTTGAGAACACAGAAATGCTGGACCACTCTCACAACCACCATGTCAGGCTACACAGAGAAGCCATTGAAATCCACAAAGCATGTGGACAATTTCAACAGAAAGGAGGAAACCATGAAAATGAACAAAATCTGGCTACCAGTATTTAAAAACTCTAAAATTATAACGACAATAAGTAAAGAACAACACTAAAAAAGCAGGGGAAATCCAGACAAGAAACAACCAGGGCCAGCAAATCACCTCCCAACAAAGGATTCCCAGGCAGTAAGAAGCCACACCTTGAAGCTGTCAGGCCATCAAATGCTAATCAAGGTGGCCAATTGAAACATTCACACCTACTTCCAACAGACAAGAGTTCTTTCTCCCACCCTGGACATTTCCACAGATATATAAACCCCATTTTCCTAGTTTCCAACAGACCTCACAACCTCTGAGGATGCCTGCCACAGATGCAGGCGAAGCGTCAGGAGGGAATGCTTCTGGAATATGGCCATACAGCCTGGAAAACTCACAACAACTCAACCAAATCTGGCTACCAGAATGGAAAAACTCTAAAATCAGGAGAGTAAATAAAGAGCTACGCTCAAAAAAGCAGGAGAATTCCAGACAAGAATCAATCAGTGCCAGTTAACACATCCAAACAAAGGATTCCCCCAGGCTTTGAAGTTTCAAGGCCATTAAATACACAAACAAAAGGGAAACTTACTCAAACTTACGCTGATGTCTCAAGGTGACCAGTTGCAACATTCACATGTGCCTCAAGCAGACAAGAGTTCTTTCCCCCACCCTGGACATTCCACAGATATATAAACCTCACTTATCTAGTTTCCAACAGACCTCACAACCTCTGAGGATGCCTGCCATAGATGCAGGCGAAACATCAGGAGAAAATGCTTCTGGAACATGGCCAGACAGCCCGGAAAACTCACAGCAACCCAGTGATTCCAGCTATGAAAGCCTTCAACAACACACGAAACAGAGATGTTTGTGGTGCTTGAGAGTGGCATTCTGAGCCTGTGGTCCCTTCTCTCTCTGCAGCTTTGATGATCAGATGGAGGGATGAGGAAGAAAGAATGGGGAAGGAGATGCAGAGGGTCTTTGGGGGGCAACCTGAGCTCATCCAAGGTGGACAGCCCATGCTGTATTTAGTCCCTTTACTTCTGCTTTCTCTGGAGGACGATGTGTCTCCAGCTGGCTAAAGTATCTACTTGTGTTGGGTGGTTTCTCCTCTAGGTATAGAGCACTACAACATAATCAAGGGTCTCAGCATTGATGAGTTTTTGCCTCCTCACCTGGCCATTTATATTGACGTCCCTGTCTCAGATGTGCGGAAAAGGATCGAAGAGAGAGGCAAGGTAAGTTCCGCTCTGGGAATCACTGCATGGTACCTGACAAGGAGAAACAAGGGATGTCAAGGGTGGCATGGCCTCTTCAGGGAGGAAGGCTTTTGCTGTCTTGACGGGGATAGAGTCAAGGTTAATTTGGAGTTTAGGCAAGTCGAGGGTGGTATGGTCGCTGATCTGTCTGAAAGGACAAAAGACTACTTAAAAATGTAAATACCTTCAGCTGCATGAACACTTTGTGTTTTGTTTTAAGCCATATGAAAAGAAGGTGTCGTCTGCTTACCTTCAGAGCATTGAAGATGGCTATAAGAAATCCTTTCTGCCAGAAGTCAGGTTTGTAGTGGTTTGTTTATTTATTTATTGTGTCAGAAGCAAACCGAGGGTAGAGTTGTAATGTATTTAAAAACACAAACAAGGTTAAAAACTTGTCATTATATTAAATGTCTTTTGACCAGTAGCTGACCACTTGGAGTGCCTCTGGTATTGCTATAAGAAGGTCCTCCATTGTGCATGTGGCAGGGCTCAGACTGCATTGTAGTGGTCTGTGGTTTGCTCTTCTCCACACTTGCATGACATGGACTCCACTTTGTGGCCCCATTTCCTAAGATTGGCTCTGCATCTTGTGGTGCCAGAACGCAGCCTGTTCAGTGCCTTCCAAGTCACCCAGTCTTCTGTGTGCCCAGGAGAGAGTCTCTCACCCAGTCTCAGCCACTGATTTAGGTTCTGGGTTTTAGCCTGCCACTTTTGGACTCTCACTTGCTGAGGTGTTCCTTTGATTATTTCTGTAGATCTTAGGAAGCTGTTTCTTCATTGAAGTCATTGACATACTGGCTAATATCTGAACAGAGGATGGACTGCTGATGTCGCTACCTTTTTATGCTTATATTGTTTTGTTAATCTTACGTTTATGTTGTTTACTCTGTATGTATTGATGATGTTACTTGGAAACATCTACTAGGCATAGAGCCTTCTCGATCATGCCCCCCGCCTTGAGTTGCCGATAGGCTGAGAAAGGCGGTATACAAATACAGTAAATAAATAAATTAATAAATAATTTATGGAATCCTTACCAGTTGAAACTCGAACCATCCGAGACCTACTTGCTTTTCGGAAAGCCTGTAAAACTTTTCTTTTCCGACAAGCTTTTGATGGGTGAACAATCCAGGCTATGCCTGTTCTCGCTGCCTATTGTTATTGTTATGGTCATTTTAAAGCTAATTGTATTGTTTTAATCCGTTTCTGTAAACCACTCCGAGCCAAATTGGGAGTAGCGGTATAAAAGTTGAATGAATGAATGAATGAAACCGCTCTGAGACCCCTCGGGGAAATGGAGCGGTATATAAATAAATTATTATTATTATTATTATTATTATTATTATTGCTCCTTTCATTATTGGCTGCTACTTCTCAGCGGATGTAAGGTGGTGTGATACTGGATAAACAGTAAAATTTCTCCAACGGTGTTGGGCGTAGACATCCTGTGATAATGTGGCATGTCTCATTAAGAGCCACATCTACTGTTTTAACGTGGTGAGAGGTATTCCACACTGGGCATGCATACTCAGCAGCAGAGTAGCAAGCGTAAGGGCAGATGTCTTAGCTGTATCTGGTTGTGATCCTCAGGTTGTGCCAGTCAGCTTTCGTATGATATTGTTCCTAGCGCCCACTTTTTGCTTGATATTCAAGCAGTGCTTCTTGTAAGTCAGAGAATGATCCAGGGTAACTCCCAATGCGATTGAATAATGATTCACTAATGAGATGTTAAGGATGTATGTTTTATTGGTTTTTTGATTTTGTATGGTTTTATATTTATGCTGAATATTTTAATTGTATTTTGTGCTATTGGGGGCATTGAATTGTGCCGACTGTAAACCGCCTTGAGTCGCCTTCAGGCTGAGAAGGGCCGTATATAGTGGGATTCCTTCCCAGGTCATCTTCAGAGCTCGAGATTCTTGTCTTTCTTAAGGTGAAAAGCACACGTTTGCATTTTAGATGGATTGGGAATCAGCTGGTTTCCCCTGTAATAGGCAGTAAGAGCACCTAAAGCTTCGGAGAGTTTTTGTCCAACCATTTCAGAGCTCCCTCTTTGGGCGGTGGTAGCATGGTCGTCAGCATAGATGAAATTCTCTGTCCCTTCTGGCAGTGGCTGGTCATTTGTGTATATGTTAAACATGGATGCAGTAAGCACGCTCCCCTGAGGCAGGCCATTCTTCTGTTTCCATTATCTGCATTTCTGCCCCTGGAACTCAACAAAAAAGCTCCTGTATTGTCGCAGATTTCCTATGAAGTAGGTGAGGTGGTAATCTGCAATATTATAAGTTTTTCTCAGAAGAAGGCAACGATTTATAGTGTCATAAGCTGCTGACAGGTCTATGAAGACAGCTCCTGTGATCTGCTGCCTTTCAAAGCCATCTTCTATGTGCTCATAGGAAACCTGCTACAAAACAGGAGCTTTTTTGTTGAGTTCTAGGGCTAGAGAAGCTCCTGTAATCAGCTGGTTAACATAGAAAACAGCACATATATAAACAACTTTACACTGTCAGCATTAAACTTGGGGTGTGTGGTCAGTATAGCTGTGTTGAATGCTTTTGTTTTGTGATGAACAAAACTATTTTCTGGAGCAACATTATATCATGTCACTGTTTTGTTTTCTAGCCAAACCAGTGAAGTCCTGCAGTATACAGCAAGTGAAGCTGAACAGGTGGACAAGGTAGACTTTCCTGTTTGTTCCCCTTGTAGTAGTTTGGATTTTTTGCTGTGTTTGACTTGAAGGGTGGGTGGCTTTTGTGTGTTGAACTCTCAGAAGTCATTGAATATAACCTGCTTTAGAGACAGGTGGATTGGGTCCTGTCAGAACTGCCTTTTCCAGGACTCTTTGTGGAGCAATGAATTGGGGTTCTCCCACTCCATCCTTTAAACCAGTGTTTCTCAACCTGGGGGTCGGGACCCCTGGGGGGGGTCACGAGGGGGTGTCACCAAAGACCATCAGAAAACACAGTATTTTCTGGGTTGTTTGAGTTTTTCAGGCTGTATGGCCATGTTCCAGTAGCCTTCTCTCCTGATGTTTTGCCTCCATCTTTGGAAGGCATTATTTTATTTATTATTTATTCCAGGTACTATTATCCCGCCCTTCTCAACCCCCGAGGGGGGACTCAGGGCGGCTTACAAAAAGGCATAATTCGATGCCTACATAGAATACATATACATATAAAAACAGCAAACAATTATCACAGTTGAAACAGTCAGTATATGACACAATCAATAAAAATAAAAACACAATCAATAAAAACTAATCTCAAGCTCAGCGTTCGTCTTTCAGAGTTCCATAATTCCATTCCACTTTGTCAACTTTATCCCCACCCCAAAGAATCTCACACCTTAGATGCAGGCGAAATGTCAGGAGAGGATGCTTCTGGAACATAGCCATACAGCCTTAAAAATTCTAGCCATGAAAGCCTTCAACAATACAGTATTTTCTGTTGGTCGTGGGGGTTTTATGTGGGAAGTTTGGCCCCATTCTATTGGTGGGGTTCAGAATGCTCTTTGATTGTAGGTGAACTATAAGTCACTGGAGTACACGCCCTCCAAATGGGAAGTTTAGTTTCACAACTGTTTGTTTTTATGAGCTCCCTGAAAACAACCTGCTCCTATTTTTATTTCATTAGTCTTTTAATTTTTTGTCCTGTACATTTGGCCCGCCCCGTTATCATGACTGTGTTTACTGTTTTTTCCCCTTTCTTTCTATGTAATTTTGATAATGTTGTTTGTTGCCTATGATTTTGGTTTTATTTCGCTGTAATATGTTGTCCAGGCTTGGCCCCATTTAAGCCACTCCGAGTCCCCACTGGGGAGATGGTGGCAGGGTATAAATAAAGATTATTATTATTATTATTATTATTATTATTATTATTATTATTATTATTATTATTGGGTTGTTGTAGGTTTTGGTCTAGAGGCATTCTCTCCTGACGTTTTGCCTGCATCTATGGCAAGCAACCTCAGAGGTAGTGAGGTCTGTTGGAACTAGGAAAAGGGGTGTATATATCTGTAGAATGACCAGGGTGAGACAAAGAGCTCTTGTCTGCTGGAGCTAGGTGGGAATGTTTCAACTGACCACCTTGATTAGCATACAATGGCCTGACATTGCCTAGAGCAAACTTTTGTTGAGGGGTGATTAGATGTCCTTGCTTGTTTCCTCTCTGTTGTTGTGCTGTTGCAATTTTAGAGGTTTTTTTAAATACTGGTAGCCAGATTTTGTTCATTTTCATGGTTTCCTCCTTTCTGTTGAAATTGTCCACATGCTTTGTGTATTTCAATGGCTTCTCTGTGTAGTCTGACATGGTGGTTATTATTATTGCTCTCATGGCCCTATGGCAGCAGAGCACCTGAAAGTCTCTTATGTGGAAAAGCCCAACCACATTCCTTTCAGATACTTCTGGGAATTTTCACTGACCTTTCCTTCTTCGTAGGTCCTTGAAGACATTGAGTACCTGAAGTTTGACAAGGGCCCTTGGCTGGAGCAGGATGACGTGACCTTTCACCACTTGAGGGTCCTGTAAGGACAAGCTCTTCTTGCATCTCTCTCTTTGTGTTCCCGACTTTCTATCCCCACCCCAAAAGAATCTCACACCTTGCTCAGTGGGCCCCGCAGGGAGTGGCTGCTCTCATTCTTGTCTTGTCCCGATAGCAAATGTATTCTCCTAAGCATCTGTTACTTAGCCAGGTTTTTTTTTTCAAGATTACAGTAGGAGACCTTCCAATTTTAATCCCCCACCATGTTTTCTCTCTCTATGGCTCTCTGGTTTAGATGTGTTTATATATCATAGAATCAAAGAGTTGGAAGAGACCTCATGGGCCATCCAGTCCAACCCCCTGCCAAGAAGCAGGAATATTGCATTCAAATCACCCCGACAGATGGCAATCCAGCCCCTGTTTAAAAGCTTCCAAAGAAGCTTTTAAACAGGGGCAGAGAGTTCCACTGCTGAACAGCTCTCACAGTCAGGAAGTTCTTCCTCATGTTCAGATGGAATCTCCTCTCTTGTAGTTTGAAGCCATTGTTCCGCGTCCTAGTCTCCAGGGAAGCAGAAAACAAGCTTGCTCCCTCCTCCCTGTGGCTTCCTCTCACATATTTATACATGGCTATCATATCTCCACTCAGCCTTCTCTTCTTCAGAGACCTCTTCACACTGAGGGCTCTCTCATACTGACACCTATCACAAACTGAGGCAAACTAACACTGAGGCCTACTCATCTGAGGCCCTATTTAGAACAACAAGGTTTCCATGACATAAATAAACAAATGCATAGTAGCTTTATACACAGGAGCCTTCACACTAGAGCTTTCTCACACAAGGCTTGTCTCATATCAGGCCTTCCTCATACTGTGAGGCCTACCTCACAGAGAAGCCTGCTCACACAGACTGAGTTCCCTCACTGAGGCAAACAAATGCTAACAGGCTTCAGCCTAGTCACTCTCCTCAGGGCGATGCAAGCTTTGGCCCACTAACTCGTAACAAGCTTCGGCGTACTAACTCTTTCAGTGCTTGACTCACACTTTTGTAATAAAAAATACACACTTAATTTTTAATATTTCTGACACCTTCCAGTTAGAGAGGCCTCCCAGGGGTCTCATTTCCCCAGACCCCCTCCAAAAGGAACTTTACAGTTTCCGCTGTTCCATTTCCTGTCATTTCTGGATGTAACTTTTCTTTTCTTTTCCCTTTTTTGCTTGATAAGGGTCCAGGACAAGTTCAGTGTGATGGCTCCCACTGCATTCCTTCACTACATCCCTGAAATCACAGTGGGGGGGCTCGAATCGGACAAGATCTACTATGAATTCAAGTCGGTAAGGGCCCAGATCTCACTTTGGGGTTGATGTGGCTGAGGGTCCAGCTAGAAGAGCGGCATTGGCACCAGGCCTGGGCAAAGGGGAGTGAAGGAGCTCTTGTGCAAGTAGCATCCCATCAGCTCTTACGTGGGTTCTTCAAGGCTTGACATGAGCTGGATCTTGAGCTTCCCTCGGCTGAGCAAGGGATTCTGGTCTCCCTGAATCCAGCTCCAGCATTCAAACAATAGCATCTCACTGGCTTATTAACTTATGTTGCCATTGTTTATATGCTTATGTCTTGTTTATTTTATGTGCGGCACTCTGGAGTGCTTTTGTGAGCCGCACCAAGTCCCTTTGGGGAGATGGTGGCAGGATATAAAGTTTATTATTGTTTACTAGCTTGGGTTCCTGGCGTTGCCCGGGTTATTTGAAAAAGTCAATGTTTTAATGTATAAGGTTGTGGGTGAACTACAACTCACATCATGCTAGTTTCACCCCAAGAAACTCCATCAGTAAAGTTTGTTATTTTGGGCAACCTTGCTCTAGATGCATCATCGGTGGGGTTGATTGTGCTCTCTGGCTTCAGGGTAAGCTACAACTCCCACTATGCTTAGTTAGTCCCTTCAAACTCCTCCAGTAAGTTGTGTTAGTCATGGAGGTTCTCTGTGCCAAGTTTGGTCCAGGTCCATCATCAGTAGAGATCACCGTTTCTCTGGTTGTGGGTGGTCAGTTCACCCCCAAACCCCTCCAGTAATCAAATTTTGACATATCAGGTCTGTGTGCCAAGTTTGGTCCAGATCTATCGGTGTTTGGGTTCACAGTGTTTTCTGGATGTAGGTGATCTACAACTTCCCTAAATCAAGGTGAATTTCCCCCAAAGACTTCCAGTATTTTCTGCAGGTCATGAGGGCTCTGTGTTCCAGGTTTGGTCCAATTCCATCTTTGGTGGAATTCAGAGTGCTCACTGACTGCAGGTGAATTATACATCCCAGGACCTACAACTCCAAAATGTCCAAGCTAATACCCATCAAAAACCCACAAGTATTCAAATTTGGGCACATCAGGTATGCATGCCAAGTTTGGTCCAGATCCATCATTTGGGTTCATAATGCGCTCTGGATGTAGGTGAACTACAACTCCTCTAAATCCTTTTTTGTTGGTCATGGGAATTCTGTGTGACAAGTTTGGCCTAATTCCATTGTGCATGTGGCAGGGCTCAGACTGCATTGTAGTGGTCTGTGGTTTGCTCTTCTCCACACTTACATGTCATGGACTCCACTTTGCGGCCCCATTTCTTATGGTTAGCTCTGCATCTCGTGGTGCCAGAGCACAGCCTAGCCTGTTCAGCGCCTTCCAAGTGGCCCAGTCTTCTGTGTGCCCAGAAGAGAGTCTCTCATCCAGTCTCAGCCACTGATTGAGGTTCTAGGTTTTAGCCTGACACTTTTGGACTCTTGCTTGCTGAGGTGTTCCTTTGATTATCTCTGTAGATCTTAGGAAGCCCAGAATGTTCAGAATGTTCTTTGATTGTAGGTGAACTATAAATCGCAGCAACTCCAAATGACAAAATCAATCCCCCCCAACCTCACCAGTATTGAAATGTAAGCATAACAAGTTTTTTTTGGCCAAATTTGGCCCAGTAAATAAGAATACATCCTGCATATCAGATATTTACATGACGATTCATAACAGGAGCAAAATTAAGAGTTATGAAGTGACAACAAAAATAATTTTATAGTTGGGGGTCACCACAACATGAGGAATTGTATTAAGGGGTTGCCACATTAGGAAGGTTGAGAAACACTGTTCTAGAGCTTCCTGATCTTCAAAGGTTCAGTCTTTTCACACTATAGCTTTTAGAGTGGTTTTATCCCAGTGTGATTTAACCCTTTGCCATTTGTTCCAAACCATTCTGTCTGTAGCAGTTCCTTGTGGTGGGGAGATGACCCTTAAGCGAACTCAAGCAAATAAGTATGGACCAGCCCAGAGAGAAGGATGCATTGACCCCTCTCCCTGAAAACTGGATCTGTTTTCTGTCCCCTGTAGCTCCCTGGGCGCATGTATGGCCCTGGTTATAATGCCGATGTTGGAGACAAGTGGATCTGGCTGAAATAAGCCACCTCTTTTCAAGCTTTACCCGGAAGATGGCTGCAGATCAATGGGAATGCTGCCCTTCTTCATGCAAGTGCTGTAGAGAAGCGGGGAACATATTCATCCTTATTCAGAACTGACAGAAGAGCCGGGCTCCCCGATTAAGGTGGGATCTCACTGTCCAAACCCCAGCTTCCTGTATTCCAGGCCCAGAAATAAAGTGGTTTACTCAAGTGGCTTCTCTGGTGAGTATTTTTTCCCTCTTGCAAAGGAAGCATAAGATAATTACAAGGGCAGAGATTGCACCTAGACTTTGTTTCCTGCTTGAGAGTCTACTATGGGAGGCCTGGCTTTCTTTCTACAAGGTAAAGGTTTCCCCTGACATTATGTCTATCAGTGTCCGACTCTGGAGGGTGGTGCTTATCTCCATTTCTAAGCCAAAGAGTTGGCATTGTCCATAGACACCTCCAAAGTCATGTGGCCACTGGCATGACCCTGTATCAAGGGTCACCACATTAGGAAGGTTGAGAAACATTGTTCTAGAGCTTCTTGATCTTCAAATGTTCAGTTTTGAGATCTGCAGCCCGAAGAGAGACAGTTTTCACACTACAGAAGTTTGGCCATATTCTATCGTTGGTGGAGTTCAGACTGCTCTTTGATTGCAGATGACCTATGTTGTTGTTCACTCGTTCAGTCGTCTCCGACTCTTCATGACCTCATGGACCAGCCCACGCCAGAGCTCCCTGTCGGCCGTCACCACCCCCAGCTCCTTCAAGGTCAGTCCAGTCACCTCAAGGATGCCATCCATCCATCTTGCCCTTGGTCGGCCCCTCTTCCTTTTGCCTTCCACTTTCCCCAGCATCATTGTCTTCTCTAGGCTTTGCTGTCTCCTCATGATGTGGCCAAAGTACTTCAACTTTGTCTCTAGTATCCTTCCCTCCAATGAGCAGTCGGGCTTTATTTCCTGGAGGATGGACTGGTTGGATCTTCTCGCAGTCCAAGGCACTCTCAGAACTTTCCTCCAACACCACAGCTCAAAAATGACCTATGCATCTCAGCAACTTGACATTACGTCTAGCCGTGTCCGACTACGGAGGGTGGTGCTCATCTCCATTTCTAAGCCGAACCATTCATAGACACCTCCAAGGTCATGTGGCCACTGGCATGACCTTGTATCAAGGGTCACCACATTAGGAAGGTTGAGAAACATTTTTCTAGAGCTTCTTGATCTTCAGTTTTGAGATCTGCAGCCCGAATGGAGACAGTTTTCACACTACAGAAGTTTGGCCATATTCTATCGTTGGTGGGGTTCCGAGTGCTATTTGATTGCAGGCGAACTATACATCTCAGCAACTTGACATTACGTCTAGCTGTGTCCGACTCTGGAGGGTGGTGCTCATCTCCATTTCTAAGCTGAAGAGGTGGCATTGTCCATAGACATCTCCAAGGTCATGTGGCCACTGACATGACTGCATGGAGCACTGTTACCTTCCTATTGATCTCACATTTGCATGTTTTTGAAATACTAGGTTGGCAGAAGCTGGGGCTAACAGCAGGAGCTTATCCTGCTCCCTGGATTCAAACTGCCAATCTTTTGGTCAGAAAGTTCAGCAGCTCAACGATTTAACCCGCTGTGCCACCAGGGTGTACAGCTTTCTTTCTATGTAGGTCAGTGCTTCTCAGGCTGGGGTTCGGTACCCCTGAAAGGGGGGGGGGTCACAAGGGGGTGTCAGAGGGTTCACCAAAGACCATCAGAAAACAGTATTTTCTATTGGTCATGGGGTTCTGTGGGGGAAGTTTGGCCCAATTTTATCATTGGTGGGGTTCAGAATGCTCTTTGGTTGCAGGTGAACTATACATCTCAGCAACTACAACTCCCAAATGTCAAAGTATTTTCCTCAAACTCCACCAGTATGCCAAGTTTGGTCCAGATCCATCTTTGTTTGAGTCCACAGTGCTCTCTGGATATAGGTGAACTACAACTCCAAAACTCAAGGTCAATGCCCACCAGACCCTTCCAGTATTTTCTGTTGGTCATGGGAATTCAGTGTGCCAAGTTTGGTTCAATTCCATCGTTGGTGGAGTTCAGAATGCTCTTTGATTGCAGGTGACCTATATATCCCAGCAATTACAACTCCCAAATGATAAAATCAATGACAATAAACCAATACAACCCCGCCAATATACAGATTTCGGCGTATCGGGTATTTGTGCCAAATGTGGTCCAGTGACTGAAAATACATCCTGCATATCAGACGTTTACATTACGATTCATAACAGAAGCAAAACTACAGTTTTGAAGTAGCAATGAAAATAATGTTATAGTTGGGGATCACCACAACAGGAGTACCTGTATCAAGGGGTCGTGGCATTAGGAAGGCTGGGAAACATTAGTGTAGGCTCTTTGGAGTCTTGTTTTGGGGTGCTAGGGGGGTGTTGATGTTCACTAGCACATGGTCCAAGGGGGTGGGGTTTTTACAGAGTGATTGACATGGCTGTGGATGGAGCCAGCGGCCCACTCTGAGCCTGTGCAGCTCAATCTCTGATGAGAGAGCTGGAGCTGAGCTGTGTTTTGGGGTGAGAATGGGAGCCGTGTGTGTGGAGGTTGGTGTGGGAACCTTTGTGTGGATCTCCTCTCTCTTTCTCCCTTTGGGCACGTGGCCTCCGTGGACAGGGCTTGTGCTGAGTCACAGGCTCGTTGTGGGAATGAGCTAGAAGCCCTTTGCTTTGCATTCATGCCCGCCTTTGGAGCACAACAAACAGGAAGAAAACACCAGCAATCCGGAGAGTGTTTGCGATGCTGCAGGTGAACAATAAATCCTAGCAACTACAACTCAAAATCAATCCCCGCAACCCCACCAGTATTCAAATTTGGGCGTATCGGGTATTTGTGCCAAATTTGGCCCAGTGAATGAAAATACATCCTGCATATCAGATACTGACATAACGATTCATAACAGGGGCAAAATTACAGTTATGGAGTCACAACAAAAATAATGTTATGGTTGGGGTTCCTATGAGGCGGGTGAGATGGTAGTCCTTTGTGATATTATACATTTTTCTCAGGAGGAGGAGATTGTTTACAGGATCATAAGCCGTTGACAGGTCTACGAAGACAGCTCCTGTGATCTGCTGCCTTTCAAAACCATCTTCTATGTGTTCATAGGAAACCTGCTACAAAACAGGAGCTTTTTTGTTGAGTTTCAGGGCCAGAGAAGCAGATGGCGGAAACAGAAGAACGGTCTGCCTCAGGGGAGCGTGCTTGCTCCATCCATGTTCAACATTTACACAAATGACCAGCCACTGCCAGAAGGGACAGAGAGTTTCATCTATGCTGATGATCGTGCCATTACTGCTCAAGCAGGGAGCTTTGAGATGGTAGAACAGAAGCTCTCCGAAGCTCTAGGTGCTCTTACTGCCTATTACAGGGAAAACCAGCTGATCCCTAATCCATCTAAAACACACATGTGCCTTTCACCTTAAGAACAGACAAGCATCCCGAGCTCTGGAGGACTACCTGGGAAGGAATCCCACTGGAGCATTGCAGCACACCCAAATACCTGGGAGTCACTCTGGACCGTGCTCTGACCTACAAGAAGCACTGCCTGAATATGAAGCAAAAGGTGGGTGCTAGAAACAATATCATACGAAAACTGATTGGTACAACCTGGGGATCACAACCAGACACACCGAAGACATCTGCCCTTGCGCTATGCATGTCCAGTGTGGAACACATCTAACGATGCTAAAACAGTGGATGTGGCTCTTAATGAGACATGAAGCATTATCACGGAGTGTCTGTGCCCTGCACCACTGGAGAAACTACACTGTCTAGCCGGTATTGCACCACCTGACATCCGCTGGGAAGTAGCAGCCAATAGTGAAAGGACCAAGGCAGTGGCATCTCCAGCTCATCCCTCGTTTGGGTATCAGCCAGCACGTCAACGACTTAAATCAAGAAATAGTTTTCTAAGATCTACAGAGACACTCGCTGGAACACCTCAGCAAGCGAGAGTCTAAAAGTGGCAGGCTCAAACCCAGACCTCAAACAATGGCTGATACCAAATGAGAGACTCCCTCCTGGGCACACAGAAGACTGGGCGACTTGAAGGCACTGAACAGACTGTGCTCTGGCACCACGAGATGCAGAGCCAATCTTAAGAAATGGGGCTACAAAGTGGAATCCACGACATGCGAGTGTGGAGAAGAGCAAACCACTGACCACCTGCTGCAATGCAACCTGAGCCCTGCCACATGCACCATGGAGGACCTTCTTGCGGCAACACCAGAGGCACTCCAAGTGGTCAGATACTGGTCAAAGGACATTTAATCACCTACCAAGCTTGCAAACTTTGTGTTTTGTCTGTTTGTTTTGTTAAAAATGTAATACACCTGTCTGGTTGCTCCTGACACGATAAATAAACCACAAGAGAAACGGTGTTAAGGGGTTGCAGCATTAGGAAGGTTAAGAAATACTGTTGTAGGTCTTTATGTAAAGGTTGGGAGGACTTTAGTGTTCTGCTTCCACATGGTGGAATAGGGTTGGCCTTCTGTGATGCTAGAAACACCTGGAAAGGATTTGGCTGCTGGAAAGACGGCAAGTGTTCAAATGCAGAGAGAGAAAAAGCAAGACTTCGAGTAAAGCCACTTCACATTTAATCCAAAAGGGAAAAAGAAGAGGAGGAGGAGAGTTGTTTTCACACCAATCCTGGCATCAGCCAAAGTGGGGGTGAGGAGGTGGGTGGGAGTGGGAGATGCCCCTTGTTGAATCAGGAGAAGTCCATATTTATATATGTATAGATATGCTCACAAGAAGTAGCCGTGAAAAAGCGAGCAGAGCTGCGAGTGACTTCTAATAAATTACATTCTTTACATTTGCACAAAGGAGTCCGGGGACAGCAAGGCAGGAGCTGCACAGGAAAGAGAGAAGGAAAAGGGATACAACTGGCCTCCAGGCTCCCTTCTCAGGAACCGGCCATTCTTGGGAGCGGTTCCTTCAGGGTTCTAGGCAGGAGGGACACTGAGCTCCTTTCCTGAGCAGAGAGAGAGCAATGGGAAGTGCCGTCGAAAGCTTTCATGACTGGAATCACTAGGCTGCTGTGAGTTTTCTGAGCTATCTGGCCATGTTCCAGAAGCATTCTCTCCTGACATTTCACCCACATCTATGGCAAGCATCCTCAGAGGTTGCGAGGTCTGTTGGAAACTAGGCAAGTGAGGTTTATATATCTGTGGAATGATGCCCAGGGTGGGAGAAAAAGCTCTTGCCTATTGGAGGCAAGTGTGAATGTTGCAATTGGCCACCTTGATTAGCATTGTATGGTCTTGCAGCTTTGAAACCTGGCTGCTTCCTGCCTAGGGGAATCCTTTGTTGAGAGGTGTTAGCTGGCCCTGATTATTTCCTGTCTGCAATTGCCTTTTTTTTTTTTTTTTTATCCTTTTATTTAGTGTCCTTTTAGCGCTGAGGAAGGATGGCGCGCGAGAGGGGGGGAATCCTTTGTTGAGAGGTGTTAGCTGGCTCTGATTTTTTTCTTGTCTGGAATTTGCTTGTTTTTGAGTGTTCCTCTTTCTTTCTTTTCTTTTTTTAATTTGATTTTTATTGGTATAGTATATAGTTACATGGAAAGTGGGAGAATATCATGAAGAAGATAGAAAAGGGCATAAGATCCCTTACTTTCTCTAAAAATACTAAAGATTCCTCCACCTGAGGAAGACGTTAGACAGTCGAAATCCTCTACATGGATATCCTCTTACAAGGGACTGGAAGCTCCACTCAATAGTATCTTTAGAGAAAGTAAGGGATCTTATGCCCTTAAGAGAAGTCTGCTTTACAGCAAGAAAGACTCTACTTTTGTGACTGATGTAAAATCACTGTACAAATAACAGTTTTTTGTTCCTTGTATATACGTTTAATATTGTATATATAAGCTGCAAAAAAAAATTACCTTTGTGATTTATGTACTACGACTTTTAGTGGATTTGTGTTTGTTGCGATTCTGGGAATCCGTTGTCTTTTGTGTACTGGTATTAAAAAACACCAGAACCAAGACAATAAACGAAAAGCAACACTCTGAAAACGGGTATTTCAGACAATCAATCAGGGGCAGCTAACACCTCCCAACAAAGGATTCCCCCAGGCAGGAAGCTGCAAGGCTTTGCAATACTAATCACGGTGATTAACAACATTCACACCTGCCTCCAACAGACAACAGGTTTTTCTCCCACCCTGAACATCATAGCACTGGGATTGTGGCGCAGCTGGCTGAGTGTCAGCTGCATTAAGATCACACTGACCAAAAGGTCATGAGTTCGAAGCCAGCTCGGGTTGGAGTGTGTTTCCAGCCAATGTGTGTAGCCTGTTGCAACCCGAAAGACAGTTGCATCTGTCAAGTAGGAAAATTAGATACCACCTTAAAGTGTGGGGAGGCTAAACTAACTGATTTATGAGGCCATAAAGAAGACTCCAGCAAAGCATTCCAGCGGGGAAGTATGCGGGGAATGCGGAAGTGCTTCATCAGCGTCGCAGATGGACGATGAAAGTGACAGCTCCCCTGGGAACCCATTGTCTTTTGTGTACTGGTATTAAAAAATACCAGAACCAAGACAATAAACAAAAAGTAACACTCTGAAAACAGGGGTATTCCAGACAAGAATCAATCAGGGTCAGCTAACACCTCCCAACAAAGGATTCCCCCAGGCAGGAAGCAGCCAGGCCTTGAAGCTGCACGGCTTTGCAATACTAATCAAGGTGATTAACAACATTCACACCTGCCTCCAACAGACAACAGGGTTTTCTCCCACCCTGAACATCATTCCACAGATATATAAATCTAGTTTCCAACAGACTGCACAATCTCTGAGGATGCCTGCCATAGATGTGTGCGAAACATCAGAAGAGAATGCTTCTCGAACATGGCCAGACAGCCTGGAAAACTCACAGCAACCCAGCAATGGGAAGGTTCCCAACCCCTTCCTGGCCATTGGGCTGCCTCTGACTGCGACCCCCCTCCCACCACAGGGATGAATGACATGCCTTTTCAGCCGGCCAAAGATAGTCAGTAGAGGGAGATGCAAGGCGGGAAAGCCCTCCTCATCCTTCCAGAGAAGGGGAGCAGAGGGAGTGGCAGGTTTGGCAGGTCTGGGCTCCTAAGGGGCACTGGGCACCTTCCTCTGCTTAACAGAAGGTGTTCCCCAAAAAGAAGGGCTGCCCCTGCCATCCCTATGGCCCCACTGCAGCAGCTCTGGTGGCTTTGCAAGGGTGAATGCAAAGGCGGGGTTTGGCAGGTGGAAAGCCTCAAGTCCTACTCCTTCCTCTAGAATCTGTTTGGCTCTGCACCCATTTTATGGGACTCCGGTCCCTGCAAGACCCTGGCAGCAGAAAAAGTCTCCCACCCTTTTGGGGGTTCAATCTTGGGGTCACGATAGGAGCCGGGGCTGGCTTCCCGCCATTGAGGTGCCCCATCATAGAATCCTAGAGTTGGAAGAGACCAGGTGGGCCATCCAGTCCAACCCCATTCTGCCAAGAAGCAGGAAAATTGCATTCAAAGCCCCCCCGACAGATGGCCATCCAGCCTCTGTTTCAAAGCCTCCACCACACTCTGGGGCAGAGAGAGTTCCACTGCTGAACAGTTCTCTCTCACAGTCAGGAAGTTCTTCCTCATGTTCAGGTAGAATCTCCTTTCCTGTCATTTGGAGCCATGGCTCCATTGCGTCCTAGTCTCCAGGGCAGCAGAAAACAAGCCTGCTCCCTCCTCCCTATGACTTCCCCTCACCTCTTGACACATGGCCATAATCATGTCTCCTCTCAGCGTTCTTTTCTGCAAGCTAAACATGCCCAGCTCTTGAAGCCGCTCCTCATAGGGCTTGTTCCCCAGACACCTGCAACACTGGCTGTTCTTGCAAGGCCTTGTGTGAGAGCGGGCTTCTTTCTGGAGGGATCCCCTACTTTCTCCACGTATGAGGGGCCAACCAGCTTCAGCGGCCCCCTCTTCCAAGGATGTCTTTCCTCCCTTGGCAGAGAAGCAGCATGGCTCCCAACTGCAATGGCTGACAGAATCAGGCACGCCCTCCCCCCCCCCCAAGGTCTCTGTGGCCCCCAGACCTTCTTCCTTGAGCAGGAAGCACAAGGGCAGAGAGGCAGCTAAGGAAGAGCATCACTTTTAGAGCAGCCCACGCAACTCTCCGATGCAGCTCCCCACCTGTCCCTGGACTACAACTGCCACAGCACAGTCACTGGGGAAGAATGATGGGAGCAGCAGTCGAAAGGAGCTTGTGGATGACCCACATCAACCTGCTACTCACATCAACCTTGCTCTATTATTATCTGACTCTAGAACAGTTCATGGGCAAACTTCGGCCCTCCTTCCAGGTGTTTTGGACTTCCACAATCCCTACTAGCCTACCACAGTCATGGGCACGTGGTGGGCCAGAGCAGGGTGGGCAGGCCAGGAAGGAGGGGGTTCTCCCCAAGCTTCCTCCTTGCCCTTTCCAACCCTTCCTCTTCTCTTTCAGAGGCTGAAAGTGAAGGAAAGACAGGAAATGTTTGGATCACAAAAGGGTTGGCCTTGGTCAGGATGAGATGGTGGACGGGAGAGGAAAAAGTGTCTCCATGAGACCGCGTATTGCCTACTCCTGATATAGAATCCTAGAGTTGGAAGAGACCCCCAAGGGCCATCCTGTCCAACCCCCTGCCATGCAGGGAGTCACAACCAAAGCACTCCCAATAGACAGCCTCTGCGGAAAAGCCTCCAGAGAAGGAGACTCCACCACACTCTGAGGCAGCCTATGTCCCTCTCCAGGAAGTTCTTCCGAGTCTCTTTCCTTGCCATTTGAACCCATTGCTCCCTTGTGCCCTGTCTCTAGAGCAGCAGAAAATCACTCTGCCCCTCCTCAAAAGGACACCCTTTAAAATATTGAAACATGTATTGTTGAAGGCTTTCATGGCCGGAATCACTGGGTTGTTGTAGGTTTTTTCGGGCTATATGGTCATGGTCTAGAGCAGCGTTTCTCAACCTGTGGGTCGGGACCCCTGAGGGGGTCGGAACTACAACTCCAAAACTCAAGGTCAATGCCCACCAAACCCCTCCAGTATTTTCTGTTGGTCATGGGAGTTCTGTGTGCCAAGTTTGGTTCAATTCCATCATTGGTGGAGTTCAGAATGCTCTTTGATTGTAGGTGAACTATAAATCCCAGCAACTACAACTCCCAAATGACAAAATCAATATCCCCCCCCCCCCCAACCCCACCAGTATTCAAATTTGGGCATATCACATATTTATATCAAATACATTCTGCATATGAGATATTTATATGATGATTCACAACAGTAGCAAAATCACAGTTGTGAAGTAGCAACAAAATTAATTTCATGGTTGGGGGGTCAGCACAACATGAAGGACTGTATTAAGGGGTCGCGGCATTAGGAGGGTTGAGAACCACTGGTCTAGAGGCATTCTCTCCTGGGGTCACCACAACATGCATCTGTGGCAAGCATCCTCAGAGATGCAGGCGAAACGTCAGGAGAGAATGCCTCTATCCATGGCCATATAGCCTGAAAAAACCTACAACAACCCTATTGAAACATGTTTCTTATGTTCCCTCTCGACCTTCTCTTCTCCCAGGTAAACATCCCCCAGAAGGAAGGAAAAAGAGAAGGAAGAGAAGGAAGGGAGGGAGGAATAGAAGGAAGGAAAGACAAAAGGGAAGGAAGGGAGGGAGGAGAAAGAGAGTAGAAGAGGGAAAGAAGGAAGGACAAAAGGGTAAACATCCCCCAGGAGGAAGGAAAAAGAGAAGGAAGAGAAGGGAGGGAGGAATAGAAGGAAGGAAAGACAAAAGGGAAGGAAGGAAGGAGAAAGAATGGAAGAGGGAAAGAAGGAAGGACAAAAGGGTGGAAGGGAAGGAGGGAGGGAGATAGAAGGAGGGAAGGAAGAATGGAGAAAGGAAATTGGAAGGATAGGATGGTGAGAGAGATGAGGGCTTGAGAAAAGAACCCAAGTGGTCTCATCCGGCCACCGCGCCTGGGTTTGCCCATACCTGGCCTACCGGCTGTTAGGAATTGTGGGAGTTGGAAGTCCAAAACACCTGGAGGGAAGGCCGAAGTTTGCCCATACCTGGCCTACCGGCTGTTAGGAATTGTGGGAGTTGGAAGTCCAAAACACCTGGAGGGAAGGCCGAAGTTTGCCCATGCCTGCTCTAGAAGCAAACCAGAGCCAGGCTCCTCCTTGGAGAGGCTGCCAAGGAGTGCCAGGTCATGGCTGGAGAAAAGTCATAGCTCAAGTCCCTGGCCACAGAGTTGGCATCACTGGTCTCAACAGACCAGGGCAGTGTACCTCAAAATAAGGGCAGGGAGGCCATTCAGAGGGGTCATACCAGTCTGGGTTGAGACCTAAAATCCTGGTCCCAATCTGCCATTGGGCCTAAGGAAAACAGGCAGGATGTGGGGTGTGGGGCAAGGAGTGGAAGCAAAGAACTGGGGGGCTGAGGTGGCTGGGAGGGAGGAGGCCGTGGGTCTGGGACAGAGGTATGTGGCAAGGCAGGTGAAAAAAGCAAGGAGACAGGTGGGGTACAGGGGAATAGGCGGCTTTGGAATAGAGGTTGGTGGGGCTGGTGGGGTGGGTAAGGTGGCCCCTGTGTGCTATTCTAAGGCATCAAGGAAAAGAGGGAGGGAAGGGAGAATGCTGAGGGCGGGGGAACATGGCTACGGGCCCCCTTCTTCCAACACATGGACCCTAAGCCCTCCCTCTAGCAATGGCAGTTGGGTTCTTCCTGGCAACAAATGTTGGGATGGTGGCTGTGGTGCTTCATCGTGGGAGAGGCCAGGGCTCCCTTAGCAAAGGTAGTGGGGCAAAACAGTGGGAAAGGCTGCCAGATTTGGGGGAAAGCCTTATTCCCCTCCAACTCACATCAGCTGGCAGTTGTTTAGAGAGTCCAAGAGCAGGGTAGGTGAGGGTGAGTTGTGCAGACCATTGGGCAGCATTGCCCCTGGAGCCTGCTTCCTGCCCCAGTGGACCCAGGGATATCTGGGAAGTGGAGGGAGGAGGAGGCAGGTGCCACAGCAAGGAGCCCACCTCCACCCTCTTTGCCACGTCCCCCACAGTCCCGTCCCCGAAGCCAGCAGACACAGTAGGGAGAGCTGGAGGGAGCTTGCGTTGCCACCTGCTCCTTCTCCCTCGGGGCCCTCACGCCCAGCTCCTTGGGTCCGGCTCAAGGGCAGCCCCCAAACGCCGGCGGCGCAAGACGGTCGACACACTCCACGCAGGTCTGCAGGCCGGGCGCCGTGGCCGGGGTCAGAAGAGGAAGGCCTTCTTCTTCATCTCGTTCCGCCTCCACAAGGCCAGCTTCCCAAACTCATCTGGGGGCATCTCAAAGACGCGCAGGAAATCCTGGGGAGACAGGTGCCGCTGCGAGGAAGAAGGACATTGGAGTGCCAGTTGTCAGAAATATTAAAAATTAACTAGGTATTTTTAATTACAAAAATGTGAGTCATTTAACCCTGAAAGGGTTAAATGGATGTAATGACTCAGCAAAAGCTGCAGTTCAATATAAGCTGGTGTGTCTGTAGGTTAATAGACATCAGTCTGAGATAAACCTCCGTTGGAGAAAGGCCTTAGTCTGTGAGAAGGCCTCACAGTGTGAAGTATGCCTTAGTCTGTGAGAGAAGACCTCACAGTGTGAGGTAGGCCTTAGTCTGTGAGAGAAGGCCTCACAGTGTGAGGTAGGCATTAGTCTGTGAGAGAAGTCTCTGTGTGTGTGAGGCTGGCCTCACAGTGTGAGGTAGGCCTTAGTCTATGAGAAGGCCAAGTGTGAGAAGGCCTGGTGTGAGAAGCTTTGGTGAGAGAAGCCCCAGGTTGAAAGCCTTGTATGTAAAAAGCTCCTGTGTGAAGCTCCTGTGTAAATTCAGTGTGAGAGGAAGCTCTGTGAGAGTGAAGCTAGAAGCTGTTTATCTGGGTAAGAAAGAAGCCCAGTGTGAAAGCGAAGAAGGAAGTATAAAGAACTTTATTTGTGTTATGGAAACTTTGTTCTTGTAAATAGTGTCCTTTTCTGTCCAAACTCGGTCTTTGGGCACAGAAGGGCACAACCCCCTAGAGATCCGTACCTCTAGCCGCGTCCTGTCCACTCCAGGGGGCAGTTTGACTCTCCCTCGGTTTGTCACCATCAGCATCTCGTACGGATAGATCTTGGGGGGCAAAACAAGCAATAAGGTTAGGAATTCTGGGTTGCAGAGGGTTCCCCGTTTCCCGCTGCCATTGCATCTCCACTCTTCCACAAAACACCAAGTGGTCCTCACTTTTTGTTCCAGCATACTAGGGAGGGAGTTGCCTCTGTCCATACGTCCTCTTTGGCCATTCTGAAGATGGGAGAGAGTAAATGTCCTTCCAATGGTCAGTCCTATGTCAAAGGCCCCTTCGCCCCCCATTCCTTTCCTCCCTGCCCCATCCTCATCCCCTCTCAGCTGTTCAATGGATCTCAATGCCCCTGAGGTCCACTCTTGGGGCCAAAAAGGGGACTGCGGAAGACCTCTCACAGCACCCATCAACCCTCCTGCGCTCACCTGCAAACCTGTAAGACACAAAGAGAGAAAGGTAATGGAGATAACATCGCTGGGCAAAAAACGGGGAGAGGCTGGCCCTACAGTAGCAGCCCCAAAGTCTGGGAGGGGGCTTGAGCCCCACTCCTGATCCCTCCTCACCTGGGCTACTCTTCTCGCTCCCGGCAGGGCTGAACTCTGTGGACTGGAGCTGCGAGAAGAAGGGACAGGAACGTCACAAAGGCCATGGAGGACCTTCACCCCAAAGAGACCCTCTCAGTGGCCAGGGGCTCCCATCTTATAGGAGAGGGCAAGCCATTCCTTGGTTTTCCTCCAGACTTTGCAAGGAACCAGTGCAGGATGTAGGACCAATGAGGCCCTGGGCTTGTTTAGTGATGAGACCCCTTCTCAGTCTGGAATACAACTCAGGCTGGATCCCCTTGATGGGGAAGACACCAGCTGGCACTCAGAGACTCTTATACAGGATTCATCTTCCAAGAAATGGGGGCCAAACAGAGTCTCCTGCCTTCTTGGCAGCTCCACCAATGCTGACTCTCTCCACACTGTCCTTGCTAGGCCCCTCAGTATCAGAGGGGCAGGACGAACAAATGAATGCCTCAGTGCTGGCCCTGCTCCGGCCACGAGGTGCTCCTGGTGCCATCAGAGCGCTCGCCCACTCTCGTGCACTTGGCATTGGGGGGCAATTTTTTGCGTGGGCTCTGGCCTTGAGGTGCTCTTGGTGCCATCAGCATGCTCACCCACCCTTGGGCACCTGGCATCACGCTTCCCAGTGCAAAAAGATAAGGATGCCCCTTTGAGACATGGGAGCTGTGAAAGCCTTGAGACCGCCGTCAAAGAGAGTGTCCTCCCAAACAGGAAAAACGGGGAACCCACCACCACCATCACCCAGAATGCGCCAAGGGCTCCCGCATGGGACGTCTTACCCGGGTCAAGGGGCTTCTCCCATAGGTAGGAAGGGACGAGGATTTGGAGCTGGCTGGAAGGGAACAAGACCTGTCATTGAGGGAGGAGAAGGGGGTCCCAAGGAGGGGAGAATAGCCAGTAAGACAGGCCAGACCTGACTGTCCGCTTCCCACTGACCCTTCCTTTGCTTACAGGAGTGGAGAGGCGTCCGGTCGGGGAGGGAGCGGGTTTTCCTCCGGATAGGCAGCGACCGCTCCCTCTCCATCTCCTCCTTCAGGATGAGCTTCCCCAGGTTGGAGGCCACCTGCAGAGAAGAGGACAATGCAAGTGTTGTAGTTCAGCCCATGATTGTGCCTGCCCCTAATGTCAATGGGGAAGTGGATCATGGAATTTCTGGGATTGCTGATCCTGCAAGCCAGCATGAGATTTTAAGTCCTGACATTGAGCGCTCTGTGTCTCCTGCCATTAGTAAAAGCAAAGGCCACATTCCAGAGAGGGGCCCAAAGAAGTCTTTCTCTAGGGAAGCTAGTTCAGAAGATGAAATGCCAAGTGGAAAGGCTAATGAGCTGAGAGATAGGAGGCTTAGTTTTTGCAAATTTCGAGCTGCTTCACAGACTCGGCGAAGGTCACAGCGCTTATTAGAGAAAATTATTATTATTATTATTAACTTTATTTGTACCCCGCTAGCATCTCCCGAAGGACTCGATGCGGCTTACAAAGGCCAAGGCCACAATAAAACAACAATATAACAATTACATATAAACCAAAAGCAAATCAAAAACATTAAAGCAATAACAGTAAACAGTAAAAACAGCACACCGTGACACAATAAAACTAGGCCGGGCAAATGTACTGGGTACAGATTAAAAAGTGCTGAGTATGCTGAGTGATATAAGGATTTTGGATAAGTGCAATGTGTGGACAATCTTAATCTCTAATAAAGTGCTTTTGGGACGTGTTGCTGGGGTTTCCTATTCTGGAAAGGCACACCGGAATAGCCAGGTCTTCAAGCTCTTCCTAAAGATTGCCAACGTAGGGGCTTGTCTGATGTCCTTGGGGAGGGAATTCCAGAGTCGGGGGGCTACCACAGAGAAGGCCCTGTCCCTCATCCCCACAACGCTTGCGACGCAGGTGGGATTGTGAGCAGGGCCTCTCCGGATGAACGAAGAGATCGTGTGTGTTCATAGACGGAGATGCGGTCACGCAGGTAGGCAGGTCCCAAACCGTTTAGGGCTTTGTAGGTAAGCACCTGCACCTTGAATTGGGACCGGAAAATGAACGGCAGCCAATGGAGCTCCTTGAACAGGAGGGTTGACCTCTCTCTGTAAGGAGCACCAGTTAACATCCTGGCCGCCGCCCATTGGACTAGCTGAAATTTCCAAGCCGTTTTCAAGGGCAGCCCCACGTAGAGCACATTACAGTAGTCCAATCCAGAGCTGACCAAGGCATGGACCACCCCGGCCAGATAAGCCTTTACGAGGTAAGGTCGCAGTTGGCGCACAAGTCTCAGTTGTGCAAAAGCCCTTCCGGACACCGCCGACGCCTGAGCCTCAAGCGTAAGTGATGAATCCAAGAGGACTCCCAAACTGCGTATCTGTGACTTCAGGGGGAGTGTAACCCCGTCCAACACAGGTTGCCACCCTATGCCCCGATCCAGATAGTCAGAGAAGATGGAATTCTTTCATGGCTTTATTAGAAAGACCAGAGGGATTTTCCAGCAGTCTGGTAAACGTTGGGGATTTATTATTTACTAGCTTGGGGACCCGGCGCTGCCCGGGTTATTAGAGAAAGTGGGTAATGGCGGTTCTGTATGCCAAATTTGGTCTTTATTGGTCATTGGATAACGGCTGCATTGTTTTCAGGAAGTGAGTGAAGGAACTTGAAGTCCCATCATCCATGGTCCACCCTCCTCCAAACAGCAGCAGGATATAGAGTGGGTCATGGGGGCTCTGTGTGCCAAATTTGGTCTTTATCAGTCATTGGATGAGGGTCGCAGTGGTTTCAGTAAGTGAGTGAAGGTACTTCAAGTCCCATCATCCATCGCCAAATTTTTCCAAACGATACCAGGACCTAAAGTGGGTCATGAGAGGTCTATGTGCCAAGTTTGGTCTTGATCAGTCATTGGATGAGGTTCGCAGAGGTCTCAGAATGTGAGTGAAGGTACTGAAAGTCCCATCATCCATGGTCAACCCTCCTCCAAAACTGCAGCAATATGTAGAGTAGGTCATGGGGGCTCTGTGTGCCAAGTTTGGTCTTGATTGGTCATTAGATGAGGGTTGCAGCAGTTTTGGGGAGTGGAGGTACTTGAAGTCCCATCATCCATGGTCTGTCCTCCTCGAAAGTGCACCAGGATGTAGAGTGGGTGTGCCAAGTTTGGTATTGATCAGTCATTGGTTCAGGGTCGCAGTGGTTTCAGTAAGTGAGTAAAGATACTGCAAGTCCCATCATCCATGGTCCATCCCCCTTAGAACTGCATCAGGATGTAGAGTGGGCCATGAGTACTCTGTGTGCCAAGTTTGGGCCTGGTCTGTGATTTGTAGGGGCTACAATGTTCTGTGGGAAGTGAATCGGGTGAAGGTACTGCAAATCCCATCATTAGTGGCCCATCCTGCCCTGAACTGCACTGGAAGTCCCATCATCCATCGTCCGTCCTTCTCCAAACAGCATCGGGATGTAGAGTGGGTCAAGGTGGCTCTGTGTGCCAAGTTTGGTCTTGATCGGACATTAGTAAGGGTTGCAGCAGTCTTGGGAAGGGAGTGGAGGTACTTGAAGTCCCACCATCCATGGTCTGTCCTCCTCGAAAGTGCACCAGGATGTAGAGTGGGTCATGGGGACTCTGTGTGCCAAGTTTGGTCTTGATCAGTCATTGGCGAGGGTCTCAGTGGTCTCAAGGAAGTGAGTGAAGTGACTGCAAGTCCCATCATCCATTGTCAAATTCTTCCAAACCGCACCAGGATGTAGAGTGGGTCATGCCAGCTCTCTGTGTAAATTGTGGTCCTGATCCATCATTGTTGGCAGTTTTAATGGTCTTAGGAAGGGAGTGCAGGTATTGCAAGTCCCATCGTCCATGGTGCATCCTCCTCCAAACTGCACCAGGATGTAGAGTGGGTCATGGAGACTCAGTGTGCCAAGTTTGGTCTTTATTGGTAATTGGATGAGGGTTGCAGTGGTCTCAAGAATTGAGCAAAGGTACTGCAAGTCCCATAATCCATGGTCCATCCCCCGCCAAACCACACCAGGCGTAAAGTGGGTCATGAGAGGCCTATGTGCCAAGTTTGGTCCTGATCAGTCATTGGAAGAGGTTAACAGCGGTCTCAGAATGTGAGTGATGGTACTGCAAGTCCCATCATCCATGGTTGCAGTAGGATGTCGAGTCGGTCTTGCAGGCTCTGTGTGCCAAGTGTAGTCTGTATTGGTAATTGTCTGACTCAGCCCCCTCTGGCCTTTTCCTTTCCTCTCTTAGTCATCTCGGAATCTTGGAATTGAGGCTGGCCAATCAGAGACCATATGCAAATTTCCTTCTCATGTCCCTGTTTCTGCCATGAACTCTTTTCTCCACCAGGGGCTCCTATTGAAGCTGGCCAATCAGAGACCATATGCAAATAGCACCACTGCGGCAGCCAATCAGAATGTTGGAACTTTCAGGCTGGCCAATCAAAACGCTGGCACATACTCCTCCCGTCGCACCGCCACACTTTTGTCCTCCACATACAAACTTTCACCTTTATTATATGTATAGATTTATATATTTACTAGCCAACCCCTGCCACGTGTTAACGTGGCCTAGTCTGTGTATATGTATTTTGTGTGTGTATGTGTGTGTTTGCGGATATATATATTGTTTTGTGCAAGCGTTGTAAGCATTGAGTCACCTGAGGGCTGAGAAAAGCGGTATATAAATAAAGTAAGTAAATAAATAATAAATAATGTAAAAAAAATGGGGGGGGGGGTGTGGCTTTTTAAGTCTCTTCTGCTGTGTTTTTCAATGTTTTTATGAGTGACGGTCACTCGTTGGCCTGATAGGTGTATGTTGTCCAAATTTGGTGTCAATTCATCCAGTGGTTTTTGAGTTATGTTAGTCCCACAAACTGACACTACATTTTTATTTATATAGATTTATTTATTATATTTATATCCTGCCTTTCTGACCCCGAAAGGGGATTCTAGGTGGCTTACAACAGAGGCAAAAGTCAATGCTTTAAACAATTCAACAATTAAATAAAATTTAGTTAAAAATCTAAACGATGTTAAAAGCAATTAAAACATAAACAATACTACTAACAGCTATAAAATCACGTTATCCAAAATCATGTTATCCACAATGGAGGATACATCTTCTAGTTCCATGTTCTCATTTGCTCTTGTTCCATGCTTCCAAGTTTAAAGGATTGCTCCTGTATCTTGTGTATTGGATTTATGCTACCTTGTATTCCTGGTTTTCGATGCTACTCTTGTACCTTGAATCTTGTGGACTATTTCACATTTTTGGACTTGGACATTTTTATTATTTTTGCTGAACTGCTTTTTATATATCTTTGATAAACTGCTTTGCTAATTTAACTTGGACTGGAGTGTGGTGGTTAAGTACAGAGGTGATTGTCGTTCTTGGATACAACGGCAAGGCACAGCAGAGCAGACGCCAGGACACCCCCACCATTGCAGGGGCAGATGGGAGCTGAAGTCCCTGGCCATCCTTCAGCCTCTTCTCCTACCTTACTCAGCTCCTCCTCCTGCACCTCCCGCAGGCCCTTCGCCTCCTCCTCTTCCTCCCCTTCGCTGCCTCCTCCTCGCCGGGAGGCCTTCCGTTGCCTCCATTCGGTTTCTGCGGACACAAAGCAGGAGGGGTCTTAGGCAGGGAGGGGGCTGGCAAGGGATCTTCCCCCAAAGTGCCCGGAGGAGGGTCCTTCCACCCAGTGAAAGGAATGGCTCCAGTGGGACCTCAAGTCATAGAATCACAGAATCCTAGAACTAGAAGAGACTACCCAGTCCAGACCCCCTTCTGCCTTCACGCAGGAAAAGCACAATCCAAGCCCTCCAGTCTCTGTTTAACATCATCATCATCATCATCACCATCATCATCATCATCATCATCATCACCATCATCATCATCATCATCATCATCATGTTAGAAGGGATCCTAAAGAGGGCCATCCAGTCCACCCACTTCTGCCAGGAAGGAAAAGCACAATCCAAGCCCTCCCGACAGATAGCCAACCAGCCTCTGCTTAACAACAAAAACAACACGGTATTATAATAGTGACATCTCCAGCTCATCCCTTGTTTGGGTATCAGCCAGCACGTCAACGACTTAAATCAAGAAATAGTTTTCTAAGGTCTACAGAGACACTCTGTAGAACACCCCAGCAAGCGAGAGTCCAAAAGTGGCAGGCTCAAACCCAGAACCTCAATCAATGGCTGATACCAAATGAGAGACTCCCCCTGGGCACACAGAAAACTGGGCGACTTGGAAGGCGCTGAACAGACTGTGCTCTGGCACCACAAGATGCAGAGCCAATCTTAAGAAATTGGGCTACAAAGTGGAATCCACGACATGCGAGTGTGGAGAAGAGCAAACTACAGACCACCTGCTGCAATGCAACCTGAGCCCTGCCACATGCACAATGGAGGACCTTCTTGCAGCAACACCAGAGGCACTCCAAGTGGCCGGATACTGGTCAAAGGACATTTAATCAACTACCAAGCTTGCAAACTTTGTGTTTTGTCTGTTTGTTTGCTTGTTTGTTTGTTTTGTTAAAAATGTAATACAACTGTCTCATTGCTCCTGACACGATAAATAAATAAAAATTGTAATAGTAATATATTATATACTAGCTGTCCCCGACCACGCATTGCTGTGGCCCAGTCTTGCTTCTGGTGGAGAAGAGTCAAGATGGCCTGCTTCAAGCTCAAAGCCACTACCAGACCTCTGCAGACCCCTCTGCTGCCCCCCAGATTCAAGGCAAAGGGTTACATACCCACAACGGCCAGGGAAGGGGGGCACGGCCAGTAGTCTGTCTCAATCTTAGCCGGTAGGTTGGGGTCCGGCGGCTGGGCAGCGGGGAACTTGGAGGACTCAATGATCTGGTCCTCAATGAGGTGTTTCCCTGCCTGGGGCTGCGCATGCGTCGTTGGGAACTCTGGAGGGAGGAAAAGGAGTGAGCCTTTGCCCCAAAACACTGAACCCTCCACACACCCTAGGCCCACGGAAGAGGCCCCTGGGAAGAGGCACTTACCCCTCTGCTTGTAGATGGGGGGCTTCTTGTAGATGTTGAGCTCCACCGTGGTGGGGTCTGCAAGAAGGAAGGAAGGAAGGAAGGAAGGAAGGAAGGAAGGAAGAAGGAAGGAAGGAAGGAAGGAAGGAAGGAAGGGAAGGAAGGAAGGAAGGAAGGAAGGAAGGAAGGATAGGAAGAAAGGAGGGAAGAGAAAGAGGGAAGGAAGAGGCAGTCACAGGAAGTTAATAAGCAGGAGGCGTGAAGTACAGATATAAGTGAGGGCAGGAAGGAGTAAAGGAAAGGAAAGAAGGGAGGATGAAAGGAGAAAGGCGAAAGAAGGAAAGAAGGAGGGAACGGGAAGGAAGGAAGGAAGGAAGGAGGGAATGAGGGAATGAGGGAAAGGGAGAAAGGAAAGGAGTAGGGAACTGATAGCACAGGAAAGAGGGTGGAAATTAAGGAAGGGAAGAGAAGAGAAGGAAGGAGGAAGGAAGCGAGGGAAGGCAGGGAAGAGGAAAGGAGGGAGGGAGGGAGGGAGGGAGGGAGGGAGGAAGGCAGGAAGAAGAAAGTGAGGGAAGGCAGGAAAGAGGGAGGGAAGGAAAAAGGAAGGAATGAAGGAAGGAGGAAGGAGGAAAGGAAGGAAGAGGAAAGCAAGGGAAGGCAGGGAAAAGGGAGGGAAGAAAGGAAAGAAAAGGGAGGGAGCAATGGAGGGAGGGAGGAAGGAAGGAGAATGTGATGGAAGGCAGGAAAGGGAGGGAGGGAAGGAAAAAGTAAGGAAAGAAAGAGGCAAGGAAGGAAGGGAGGGAAGGAAGGAAAGGGGGAGAAGGGAGAGGAAGGAAGAGGGAAGGCAGGAAAGAGGGAGGAGAGAGGGATGGGAAGGAAAGAAAAAGAGGAAAAAAACAAGGAAAGACAAAAAGAAACAAAGAAGGGAAGAGCAGCGGGCATTTGGTTCAGCTGAAGCCTCAGCGGCCCCCCTCCCAGCCACAAGGCCCTTTTGCATCCTAAGGGCACGGCATCCCCATCGCTGTTATTTCCCATCATAAAGCTCTCCCTGAAACAAAGGTGTCTTGGAACTATCTCAACTATCTTCAGCCAGAGCTCCCTCGGGTCTCACACAGGGAGTCCCTGAGGTTCTCTGAAGGAAGCTCAAATCTGATGCTGGCTGTGTCCTCCCCTCACTCCCACCCCCAAACTACACTTCCCATGAGTTCCTGGGGGATCCTTGACCATGACTCTGAAAGCTGCATGGACACCTTGCCCTGATGGAAGGCCACCTCCACCCAGAACTGGCACTTGAGGCATGGGGTGGGGCTCTTAAAGGGCCAGACAAGGGGTCTCTGGCCAAAGGGAGCAGGGTCTTTCTTTGATGAGGAGGCTTACCTGGATGGTGGAAGTGGTGGACCCCCAGGCGGCCAGCGGCACTTCCTGCCCGGCGAAGGGCGGTCTGGGAGGCATTGCTGGGGGACCTGCCCTCCATGGCGTCCCGAGTGACCTGCGGGGAGAGAGGGGCACCAATATGACAGGGAAAGGGCTCACCTGGAGTCCCAGCCTCCCTTCACCCCCCAGCGCTCACATGCAAAAGCACCCCCCACACACCCATAATTTCCAAGGACAGCGAGCCATTCGTTCAGCCAGAGCTGCAGAAGGCAAAAAGCATGCAGACACTTGGGGAGGGGAAGAGCCTCTGGAGCAGGTTTGGGAGCCAGGACCCCCCACCAGGACCCCCAAGCAGAGGCTGGATGGCCATCTGTCAGGAGTGCTTAGATTGTGCCTTCCTTTATGGCAAAAGGGGTTGGACTGGATGACCCCTGCGATCCCTTCTAAGATTCGATAAACATACTGCGTGACTATATGTTGAGAGGGTTTGAAATAGTGTCTTCCTGCCTGGCAGGAAGGGAGTGGACTGGATGGCCATTGGGGTCCCTTTGAAGTCTACAATTCTGCGATTCAGACTGCATAGATCCACAGGATGCAGCTGTTGTGATGAAAGTGGGCTCGTGTTAAAAAAAGGAACTCCTAAATGGCCATTTGTCAGGAGAGCTTGGATTGTGTCTTCCTTTATGGCAAAAGGGGTTGGACTGGATGACCCCTGTGATCCCTTCTACCCCTAAGATTCGGTAAATATACTGCATGGCTATATGTCAAGAGGGTTTGGATCATTAGTGTCCTCCTGCCTGGCAGAAAGGGGGTAGATTGGATCGTATTTGGGGTGCCTTTGAAGTCTACAATTCTGTGATTCAGACTGCACAGATCCACAAGATGCAGCTGTAGTGATTGAAGTGGGCTCTTGTTAAAAAGGGGGAGTCCTAAACGGCCATCTGTCAGGAGGACTTGCATTGTGTCTTCCTTTATGGCAGAAGGGGTTGGGCTAGATAGCCTTTGGGGGTCCCTTCCAACTCTAAGATCCTATGTGTCCCTCCAGGGAGATAGGGCAAAATAATAATAATAATAATATAAAATAATAATATTAATTATTATTATTATTTATTATTATTGGACATTATTATTAGAAATTATTATTATCATTATTAGAAATTATCATTATCATTATTATTATTATTAGACACAACAAGATGAGTCCACAGCAGAAGATCACTCTGCTGGGCTGTTGTATTGGATCACACGTCGGACACTTCCCAAGTGTCTAGGACTGTGTGATGTATTGGCAAATAATGCGTGCAGATCCCAGTAAGGTGGCCTTCAGCAGCTGGCAGATGGTAATTTTGTCAGCGCTGATTGTGTTTAAGTGCAGGCCAAGGTCTTTAGGCACTGCACCCAGTGTGCCGATCACCAGTGGGACCACCTTGACTGGCTTGTGCCAGAGCCTTTGCAGTTCGATCTTTAAATCCTCATATCGTGTCAGTATTATTATTATTATTATTATTATTATTATTATTAGACCCTTATGGATGCCTGAGTGGTAAATGAATAGGTGACCCTCTGAAATAGGTTGCAGGACTCCCTCTGCCAGCATGAACCCTTTTGTATATGCCACCTTTTCCAAGCTATGCTCATACAGACATTCCAAAACATTGGAATGTTTTGCCAATAATCCTGGGCAGAGAAATAGGCCCCAGCCTTGCTCCAGTTGCTCCGAAATCTGACACGGGAGACACGGACGGAGAAGCACAGAACAGCCATTCCCGGCATGCAAAGAGGAGCGAGCGGGTGGGAGATGGTGGCCTTCACCCCCTCTTTTTGCACCCCGTTCTTGGTCCCCGGCTTCCGAGGCGACTCCGAGCGGCACTTACTTCTGGAGAAGGAGGAGGAGAGAGAGATTTGGGAGAGAGGGAGCGCTGCGGAGAGAAAAAGGATAAAGGAAGAGAGAAGAGGATGGGAGAGAGTGAGATTACGGAAGGGATTCCCGGTCCCGTTCTGGATCCTGAGTTGGCTGGAAATAGCACGGGAAAGCATGGGAACAAAGGCGACAACAGGAAGCGTATAGTGTGTGGGCATCTTTGAACCGAGGGTCTGCACACTGAACCCTCCACACACCCTAGGCCCACAAACACACCCTTGCTGTTGCTTTACGCGCTTACCACTTCATCACATTTACTAAATCCCACTGAGCGCTACATTTAAAAGATTGCTGAGTACAACCGAGTAACATAGATACCTTTAACAGTGTGATGAAGGTAGGGAAATGATGTGTTTCATTTCAAAACTGAGTCAGACTGAGCTCTACTCTAACAAACGCTTCCCAGCTCCAATGTGATGAAGTCCTTACAGAATATACTTCTAATCACGTCTGCTTTAATGTCCATACTTTCTGCGATGGAAGATTGCACCTTCGCCTCTTTTAATTTTTGGAAGCCACCCGAAGTCCCAAAGGCCCCTAAATTAAATCCAGAAGTAATACATGCTTGTGGGTTTTTGACGTTTAAGTAAACAATTTAGATCGCAAGGTAGAATGAAGGCATTGCCCAAGACAAGACATCAATGGGAAACTAGTGGTAATTTCCTTATATGTCATGTATCATGTTCTGCAGTTGATGGTAGTTAGTGGTGGTAGGCCTAGCAGTTGGTGATAGAAGGGTTAATGTAAGTCTTAGTTCTAAAGGGTTGAGTAATCTGTAAGTAAAAGTTCATAGGTGAAAGCAATTAAGGATGGAAGTATGCAAGAGATGGGTGTTTCTGGATATAAGGAGCTAGCCTTGGGACTGATCTTCTGGAGAAAAGTATTCGTTTTATCTTGGTGGTAGATGCTGCTGTTTTCCCCCCAGGTTTGTGGATTTTCAGTATCCTAACCTGTCTCCTGAACCTTTGGAATCCTGGAACCTTGAATCTCTGGACTGGCTTTTGATTATGGTATAGACTTTTGATCCCTGGACTTTGCTTATTGAACTCCCGGCATTTGACCACTGGACTGGACCTTTTGACTACGGTGTTATCTTGAACCTGCAACAGTGTTTGCTGTCAGTTTTTGTTTTATATTCTGTGACTTGAGTGCTATCTCTATGTTTTGGACTATTAAAATAGCCAGAAAGTAAGTACTGTTTTAATTAAATTGTTTAACAATTTAATTAATAAAAGTGTTCTCTCCCTTCCTGTTGTCTAAGCCCCATTCTTAACTAATTGTTTGTTTGGTTCATCTCTACCTGAATAAGGCAGAGCCCTGGCATCGTGACATCATGGGAGGTGAAGAGTCCATTGGAACATTTGGATTTTATGATTATTGTTTTTAGAGGGGAAGGTGGGAGAAGTTAGTTTGAATGGATGTATACATGATATAGATGTTATGCACTGGGACATTACTATCTTTACAAATTGTATAGCAATTTCCATTGACCCCCTTTCTGTGGACTGAGCGCAATGAAACTTGGCCCAGTTCTGAGTCCTTCTTCTCTCTATGGGTGCCACCTAGGGACATACACTTCTCCCCTCTTTTGAAGCAATCGTAAACACCTCACTTGTAGATGTCAACAGGTTGCTCCAAAAGCCATGTTGTGACTTCAGAAATCAGAGTCTGATCATCTGAGAATAATTTTGTTTGCTGTGTACTAATCTTGTTGTGTATTGGGAAGTCAGACTTGGCCACGGTGGTCCATGCTCTTGTTACATCTAGGGTAGACTACTGCAACGCACTCTACGTGGGGTTGCCTTTGAAGACTGCTCGGAAGCTTCAATAGTCCAACGAGAGGCAGCCAGGTTAATAACTGGGCAGCATACAGGGAGCATACAACTCCCATGTTACGCCAGCTCCACTGCCTGCCAGTTTGCTACCAGGCACAATTTAAAGTGCTGGCTTTGGCCTATAAAGCCCTAAATGGTCCCGGCCCAAATTACCTGTCCAAACACATCACCCCCTATGAACCATCGCAGAGATTAAGATCCTCTGTGGAGGCCGTGCTCTCCATCCCGCCATTGTCACAGGCACGATTGGTGGGACGAAAGACAGGGCCTTCTCGGTGATTGCTCTCCAGCTACGGAACTCCCTTCCTGGTGAGATCAGGTTGGCCCCCTCCCTCCTGTCCTTTAGGAGGATGGTAAAAACTTGGCTGTGGGACCAAGCTTTTGGGACAGGGCAATAAAGCGGCAGTGGGAAAGATGACAGGGCCAATTGGATTTGATGAATGACTAGGACGGTTTTAAATGGTGTATTTTAATATTTTGATTTTTTTTTTTAATGTTTATGTATTGTATGTGAATCTGTGTCCCGGCATTGAATGTTTGCCGTGTATATGCTGTGCTCCACCCTGAGTCCCCTTCGGGGTGAGAAGGGCGGAATATAAATGTTTTAAACAAACAAACAAACAAATAAATAAATATCAAATAATAAATATAATAATAATAATAATAATAATAATAATAATACTATAATATAAGTGTTCTCCCCCTTCCTGTTGTCTAAGCCCCATTCTTAACTAATTGTTTATAAGTCAGATGTTTGTAACCCTGGCTGTATATAGGAAAAAAATCCATAAATACTGCCAATGGGATTTGGCCCTGCGTCCGGCTCACCTCCCGGCTGCGCGGCCGCTCCGTGATGTGGTCCAGCAGGGAGTAGGTGAAGTGGGGCTCGTAGATCATGAGGTCCGGGCGCTCAATGTCCAGGATGGCCTTGTCCTTGGGGATGGCTGCCAGGTCCTTGTAGCCCAGCACCTCATTGTCCATTCTGGCCTGTGAAGGGAGAAGGAAAGTAGGGGAGGTGGAGGATGGCCGAGACTGACTGGCAGCCATTGGGAAAGCTGCAAGACTCATCCATCTTCCTTAGTGCCAGGAATCTACTGCATGTTTTCGTTGAAATCTATGAAAGCTCTGCACTGTGAATCTACAACATCAAACACTCAATAAACCTAAAAATGGATTGGTTGCACCTTGGACACGGAAGGCCTTTCTCCTTCTAACTTGGGGGTCGCATGCTAGCACTCCCTGCTAAGAGGACTGGCTGCCCAGTGATGGAAGGAAGGAAGGGAAGGAGGAAGGATGAAAGGGGGGAAGGGAAGGATGGAAGGAGAAAGAGGGTGAGAGGAAAGGAGGAAGAGTAGAGGGAAGGAAGGAAGAAAGAGGAAGGAGAAGGGGAAAGGAGAGGAAGGAAGGAGCAAGAAGGAAGGAAGGAAGGAAGGAAGGAAGGAAGGAAGGAGAAAGGGAGAGAGGGAAGGGGGGAGGGAAGAAAGGAGAGACAAAGGGAGAGACGGAAGGAGGGAGGAAAGAGGGAAGGAAGGACAGGCAAAAGGAAAGGAAGGAAGGAGAAAGGGAGGGAGGAAAGATAAGGATGATCGTGGATGGAAGTCATGGACTTGATTAAAAAGGGGGGGAAGGGAAATGTTGGAATACAGGGCTGTTGCCCTGCTGCCCTCAAATGAAGTAGAACAGTATTTCTATCTGGATTGAAATGATTGTTGGATGTAATGATGTCAAGAGCAAGAGGGAGAGAGGACTTAGGTATTAAGATGGAATCAGGTGACTTACAAATTAATGAAACTAGAAGTGTGCAGAATGGAGGAGAAAGATAATGATTGATAGCTGGATGTAAGTAATGGCAGGACTAAAGGAAAGCACGAATTACTGAATACAATTTGAACTTGACGCAATGACGAGAAAGCACGGCGCGAGGGAGGCAATAGTTGCAGTGGCTGATGAAATGTAAGAGGGTGCATTACGTATCAAAGGAACGCGGACTGCATGTAGCACCTACAACCCAAGAGTAATAACGTCAGACATAGTTAAGGGAGGGAGGAGAAGGGGGATGAAAGGAAGGGAAGGATAAAGGAAAGAAAGAATGAAGGAAAGACAAATGGGAAGGAAGGAAGGAGAAAGAGGGAGACAGGGAGTAAAGAGGGGTGGAAGGGGAGGATGGAAAGAGAAAGAGGGAGAGAAGGAAGGAGGGAGGAAAGAGGGAAGCAGGGAACGACAATAGGGAAGCAGGGAACGACAATAGGGAAGGAAGGAAAGAGAAAGAGGGAAGGGAGGGAGGAAGAAAAATAAGGATGGATGGAAGGAAGGGAAGGATAAAGGAAAGAAAGAATGAAGGAAAGACAAATGGGAAGGAAGAAAGGAAGGAGAAAGAGGGAGAGAGGGAGGAAAGAGGGGTGGAAGTGGAGGATGGAAAGAGAAAGAGGGAGAGAAGGAAGGAGAAAGGAAAGAGGGAAGCAGGGGACGACAAAAAAGAAGGAAGGAAAGAGAAAGAGGTGGAAGGGAGAAGAGGGAGGGAAGAGGGAGGGAGGAAGGAAGGAAGAAAAGACAAAAAGGAAAAGGGAAGGAAGGAGGAAGGAAGGAAAGAGAAGAGAGAAGGTGGAAAGGAAAGAGGGGAGGGGAAAAAGGGAAGTAAGGAGGAAGGAAAGAGAGAAGGAAGGAAGAAAGGAATAGGGTGGTGAGAGAGAGGAGGGCTTAAGAAAAGAGCCCAAGGGACCGTATCCGGTCCCCGGGACTGGGTTTGTCCGTACCTAATCTACACTGTAGAATGAGCATGCCTTTGACTGCCATGGCTTTGTGCGACAGGATCCTGGGAGTTGTAGTTTGGTGAGGCACCAGCCCTATCAGGCAAAGAAGGGCAAAAGGCCTTGTTAAGTTCCAACTCCCAGGACCTCATAGCACAGTTCAAGCGGCAGTTCAAGCAGGGCCAGACTACATTCATTCGGCCATGGCGACCTCCTTGGCCAGTATGACCTAGGGCCTCAATACAACGTCCCATCGTTTCGCTGGCCAACTCTTTGGGATTTGGAGATTGCTTTTGGAATGCTTTTGTGGGAATGGGGGGGGGAAAGAGCAAAGGGTAAGGGGATACTCACGACAATGCTGGAGGGCGAGCCGGGGACGCTGGAACCCCGGGAGGAGGCCACGCTCCCCGGGGAAGTCAGCTGGTGCTGCAAAGAAGAGAGAAGAGGAGACCAGTTGTTGCAGTTTGGCGTGATCACAAGTGGAGGCATGCACACTCACTTTAGCCTCCCAGAAAATTCTGCATACAGTCATCATCATCATCATCATCATCATCATCATCATCATCATCATCATACCCAAGTCCCCAGTAGTGCAATGGGTTAAACCCTTGTGCCGGCAGGACTGAAAACTGACAGGTCGCAGATTCGAATCTGGGGAGAGCGAAGATGAGCTGCCTCTGTCAGCTCCAGCTCCCCATGCGGGGACATGAGAAAAGTCTCCCACAAGGATGGTAAAAACATCAAAACATCAGGGCGTCCCCTGGACAACGTCTTTGCTGACAGCCAACTCTTTCACACCAGAAGCGACTTGCAGTTTCTCAAGTCGCTCCTGACATGAGATAAAATGAGGTAGGAATAGAAAAGATGTAATTGATGTGAGCCCATGAAAATAAAACAGTGGGGTAAGGCTTTCAGTTTAGCATGGGGGGAAAATGCATCATAGGGGATAGAAGTCCTTTTCCATAGGTATGGTATTTCTGCTGGTATTTGAGGGAGGACAGTGGGTTGGCTGGTGGTTTTCCGTTTTGCTGGAGGGCAAGCTAGCGTTCCTTCTGGAGAGGAAGTGCTGGAATGCGGCCTTTCCGCTGCACACATTTCAGAGCCAGAGCAGAGCATCCACTTGAATGCCAAATCGGGACTTTTTGGGAGATATTGGGGTACGGATTCCTAAGTTGTCAGCCACGGAAACCCACTGGGGGAAAGTCCCACTCACTCTGTCTAAGGAAAAACCTTCACCGGCTTGCCTTTGAACAACCAGGAGTCAGAAGCAGCTAAGAGGAAGGCTGTGTCCATCCCATCTTGAACCTTAGACTGACAGGTGTCAAACAGGGATAATGTGTTATTGCCCCAACCTTATTCTCCATCTTCATCGCTATGATACTTTGTCTTGTTGATGGGAAGCTTCCTACTGGCGTGGAAATAATCTATTGGACAGATGGCAAGCTATTTAACTCAGCAGACTGAAAGCCAAAACCAAAGTCACAACAGCATCTGTTATAGAACACCAATATGCTGATGATAACGTAGTCTGTATGCATTCAGAAAAAGACCTACAACATCTGTTATGGAACTCCAATATGCTGATGATAACATAGTCTGTGCTCATTCAGAAGAAGACCTACATCCAATATGCTGATGACAACATAGTCTGCTCATTCAAAAGCAGACCTACAACCTCTGTTATAGAACTCCAATATGCTGATGATAACATAGTCTGTGCTCATTCAGAAGACCTACAACATCTGTTATAGAACTCCAATATGCTGATGATAACGTGATCTGTGTGCATTCAGAAGACCTACCACAACATCTGTTATAGATCTCCAATGTGCTGATGATAATGTGGTATGTGTGCATCCAGAAGAAGACCTACAACCTGTTATAGAACTCCAATATGCCAGTGATAACATAGTCTGTGCTCCTTCAGAAGACCTACAACATATGTTATAGAACTCCAATATGCTGGTGATAATGTAGTCTGTGTGCATTCAGAAGAAGACCTACAACCTGTTATAGAACTCCAATATGCCGTCAATAACATAGTCTGTGCTCATTTAGAAGAAGACCTACAACACTGTCCTCCCAACCCTGCTATACGCCTGCGAGACGTGGACCATCTATAGATGACACTCTCAACTCCTGGAACGATTCCATCAGTGTTGCCTTCGAAAAATCCTGCAAATCTCTTGGGAAGACAGGCAGATGAATGTTAGCATTCTGGAAGAAGAAGCAAAGACCACTAGCATTGAAGCGATTCTCCTACGCCATCAACTCCACTGGCCTGAATGCTATGTGGTCTGAATTCCCAAAGATCACCATCTCCCAAAGCAGTTACTCTACTCCCAACTGAAGATTGGAAAATGGAATGTTGGTGGGCAGGAAAAGAGATTGAAAGATAGGCTCAAAGCTAACCTTAAATGTGGCAGAGTCACAGAGAGAGAACTGGGAAGCCCTGATCCTCGAGCGTTGGAACTGGAGGTCAGTTGTAACCAGCAGTGCTGTAGAATTTGAAGAGGAGCTAATGGAGGGCGGAAGGGAGAAATGGGCCAAGACAAAGAAGGTGCGTCAAGACAACCCTGACCGGGACCACCTTCTACCTGGAAACCGATGTCCTCACTGCGCAATAACATGCGGGTCACCTGCAGACCCACTGCCAAGAAGGCAATCAGACTTGGACATAATGGATCTCTGATGAATGAATGACCCTTGGACTGACATGAAAGAAGAGGGGTCTAGGGGTCACTCTTGCTTTGGCTGCTCCCTGCAATCCAGAGACATTTGGCTGCGAGGGTCAGGGCAAAGTGTGCACAAGGTCCAGTGTGGGCAAACTTTGTGCAAGGGTAGAATTTCCCTTCTTTGCACGGCCACCAGTGGGCGCTGCCCTACCAGGGATCTCCCTCTGCGTGTGCGAATGCAGAGCACGCAGGAGCAAGTATTATTATTATTATTATTATTATTATTATTATTATTTGTTGTTAGTAGTATTTATTTATTGGATTATTGCTCCAGATGGTCCTTGCAGACAGCCAATAATAATAATAATCAATGGAATTAATTAATTAATTAATCATCATCATCTATGGAATCAACAAGATAAACAATCTGGAATGATAATAATAATCAATAGAATTAATTAATTAATTAAAATCATCATCATCATCATCATCATCATCATCATCATCATCATCCATGGAATAAACAATATTGGAATAATAATAAAATCAATGGAATAAATAAATAAATAATCAATGGAATAAATAATATTGGATAAACAATCTGGAATAATAATAAAATCCTTGGAATTAATTAATTAAAATAATAATAATAATCCATGGACTCAACAATATTGGATAAACAATCTGGAATAATAATAAAATCTATGGAATTAATTAATTAAAATAATAATAATCCATGGACTAAACAATATTGGATAAACAATCTGGAATAATCCATGGAAAAAAAAAACACAAAGGCAGGTCTGCCAAGTGGCTATTGATTCAATGGGAAAAATGAATTGGGATTTTTACCACCAAAGAGGCAATTGCTGGCTTCTGCCTCGAAACCACTTTCAGTGCGGCATCAGCTGCAACGCAATGTTTGCATATTGGTATATTTTAAATGGTATGCTTCATGTTAAGTCGTTTGAGCCTCCTTCAGGAGAGGTGCAGCGGGTGATAAATAAATAAACAAACAAATAAACGCTGCCTTTTCCCCTTGAATGCCACCCAAAAATTTCCTACCGAAAGGCCCCCCAAATCAAGCCCATCCCGGTTTCTCCCAGCTTCCTGGGTCATTGTCACCATCCTGGTTTGGGTCCTTCTAGAAGAATTTGCTGATCTGTTTGTCTCTTACAATGAGGCCATAAATCCATTAAACTCCCTCGCATCTGTGGCTTAAAATATCTCCAATTGTTGCTGGGTATATGCGCTGGCATGAGATCTCCGCGCAAACACCCCCACGCCCAGCCCATGCGTTTCTATGATTCTAAGTGATGAGTTATGGCAACGATGCCTTTTCTCCCCTTGATTTGTCCTCAATTGCAAAAGGATGGAGAAGTTGGAAAAGATCCTTTTATATAGTCTTTTGATGCCCACATACCCCCGCCCACTTCCTCATCCTCTATCTAGCTGGAAGGCTTTTGAGCAGCATTGGCATTAGGGAGGTTGGAAAGGATTGCCGAAACATAGAAAGGATAGCATCAGAATTTCCGGACAACAAAAGGTGAGCTGGGAAAAATATTCTTCTCCAGCCAATTCTACCCTTTGTGTTTGTTTACAGCAGGCGAGGTAAACAGCATCAAAAGAGAGAGAGATGAAAAGGTATTCCCGGCATAGTAAGAAAGGATAGCAATCGAAATAGAAAGCTGGAGCGAAGAGAGCATCTATAAGGTAGAATGAATGTAGTTTGACCCCACTTTAACTGCCCTGGATCGATGCTGGGAGTTGTAGTTTAATGGCTCAATGCTAAGTAACTTATGGGATGGTGGGAGTTGCAGTTTACCAAGATCTTTAATCTTCTCTACTAAATGGTGCAAACTACAACTTCCATGATTCCATAGCATGCAGGCATGGCAAAGTAGCTGCCCTGGATGATCCACAGAGGGAGCAAATAAAGAATTTTGACCCAAATGCAAGGTATCAACTGCTGAAGCTGATGAGCAACTGCATTGCATCCTGTTAGATCCCCAAAATCTGGAGGAAAGCAAGTGTCTTGAAACCATCTTGAAACCAGGCCAAGACCATAATGATCCAAAAAGTTATATAGACCAATCTCCTTGATGTGTCATCTTTACAAAGTTCTGGAGAGGCTTATTTTGCGCAGAATTATGGAAAAATAGACACATGCATGATCCAATAGCAAACTGGTTTCAGGAAAGGGAAAAAGCTACACATCACAGGTGCTGAACCCGACTCAGCACACAGAATATGGTTTTGAAAGGCAGCAGATTACAGGAGCTGTCTTCATAAATCTGTCAGCAGCTTATGATACTGTAAATCATCTCCTCCCCCTGAGAATAATGTATACGATCACAGAGGACTACCACCTCACCTGCTTCATAGGAAATCTGCTACAAAACAGGAGCTTTTTTGTTGAATTCCAGGGCTAGAGAAGCAAATGAAAAAAACAGAAGAATGGCCTAACCCAGGGGAGTGTGCTTGCTCCATCCATGTTTAACATCTACACAAATGTAGCCGGCCCAAGCTACCTATCTGACCGCATCTCTGCCTATGAACCCACCAGGACTTTGAGATCTTCCGGGGAGACCCTGCTCTCGATCCCGCCTGCTTCTCAAGCTCGGCTGGCGGGGACGATAGATAGGGCCTTCTCGGTGGTGGCTCCTCGGCTGTGGAACGCCCTTCCTACGGACATTAGACTAGCACCATCTCTAATGGTATTCCGCAAAAAGGTGAAGGCCTGGATGTTTG